TTTTATGACCTGTTGTCTTAAGTTTTATGACCTGTTGTCTTAAGTTTTGTGACTGTTGTATGAAGTTTTATGACCTGCTGTCGTAAGTTTTATGACCTGCTGTCGTAAGTTTTGTGACTGTTGTAAGTTTTGTGACTGTTGTATGAAGTTATATGACCTGTTGTATGAAGTTTTATGACCTGCTGTCGTAAGTTTTGTGACTTGTCTTAAGTTTATGACCTATTGTAAGTTTTGTGACCATGTCATCAAAAGTTTTGTGACCCGCTGTCGTAGATAGGATTGGTGTAGGTGTGTGTAGCTAGTGAGACTAGGATTGGTGTAGGTGTGTGTAGCTAGTGAGACTAGAGGCAGGCCAACGTCTGGCCACACCAGAGGCTATGTAATTAATGTGTAAAGGCATGGACACCGTGTGATGACTGGGTTAATTATTAATTTTCACACGAAGCGCCGTGTGATGACTGGGTTAATTATTAATTAACACACGAAACACCGTATGAAGACTGGCTAGTCAACACACTAAACACCGTATTATGTTGGGGGGGGGGAGGGGCACTAATTGGATTACAGTTTCACTGGGTCACAAATGGGTCAAATTTTAAAAACAAAACTGAGATAATTCAAATAAGGCTGACATCAAGAACGGAATTAGAGTGGTCACGTGGTGCAAGCAAGTATCGGGGGTCATATTTACTAACGAGACGTAAACATTCGTTGTTTGTATCTAATCGACGACGACACCAAAACGCATTTAAAATTTTGCTCAAATGACCGACCCTGTATAAATAAACGAATGCACATATACCCACGACCCTGAATAAACAAATGAATGCACGTATACCAACATACGTCTACAACATGAAAACAGAAATGCTCTAATTGCTGCCGTGTTACAGTGTAGAGCATTTATCTGTTGGTGAGATGTATTGCAGGCGTGTTGGTTTGTGCTTTTGTTTACGTGAATAACTTATCAGGGGAGAGAAGGGGAGAGAAGAATAACTAATCAAGGGAGATAAGAATAACTTATCAGGGGAGAGAGAATAACTTATCAGGGGAGAGAAGAATAACTTATCAGGGGAGATAAGAATAACTTATCAGGGGAGAGAGAATAACTTATCAGGGGAGAGAAGAATAACTTATCAGGGGAGAGAGAATAACTTATCAGGGGAGAGAAGAATAACTTATCAGTGAAGAATGGTTTGGTGCTGATGCTCAGAGATCGATGGCGCTTGTCTCGATAAGAATCAATGTCTTAAGAGAAAATTTAACCATGTTTTATGAGAGCGTGTCAAAAATAATTTAGTATTTACAGATTTCCTTGTTTGTTAATATTTACAAGACCTATAACAGAAGGAAACTACAGTAGGGCTTTTTGTTGAAGCATTAAAAAAAAAACAGGATATTGTGGATTCCCCTATTGCCCTATCTAGTTTTTAAATCTTTTATTTAAATCTTGAAGATTTCTACAAGACTAGTCATTGCTTACTGACACAGAACAACTTACTGGTAGAAAAATATATTTTTGAAAAACCCTGTAAATTGTAAACTGGTAGAAAAATATATTTTTGAAAAACCCTGTAAACTGTAAATAGCCTATTGTGACAGACACGCTGTTTTCACTTGGTTATGATGTACCACTCTGATTAACGTATACACGCTCTCCATTACTAAAAGTTTAATCAAAGAATTGTGGAACAAATAGCCCACTCGCCCGTGGGGTGAAGTCGAAGGCTGTCAAACCACAGACATCCCTTAGCAGGGCCGGCGCTACCTATAAGGCGAACTAGGCGGTGGCCTAGGGTGCCATCTTTAAGGGGGGGGGGGCGCAAAAGGTTTAATCGCTATTATCAAAAAGTACCTGATAATTAATAACTTTTATAAAGGCGTAGCGATCTATTTCGGCACCCAGGACGAACTATAAATTTTGCACCCCCACCCTAAAATTAGGTCTATATAGGCCTGGTGTATAAAGTTTTGTAATGACGGGGTGTTCAAAGTATTGTACTTGTTTGGTAAATTTTGATGAATCGTTTAGATTTGGGAGTAACGGCGGAAGGCTGCTGCTGATATGGTTTCTTAGGTATAAAGTATCGAAGTGTTAAAGTGTCATAATTTTTATTTGGCTGTTTTGTAGTTTAAGATCTAGTGGAATCTGATTGGTAATAGAGAAATGAGAAGACGGGTGATGAGGTTCTGGAGTTCGGGATGATTGAGTCTTGTGGTATTAAGGTATCGAATTATATTGACTGTCAAAGTGAAGTATTAGATCCAGTGAAATCTTTGTTGATTGGGAGTACCGTTTGTAGAGCTTGGTGAAGTTAAACGGGTTGGTGTCGTAGTTCTGGAGTATCGAGTCTAGTTATGTTTCGGTATCGATGTTTGATATGTGTTGTGAATGTAGTAGTCGCGTTTATCGTAAGTTAGATTATTTCAATTCAGTACGGAACACTACAAAGAAAGGTAGGCGTTCTCTAGTCGAAAAATCTAAATTTTTAGGAATCTATATTACTATAATATATAATATTAAATAGGATGGAATTTATAATTACCTGTAAACTTTGTTTTTACAAATTATAATTTTTTTAGCAATGTCTAAAACAGTTACCCGTGTTTGATCTTTTGAAAGACGTCCCTTTATTTAGGGGATCCAAAATTTTGTATGCTTTTTATGATGTATGATACACATTTAAAAGTATGTCATCGTAATTGAATAGAAGTATGTTATAATAAAGTTACCATGTTTTAGACTTTCAAACAAAGCCTACAGTTAAGTATTCAATTGGTAAAATATATTGCTTTTACAAAGTTACATAGCTAATACAAAAGATTTGTTAAAATTATTACGTAAAGAAATTTAGAGCTTTCAATTGTGTTTTTCAAGCATGTTGACAGCTTACTTATAAATATAACTTTAAGCTATTATTTGCTACGAGCCGGCCCGCGGCATAACATACGCCGCTATTTAGTTGTTTCTAATTTTCAATAATTCATAATTTGTGAATTCGACAGTACCAACGCTGACACTGAAAATATTTCTTTAAAACACTATAGGTAGCTCGTTAAGGACCATAACCCCCCCCCTTCCTTCCCTCCCCCCTCCCCCCCCCCCCCCTACGTTTAAAATCGTTGGCTCTGCTTGTAAACATTTAGAGTGAACACAGCTCACTAAAACCATGTAGGGGTGGGGAGGTAGGGAGAGCGTTTGCAGCTTGTTTTCTAACGGCTCGAAGAAGAGAATTATATATATAGATTGTAACAATTATATAGAGCAGAAGTTCTAAACAAAATAGGTTGGTAGATTTTTTTTTAGCATTATCAAGTGGAAAAACCAATACATCAGTAGCCGTTGAAGATTGCAATACTTAATATTAGTAGACATACAGTTAGTCGTAAATTAAACATCTAATTAATTGTCTTTTCATATTTTTCACCTTCTCAGGATTTATATAACAAAAATGTGATAACGCTTGCAAACTTGAATTGAATGAATTAGTACAAACTTTTGAGACGAAGGAGGCTAGTAAAATTTGATTTTAATGTCTACTTATAACGTTTATGCAATTGATAATAAATTAATATGTCACTTTTCATTAATTGTTTTCTTATACATATGTTTTAGTAATTAGTTTGTGTGAAAGGGGGCGTTTTAATAAGTTTTGCCTAGGGCGCTAAATAACCTGGCGCCGGCACTGCCACTTAGTTATATCAGCACCAGTTTCTACTGCCCTTGCTTCATCGCAAAGGTTTCTTGAGAAATTTAATAATCTTTATCTAGGCCTACATTTCCATTCCAGCCTATAAATAAGACAAATATTCACGATTTTAAAACTTGTTTTTATGTTTGCCGAACTTTATGCCACTTTTATACCCCAACCTCCAGCGACATTGTCACATATCACGTGATATCCTGACGTCACACAGCTCACTGGTATTATCTGTTGTTTTTAAATCATTCGTTCTTGCTTTGTCGTATTCACAATAATGCCTTGGCATCTAAAGATTTAAATCCCATTTTCCACTAATCTAGGCGTCGCTAGTTTTAAAGCGTAAAAATGTTAACATAAATGACATTTGTTTAGTTTCGTGTCTGAAGTTTAGAATTTGTGTTGTTACTTGATACCGCGGGGTATGCAGCACGTTTTGCACCAGAATGGGATTACAGTATCGTATCGGTTTTATTTTGTAGGTATCGTTGTTAGACCTAGTGTTTAGTACACGAGTTAGGATTAAGGTGGCGATACTATGAAAAGATAATTCAAAGTACCTAGTTTATTTTTGTTATTTATAGAAAAAGGACGTTTTATGTATATGTATCACATTATATAACAGAGGATATTTAGGACCCACCTCCAATAACGATATATCACAATGAATAACCACACCCACCCCAACCTCATTCGCGCTCTATACAAATTGAAAAATGCTTAATTAGTAAATAGTTTTTAAAATATGTGACGCAGGCCGTAAAGCTGTTGGAATATTGTGCCAAAAGATATCGTCACAGAAAATATGACACTCGTTATCTCGTAGTTTTTGTAATTAATACTTTATACATGAATTAAAAGTACGGTTTTCAAAATGGTCGGGCCCAGAAGCGTAGCGAGGGGAGGGGGCGGGGGGACCTAAGTCCCCGGGCGCCGACCTTAAGGGGGGGGGCGCCAAAATGGGTTTGAAAAACAAATTGAAAGTTTGAGGGGGGGGGGGGTGCAAATCAAAAGTTCGAGGGGGTGCAAATCGAAAGCTCGAGGGGGGGGGGGGGTGCAAATCGAAAGTTTGTTCCCGGGCGCCGGGAAGGGTCGCTAAGCCTCTGGGCCTATATGTTTTAAATTAATTAACATACCTCTATACACATAAATATGTATATATTAGTATATAGGTACAATTTGAATAATTTCAACCAACTTTGTAAACGAGATTTGTTTGTTTCTCTAATTTTATTTCATAATGCGGTTGCTCAAAATTGTGTAAAATGTATTCAACAATTTGATTTTGTCGTATTGCAGCAGTTTGTCTGGTACCCTGGAGATGAGACCAAGACAGAAGTAGCAGACGAATGACGCTTTAGCCCTGACCTCCAGCCCAGCAGGAAGGACATCGTGACGTAAGGGCTGGACCTGACGAATGGACGTCTTGTGTCTGGGGCTTATGCTGTTCATGCTGGTGACGTTTGCAGGTTGGTGCCGTCTGTTACGTCACTCCCCATCTGTTGCCTCACACCCCATATGTTACGTCACACCCCCATCTGTTGCGTCACACCCCATCTGTTACGTCACACCCCATCTGTTACGTCACACCCATCTGTTACGTCACACCCCATCTATTTCGTCACACCCCATCTATTGCGTCACACCCCATCTGTTACGTCACATCACATACAGTAGCTTAAATGGCTGCTGTCAAATGATTTTGTCAGCACGACAAAACTTAAGATTATATTATATTGAATATACATGATTTTTTTTTTGTTCTTCGCTTTTTATTTTTGACATTATCACCAACGGCGGATGTATACAGTATATTTTTTTTTTAACCCGGATAGACTTGACCATCCTGTTAGTAGGTAGGGTCTCTTTCAACAGTGTGACGAAATCATCACTAATGGCATGGTTGTTCTATGCATAATTAATGATGGGCGCGTGCCTAGCCAATCTATTTATAGCTTTAACAAAACCACCTTATAAAGCAACTTTCTAATGTCGAAAGAAAGCAGGAAAAATGATGACTTATGACTTTAGTTTTATCCAGGCAATTACTGTGTCTTCTATAATTAGTGAATTTAGTTTACAACGGGTACCATGTAGGCCTAATTTATTTGTATTTCCATAGATAGGCATACACTGGTTGATGTTGTAAAGTGGTCATCTGGATGAATAGATTCTACCTTTATTAAAACGCTAATTTAAAACCCATTTTACTTATTTTGTAGTCACCCATTATCAGAGGCGTAGCGACCCTTTCCGGCGCCCGGGAGCAACTTTTCAATTTGCACCCCCCTCCCTCAATTCAAAATTTCGATTTGCACCCCCCCCCCAAACTTTCGATTTGCACCTCCCCCCTCCTCAAACTTTCGATTTGCATGCACCCCCCCCCCCCCAAACTTTCGATTTGCACTCCCCATGTGTGTTTTATATTTATCATGCAAAAATGCAGCTAAAATAAGATTTTAATTTGTTTGTACAACCCATTTTGGCGCCTCGCTACGCCTCTGCCCATTATTTTTCTCAGTAGAAAATTATCTGTAAGTAGAAATAGCTGTTTTATTACTACGGTTTCTTATTCGTCTAATGACTGCTGCCACAGAAGTTGCTGTAATTAGGTTATTTCTTTTGACCTGAACGCTATTGCGGTCTCTGTATTGTGGATGAACTAATGTTAATTAAGCTGTCCATTAAGCACACGTTTTGACTATTGCTAATAATTAATATCACCAGTTTTCTTGACATCAACTAGTAAAACTTAGGACTAAAGTGTTTTCCGAAAAAAGAACTAACCGGTGTTCACTTTTTTTCTCGTCCAATTTATTACTTCCTCCTAGATAACCTTCACAACACAACAAGCGGGTGTAGCCTTCATTGTGGTGGGCCGAGGCATAGCGACCCTTTCCGACACCCGGGGACAAACTTTCGATTTGCAACTCCCCTCAAACTTTCAATTTGTTTTTCCAACCCATTTTGGCGCCCCCTAAGGTCGGCGCCCGGGGACATATGAACCCCCCCCCCCTCCTCGCTACGTCTCTGGTGGTGGGTTAGCTTTTTAACACTCATCACTCGTGATATGTGGCATTATTGCACAAGAAAGGCAATGCTTATCTGAAAGTGCTAGCTCTACAGTTTTGTATGTAAATGCGGATATGGTTGGGATTATAATTGTATACATTATGCATAGTTGGTCTATTTACAGATTTTTCCAGGTTTACTTCGGGGTTAATCCCTTCATTATGCAAATATTTTTTGTATTGTTCAGTAGCTGACTTAGGCTAAATTAGAACTCAGTTTAATTTGTTTCCATTTTAATTTGTTTCCACATACTCGTCTGTGATTGCTAGTATCTGTATTTGTATGGATTTTATAGTATCGGCACTCTTCTGCATTTGATAGTATGAATATTCATCTGGGTTTATAGCAACAGTGCTTGTAAGAGTTAAATAGTAACTTCACTTGTCTGAGTTTGATAGTAGATCTATCTGTAGTTGTCTGTGTTTGATAGTAGATCTATCTGTAGTTGTCTGTGTTTGATAGTCGATCTACCTGTAGTTGTCTGTGTTTGATAGTAGATCTATCTGTAGTTGTCTGTGTTTGATAGTAGATCTATCTGTAGTTGTCTGTGTTTGATAGTAGATCTACCTGTAGTTGTCTGTGTTTGATAGTAGATCTATCTGTAGTTGTCTGTGTTTGATAGTAGATCTATCTGTAGTTGTCTGTGTTTGATAATAGATTTCTAGATCTATCTGTAGTTGTCTGTGTTTGATAGTAGATCTACCTGTAGTTGTCTGTGTTTGATAGTAGATCTATCTGTAGTTGTCTGTGTTTGATAATAGATTTCTAGATCTATCTGTAGTTGTCTGTGTTTGATAGTAGATCTATCTGTAGTTGTCTGTGTTTGATAGTAGATCTATCTGTAGTTGTCTGTGTTTGATAATAGATTTCTAGATCTATCTGTAGTTGTCTGTGTTTGATAGTAGATCTATCTGTAGTTGTCTGCGTTTGATAGTAGATCTATCTGTAGTTGTCTGTGTTTGATAATAGATTTCTAGATCTATCTGTAGTTGTCTGTGTTTGATAGTAGATCTACCTGTAGTTGTCTGTGTTTGATAGTAGATCTATCTGTAGTTGTCTGTGTTTGATAGTAGATCTATCTGTAGTTGTCTGTGTTTGATAGTAGATCTATCTGTAGTTGTCTGTGTTTGATAATAGATTTCTAGATCTATCTGTAGTTGTCTGTGTTTGATAGTAGATCTATCTGTAGTTGTCTGTGTTTGATAATAGATTTCTAGATCTATCTGTAGTTGTCTGTGTTTGATAGTCGATCTACCTGTAGTTGTCTGTGTTTGATAGTAGATCTATCTGTAGTTGTCTGTGTTTGATAGTAGATCTATCTGTAGTTGTCTGTGTTTGATAGTAGATCTGTCTGTAGTTGTCTGAGTTTGATAGTAGATCTATCTGTAGTTGTCTGTGTTTGATAGTAGATCTATCTGTAGTTGTCTGTGTTTGATAGTAGATCTATCTGTAGTTGTCTGTGTTTGATAGTAGATCTGTCTGTAGTTGTCTGAGTTTGATAGTAGATCTATCTGTAGTTGTCTGTGTTTGCTAGTAGATCTATCTGTAGTTGTCTGTGTTTGATAGTAGATCTATCTGTAGTTGTCTGTGTTTGATAATAGATTTCTAGATCTATCTGTAGTTGTCTGTGTTTGATAGTAGATCTATCTGTAGTTGTCTGTGTTTGATAGTAGATCTATCTGTAGTTGTCTGTGTTTGATAGTAGATCTATCTGTAGTTGTCTGTGTTTGATAGTAGATCTATCTGTAGTTGTCTGAGTTTGATAGTAGATCTATCTGTAGTTGTCTGTGATTGATAGTAGATCTATCTGTAGTTGTCTGTGTTTGATAGTAGATCTATCTGTAGTTGTCTGTGTTTGATAGTAACAGTACAGAGCCATTAAAGCCCGCTAAGCTGTCCAATAATAAAGCGGCATGACAACAATGTCAGTCACGTGAAAACTGTTCGTCACGCCGATCGTGTTGACAGAGATCAGCGCGCCCCATGTACATTTCGCGCCGGCTATTTCGGTAGATTCAACACAGGCCAGGGGATAGTGGCCCACTTGTAACAACAGCACGGGCCGGCAAGTTCTGCTCCAAGTATGTGATGCTGCAAACTGCAGTGCATCTGGTGAGATGGTTATCTCAGAGGTCAAGAGGCGGAGACCTATAGGTGGGGGTGGGGGAGTATTACTGGAGAGGGTTGATCGTTAGAATTTATGTTAAGTTATTCAGTATACACACGTGTAAGTGTGCTGGTAAATAAGCCATGTCAAGATGTCAGTCACGGATGAACTGTTCAATGTGTAAGCCGTAATGCATGTGGCTAGGGTTGGCCTCGGGGCTAAGGTGGTCCGCCCAAAGGAGATTGTCTGGCCATCTTAACGAGATAGTCTGGCCATCTAAACGAGATAGTCTGGTCATCTGGACGAGATGAGTGGGCCACATAAAAGGAATAGTGTAGCTGCCTAAAGAAGATACCGGGGCCGTCTAAGTGAGATAGTGTGGCCGTCCTAACGAAATACCATGACGTCCATCCAAATGAGATACATGACGCCCGTCCAAATGAGATACCATGACGCCCGTCCTAATGACATAGTAAAAAGAACTCAAGATTAGACCAGTCGAAAATTAAAACTGGATTGCGTAACAACACAAGCGTGCACTCTCGTCAGTCAGAAGTTTAGTTCAAACATGTCCTTGAGGCCGCAGCACTTCAGGCTTGTTTGAACTTCTTCCTACGATGTGGTTTCTGGCCAAATGGTCGGAGAATCGAATGCATGATGCGTGGCAGTCGTGCATGTTTTAAGGCTTATAGAATCGAAAGATTAAGTAATATAACACCACATTGGAGGGTCGGCTCTGTTTGCTGAACGGGCAAATTGAACATTATGTAAATTGACTACTCTAGCGGAAGACAGTGCGAACATGTTCCGTCAGTGAGCTGGGCTGGCTGGTTTCTAAGAAAATGGTGAAAAGATAATTTCATGTCTGGTGTGTGTGCCGGATCTATCCAGAACAGGAAATCGCTATACTGTAGACTGTAGGCTACAATACTTCTTATCATCACACTATTTGAAACCATTGGGAAGGGCCTCAACCAGTCTATTGTAGTTACCTTACTGAAATAAATTTTACAACCCATCTCTTAAGTCTTAAAGGTTGTAAGTAGGGGCGGTAAAACTTTTTAAATTCCGCTATTTAAATAAAAATCTAATTTTTGAGTAGAATTATGGCCTTGCTTTTTTTTTTTTTTTGTGGTGGTGGGAGGGCATTGTGGCATTTTGTGGTGAAATAAACCGGGAGTGATCTCCCCTAAACTTTCTCGAATATTCTTATATAAAATAACAGGGGATGGAAACTCGGGCTATAGACATGATTTTTAATCCATTTTAAATACTTAAAGTTTTAAAAATAGAATAAAATCTCGTAGACAAATTAATTGCACACCAAGTGAACGCAAATAAAAAAAGCGCATAATAGTGCGCAATATTATTAGTACTTTTAAAATTTACATTAGTTTTTTGAGAAATCGGAAGTAGCGTAAATTACTACTTCCAGTCAACGGAAATTACTCAAAATTTAACAGAAGGTAGAGAATTAGATCTTTTACTTACATGTGAAATTTCATTTATCTATCTGAAATAGTACTCAAGTTATAGGCTTTTTAAAAATTCAAAGTAGGAAAAGTACCACTTCCGGTTATCGGAAATCGCTCAAAAGTTGATACGGATCTACGATTTTGATAAAATACTTATATATGAAATTTCATCAACCTAGCTGTAACGGTACTCAAGTTATCGTGTTTACACACGGACAGACACACACACACACAGACATACGGACAAGATTGCAAAATTATGTTTTTCCGTATCAGTGAGGTGTAAAACGTCGAGATTTGTAAACATCTCGATTTTTTTTTTTTTGCACGATTACAATACTTTCTCTATACTACGTATATACGAGAAAGTAAAAAGTGATCTAAAATTGTATGACGGCCCCTTTCTCCTTTGGTATAGCACCAGTAGGGCTGCAAATTGTGCTGGTCCCTCTGTGAGCCGCAATATTTGGCAACACCATACATTTCACATTGGGTTTTCAGATGGAGCTGCAACATTATATTTTCGGGGGCATCAACCACAGGACAGCATCAGGCAGCAAATACCCTAGCTACGCCACTGGTCCACACTATTTAAAAAAAAATTAAAATGGGGGCTACCCACCAAAAGGGTTGGACTAATTAACCTGATCACATATGTTAAATAGAAACACATACATAGTAGATTTTTAATGTATTTTCACATTTCAGATGGGGCATCTCTAAACGATTACATACTTGACTATCAGCCATTACATTTCAACCCATTACACCTACATGAGCAGCACGCAAGAGTCAGGAGGTCAGCGGACCAGAGTTTAAAGTTCACTTTGAAAGCTTATGGCAGGTAAAGACTTTGAGTTGACATCTCATTTATTCTCTGTGATGTAATTAAGCTGATGCATTCATATAGAGAATTGTGTGTAGACAACCTGATGACTTTGCTAATTGTTCACACATATTTAAAAAACCAGGCCAAATTTAAAAATAGAAACTATGTACAAATGTGCAAGTAAAGAGTTATTTCAATTTCTATATATTTTATATTTTAACTTCTTTATAAGGCATTCCTGTATGTCTAATTTCTGTTTATTTGTGTTATTTTTAACTTAGGACATTCAATGTTCGCCTACAACCCAGTAAATCCATTTTTGCTGAGGACCATGAACTGGTCATTGATAATGGACCACCCACAAAAGTAGATACAAGTTTTATATATGACGGGAATGTAGAAGGTAATCAAGGGCTGGACCATTGCAAACCCTTTGTGTTCAAGTGGTCAATCAGCATCAGAATAAGATAGCTTTGAACTTTTATATTTTGTACTCTTAGTCTAAGATTTAACTACTACTGAAACTGAATTTTTTTATTTAAGCTTAGCTGAAACTTCCCAATGGAGTCTTCAGATGAAAATTTGATAAAACAATTTACATCCAGTACTTGATGAATCAATGTTTGTGTTTTCTTGTCCAGGTGAACCCAATAGCTCAGTTCACATGTCAATCATCAATGGCAGCATTTCTGGGCACATCATCATACCTGGAAACACCACCTACCACATAGAGCCAGCCAGAAACCACTTGAACCATTCCGATTTCCACACCATCATTTACCCTGAATCTCACATGAATTTGGATCCCTACAGGTACACTTTAAAAATCAAGATAGTGATGTTGTTTGCTATATTCAAAGTTTCCAAATACTTATTTAAAAAGACAATACTATACTAAGCAATAAAACCAATTTCCAATTATTTATTTCAAATGTTTCTTCCATTTCAAAATCAACATCACCATCATTTTGTGATCTAAAAATGTTAGCATAATACCTTAGTTTATAAAAAAATGAATAGTTTAAATATTAAGAAATTTTTTGAAAATTTCTTTTTATTTATTGAAATTAATTATTAAGCATATTTTATTTATGCTTAAGTTTTATTTATACTACATGTTGATAATTGATGTTAAAAATTCTCATCTTTACAATCAACAGTATTTAGTCAAGCATTTTTCAACCAAAATCTGTAATAAAAATGTTGGAACATCGTTGAATGTGATGGTTTTTGTTACAGACACATGCGGACAGGGACAGGGAGATGTGGAGGGGGTAACATGTACAAGAAACTTCAAGATATGTGGCAACCTATTGATGAGACCCCCAACAGATTTAAGAGAGATGTAAGTTTAAGCCATTAGATCAAAGGGCTATTGTTTAATAGTAATTAAAAAAAAAAATTAATTAACATTTAGTGAAACTGGAAGCCTAGTTAACAAAGCGGTTTACAAGAGAATTTTTTTTTTATGATTAAGTGATGAGATTTTAAAGAATTAAGGAAATTTTGTTTTGATCAAGGATATTTTACTTAACTTTACATATTTGTTTTAGGAAACTTGCACATTTTTTTTTAAAGTCATTAAAAAGCCGATATAATTTATCTATCATATTTCTGTTTTGTCCAACTTAATATTTTATCTAGACAGATACTTCACAACTTCCAGTTAGTCTGCTGAAAAAATAACTTTTTTCTTTTTCTTATCTTCAGACTTTCTCAGATCCAAATCCCTACAACAAATACACAGAACATGCTAATCAGCCCCACTACAGAAAGAGACGGCAGCTTGCAGATGAAAAAAAAACATGTTTCATGAGTTTAAGAGCAGATGTTCTGTTATACAAACATTTTCTTTCAAAGAACAATAATAATCCAGTAAGTAGATATTGGTTAATTTTTATAATTTATAACTACTTTAATGTTTTGGAAAATATGATTAAATTATAAATCATAATTTCCATTTCAGTGACTTTTTCTGTAATCTACTTTTAAAATATTGTCATACTACTTATAATGTTGAGCTCTTTTTTGTACACACAACTTATATCCAAGACTTATGTTTACTTTATTTTGTACATGTACACCTTTTTCTCCCAGACAATCAGGTCATATATGCCTACACACTGTAGCTTTCTAACCACCTCCTAATCTATCTGCCCTCTAGTCTAACATACTGGTGGTATATGCCTACACACTGTAGCTTTCTAACCACCTCCTAATCTATCTGCCCTCTAGTCTAACATACTGGTGGTATATGCCTACACACTGTAGCTTTCTAACCACCTCCTAATCTATCTGCCCTCTAGTCTAACATACTGGTGGTATATGCCTACACACTGTAGCTTTCTAACCACCTCCTAATCTATCTGCCCTCTAGTCTAACATACTGGTGGTATATGCCTACACACTGTAGCTTTCTAACCACCTCCTAATCTATCTGCCCTCTAGTCTAACATACTGGTGGTATATGCCTACACACTGTAGCTTTCTAACCACCTCCTAATCTATCTGCCCTCTAGTCTAACATACTGGTGGTATATGCCTACACACTGTAGCTTTCTAACCACCTCCTAATCTATCTGCCCTCTAGTCTAACATACTGGTGGTATATGCCTACACACTGTAGCTTTCTAACCACCTCCTAATCTATCTGCCCTCTAGTCTAACATACTGGTGGTATATGCCTACACACTGTAGCTTTCTAACCACCTCCTAATCTATCTGCCCTCTAGTCTAACATACTGGTGGTATATGCCTACACACTATCTAGCTTTCTAACCACCTCCTAATCTATCTGCCCTCTAGTCTAACATACTGGTGGTATATGCCTACACACTGTAGCTTTCTAACCAACTTCTATATGCACTCTAACACTATACCCATATTAGACCAAAATAAAAGCCTCAACTACCAAATGCACAATTCCGAGGTTTTTAGATGTTTCTAGCCTAACCCTACATGTGGCACACAAATACAATCCAGAACTAACATTTTTAAACTGTTTCTGTTGGTAGGACAAGGCTAAAGAACTGATTCTGTCTCTATTTGCAAACCATATTAAAGCTATCAATGACATATATACTGTGACCCCTTTTGCCAAGACTGATAATCCAGTCCCCACTTTTAGGGGGATCAACTTTCAGTTGCAAAGATCAGTGGTAAGTGTTTTGTTTTTCTTCTACAAAAATAAAATATTAAGCAAAAAAAGTTTTTGAAGTTAACAAGTGGTATAAGTTCTAGTTTTTACAGTTTAAAATATCTAAATCCAGCTCTTATACAGATATAGGTAAAATCTAAAACTTAATCTGTTAGGTGTTTTTCAGAACTTGGTACAGTAGCAATTTATTTTCCTCTGGGTTTTTATAAATTACAAGCCGACCCGTATCATACGCCGCTAGCCGCTATATAGTTGTTTTATTTTCTATTTTTCAGTAATTCCTAATTTGTGAATTTGACAGTACCAACTCTGCCACTGAAAATATTTGCTTTAAAACACTATCAGTAGCTCATTAAGGACGATACACCCCCCCCCCTGTGAAAGTAAACTCCTCTTAGTTACCTCCCCTAAGTTTAACATCGTTTCAAACTAAATTATCTGCCCCTAATAGCCGTCACTAAACCCGGCTCTACGATTGTAAACATTTAGCATGAACCACAGCTCACCAGACCATGTAGGGGTGGGGGTGGTAGGAAGCGCGCTTACAGCTTGGTGTTTTCTATCGTCTCCAAGAAGAGAATTATATATATAGATAGGTTTAATAGTGGTATATGAATAGGTTCAATTTATTGAACTACGATATCTTTATAGATAAAATTAATATAAAGTAAGAAAATATTTTGCCTTTTTAAAAAAAACTATCTATTAGTTAATATAACATTTGCTGTTTTGCATTATTATCAATAGGTCATGACAGATTGTACTGCAGGTGTGGACAGTGGTTACTGTACTGATAACCTGGATGTCAGCAACTTTTTAGATCTTACAGCTAATGAAAAACATGACGCCTACTGTCTTGTGCACACCTTTACTTATCGTGACTTTGTTGGTGGCACATTAGGTCTTGCTTGGGTGGCCACCCCTGATTGTAAGTTTATATATATATATATATATATATATATATATATATATATATATATATATATATATATATATATATATATATATATATATATATATATATATATATATATATATATATATATATATATATATATATATATATATATATACACAATGGTCTGCTTCCTCCTGTCTCTACTGCCACTTTTTGCTGCATAATAATAGCCATGGTTAGCCTGAGGGTATCTTCATATCAAGATTTTGAAGTTTATAAAAATCCTTTTAATATTTTGTAGTGAAAATCAGTTTGTTGGGTAAAAAGCTCAGTTTTAATTTTATTGAATTATTTTAAAAATGTTTACATTTACTCATACTGCTGAAATTTATTGTCTTTGAGTTCTTAACTTTGAAGTAGAAATATTTCAGTAAGCTAAGAGTTAATCTTTTTTATCTCAAACTTTGTAATCGAAATGTGCCCATTTTTTTACTCAACTAAGATTGAATGTTTTTAGCTCGCAACTCTGGGGTGTGTGGGAAGTACGGGCCGGTGAGAGACAACAACAATGGGATCTCAGACAGAAGTTTGAATACAGGTATTGTGACCCTGATCAACTTCAAGCAAGATGTACCCCCACGTGTGTCTCAGCTCACGTTTGCACATGAAGTTGGACACAATTTTGGAGCACAAGTAATTCATTAAGTTAACTCTCATTCATTTTTTAAAGTGGATACATTTTTTTAATCTTTTTTAAAAATAAATTGCTATTTGCGAGTATTTTTAATAATTTAATATAATTTTTAAAAAAAATAACAATAATTGTTACTATTAATTGTTATCAATAATCAAGTAAATAACCACATCTATGCAGGATTTGTAATTGTTGTAGTGTAAGTATTTTTTACTCCTTAAAACTTCAGCATGATACGACAAGTGTGTGTGCCCCCTATGGTACCTCCCTACCTGACTCCTCAAATGGGAATTACATCATGTTTCCCAGTGCCACTCAAGGCAACCTACCAAACAATGCCAAATTTAGCACCTGCAGTAAGGATGCCATTGCCAGAGTTTTGGAAACATTAGCGCCAAATGGGAAGAGAGATAACTGTTTTAAGGGTTTGTTTGCTTAGACTTTTGTTTTAAATTTTTTTATTCATCTTATCTTAGCTATTCTTAAATAGCATGCAAACATTACTAGTCCATTTCAAACATCTAGCAATCATAGTATATAAAAAGTAAAGAGTACGTTTTAGATCTTGCTATCTATTGGGCAGATGAAGTAGAGTTCATATGTCCTTGACCTTGCTATATGAAGGGTATGTGTGGTCAGTACTTTGTCTAGCCGCCTTTACTTTCCCTAACATGAGTTAGGTACCCATCAGAGCTGGGTGGACTCAGGGATGTTCTACTGACATGGATCCGAATTGAACTCAAGACTACTGCTTAGGCCACGTGTCCCATAATCTTAGAATATGTTTTAGCATTTATACTGGATTTACAACTAATTAATTGTCTGTGTTTTGAACTATCAATAACTTTTTTCTTTTCGATAAAAACTTTTTTCAGCCTCCAATAATAGTTTCTGTGGGAATCGTATTGTTGAAGGTACTGAAAAATGTGACTGTGGTTTTGAAGGGGAGTGTACGGACCAATGTTGTAATGAACAAAAGGAATCCGCAGATTCACAAGTGGCATGCACTTTTAAAAACTCATCTGTTAAATGCAGGTAATAATATGGTTCCTTGTTTTTGCATTTCTAAAATTTCCAGTGATGAGACTTATAATGGAGAAACATTTTTTTTCCTAAAACTGGTTGAATTTTAACTGCAGTTTGTATCAAAGAACATGATTAAAGAATTACAATCATTCCTTGTATGACAATAATCATGCTAAGCTTTTAATATTAAATTATCATTAAATAGATAACAAAAAATGATTTATTCTAAAACAACATACCTAAAAATGTTATCATCCTATATGAGATTTCTGAGTTCTATCAATACTGTGTTAAAAACATCATTAAAATTTTGTTTACTTTTCAGCCCATCTCAAGGACCATGTTGTCAAAGTAGTTGTCAGTTTGTAGCAGATACCGCTTTTGTTTGTCAGGCTGCTACTGAGTGTAAAGATAGTATAAATTGTGATGGATATCCTTTTTTTACAAAGTGTTCACATATTTACAAGTCTATACTGATAATTACAGATTATACAAACATTACACAGAATAAAAATTACAATAGCCTAGTTTAAATTTAAGCCAGACAATTATTTTTAAATGATACTAATATTCAGTTAAATTAAAATGACCACCAATCCAAAATGGATATTGCTATTATTAACAACTATTAAACTTGACATAAGCTGTCCTCTATCCTGGACAGGCAGAATTAATTATATCAAAATTCGACAATTCATAAATATGCAAGATTTTGTTTTGTTTTGGCCAAAAAAATACATTAAAAAATTGCAATTAAAATTGTTAAAAATCAATTAGAAAATTTCTTTTGTTAAATTTTATCTTTAAATTGATCCTATGTAGTACAAGTGGGTTTATTGTGGTTTTTAACCTCATATTTGGTTTTTAATGTTTTTATTTGTCTTAACTGATCTAACAACCTCTGCCACATGTCCAGTTACCAGTGCTAAAAATAAGGCAAACTTTACCTTCTGTAATGAGTTCAACAGAGTTTGTATATCGGGAGTAAGTAGTTTGATGTATATTTATAACAGTTTAAAATAAAATAAAACAAATTTTAAAAACCTTAATTATAATATCTCTTAAATGCACTGAAAATTTTTTAATGATACAACATACTTGCTTCCTTTAGTAAAAGCATCGATCGCTAAAATATATATGAGATTTCATGAGCGACCAATGCTTTCAGAAAGCAAGTTGGTAAAAATTATTTTTAATTGTTCTTGAACTTGTTATCTCTCCCATTTATTATTGAATTTAGTAATAGTTTAAATGAAAAAAACCTAATGTCTTATTAGATTAAAAAACTATATGTTCTTGCATTGCCATTGAATTTAGTAATAGTTTAAATGAAAAAAACCTAATGTCTTATTAGATTAAAAAACTATATGTTCTTGCATTGCCATCAGAGACTTATGTATTTGGAAAGTTAGAATGAAATTGCTGCATTAGAAGTGGGTTAAAATTAAACAAGATTTGTCACAAACCCACCAAAAAGAAACCAGACATTGTAAACTAAACAAAAGCTTATAAAAAGGAATAGCAAGTTCAGGAAAAGATTGGCTATCAGTTATAAAAAAATGGTATCCCCCAATTGATGGTGGAACACATTAAGTAATTTAATCATAGGGCAGATGTAATAAGGTTCATCTATGAGGGGATTGTATACTCAGCTAGAATATGTTATTAGTTGCATATGTTTACAGGGATCTTAAAGTAAAATCTTTTTAAGAAATTATCACCTATACAATATTGCTTTTAGCTCAAAGTTTGTATTATCCAATTATTTAGTGAAATTATATAGGTGTTCATTTTTTTTTTACTGCTAGTGGAATTTATTCCTGATATAAAAAACTAGCAAAGTTTATCTTTGCATTATAAATATTCAAAATTCACATCACATTACTATTAGAAGTACATGTGAATAATAGTTAATACAAGATTCTAATATCAATTATATTCCAATTTTAGGAATGTATGGGTTCAGTTTGTTCTAAAATAAATTGGATTGAATGCTTCTTGACTACTGCACAAGGTGCCACTGTTGAAAATATGTGCTATGTATCATGCAGTAAGTTGAATTGTTTGTATTAATGAAATCATATTATTCTTGGATAGATGTTGTGTTTAACCTTATTTACACTTATGTTTTTGAAGAAATTATGCATAACACATACTAAACCAACTTTCTAACTGTTTACAAAACTGTCAGATCACAACCAAATGTAATGTTATGGATACATTATTTAAATATGGAGGGAGGTGTGCTACAATAGTTTTAAAAATACATTACTGGGAGAGTTATCAGACAGCTTAAAAGAAATCACCTTTGTTGAAAAATGTTATTTTAGTTTTCATCACATATGGCTTATTTTAGTTTCTGAAGTGAATAATTATATTGTAATGTTGTTAACCTATGTTGGTTATTTTTATTATAGAAGAAACTGAGAACAGCGAATGTATTAGCTCCTATGATACAGCCAAAGTTGATAAATATCCTGTTTTCAAACAATTGCTGGACGAAATAAAATCTGGAAAGAAGGAAACACAAATAGGCGTAAAACGTCCTCCAGGTAATATTTTATTTACTTCCAGCTTACAAGTTGCGATTTAATGCGATTTAGTCCTACACACCAGAGTGATGCAGCATTGTATACAGGTTTCACCTAGGCATTATCAATTGTGTTTTATTAAATATCTGACCTTGTTTTCTAAGTTATTCAAATGTAAACAATACTGGCATTATATTTCTTGGATCTTAGTTGATGGGCACTATCCCAAGGGGTCGGTGTGGTCGAGTCGGTAAAGCTCATGTTTGCTAAACCAAAAAGTCTCGAGTTCGAACCCTCGGGCAGGTGAGGCTCGTTAGCTAGGGACAGCCACTCTTCTAGGAGAGACAACTCCAAAATCAAACAACTGCTGCCTTGTAGTTTGTTCTTGGTTGGACAAAGGCTATGGAAGCAAATCCAAAAAGAAAAAGCAGGCTGAAATCAGAGTCAATGGCCTCAATGGCGCATAACCTGTTGACACGTAATCCTTAATTGTGATGGAAGCATGGTCGAGTCGGCAAATCTCATGGTCTATAAATTCAAAAAAAGTCTCGAGTTCAAACCCTCTGGCAGATAAGGCTCGATCCCTTCCAACACTAAAAATTAAGAACAAAAGAAGAAGAAAGAAGACCCTCCCATGTGTCAGAGGTGTCACATGGTGCTGTTGGAAGGGGTTGGGTGTTTTTAAAACTACTAACTAATACAGCGCCACCCTTGTGCAGGACACCTGATCAGCAGGCCCCAGGTTTTGAGATAGCAGGGAACTTAGGGGCACGCAACCTTTTGTTGCTTCTTGGGTGCCAGAGAAATGGCATCCTTTTAGAACCTGGGTGTCCTTCCAGTAGATATAGTTCACCTGTTTCAGTGAACCTGGCATAGGAAAGGATGGTCTGCACTTTGCCCAGCCACCTTTACTTTCCTTAACGCAAGTCACCTTAGAGCTTGGTGGATTTAGAGACATTGTACAGTCTTGAAACGGGGATCAGAACTCACAACATATTGTTTAGCAGTATACCATCATGGGGGTGGGGGGTGTTATGATGGGGGTGGGGGGTATTTTCCTGGTGTCGAGTTAATCAACATCCATGAGTATGCTTAACATTTTTTCTTTTTAAATCTAGGTTCCCCTTGCAATGATTACAAGGGTTTCTGTGATGTTTTCTCCAAATGTAGAAATGTAGATGCTGAGGGGCCATTTAAACAACTAACAGATCTAATATTCAATCCAGTTACATTAAAAAATATACGCACTTGGATAACGGTAAATAGATTCTTTTTTACATTTATTTTGATTTTTCATTTTGTATAATGTAATTTTTACTTCTGTTGTTTTCTTTATTGGCTTTATGTTCCTGCACATGAAGCAAATTGTATTTCATTTCTTCTTGAAATGTACTAACATTGGTTATTTTTTCAGGATCACTGGTGGGCAGTTCTTCTCATGTGTATTGGTGTTGTAGTGTTTATGGGAGTGTTTATTAAAATATTTGGCTACAGTACCCCAAACAAAAACCCTAGGAGGAAACCACAAGAATCTTCAGAATTAAGATCTAGAGCCAGACCTCCAACTGTTGCTCCCAAACCTTCATCGTCTGCTCCACGGCCACAAGATAAGGTATGACATACAAGCTTTACACACGTTAGCTGCTGTTATTAGGCAGATGGCGTTTGGCCATTCATCTACAGAATTTTGAAATTAAAAAAATTAGGTGAAATTGCATGCTGTAACACAATTTTATTAGAAAGTTATGAAATAATAGCAGATGATCTCTTTCAAAATGTAAAACTGATGATACATAACAATAAGACAGATGAAGTAGAGTTCAGCTAATTATTTCTAGGAGTGGTTTTAACCCAAGCCCTTAGGATTTTAATTTATTTATAATGCCTCAAAACACAGTTTCGTATAATCTAATTGTGTTGTAATAACAAAGATTTTTTTAACTTCTTTCAATGAAAACTTTTTAAACCATTACATCACTACTGCTTATTTGTTATTGATATTGACATTTATTATTTTACCAATCACCAGTATTAAGGGTGAGTTTTTTTACAAGGTGTCTGAAAAAGTTTTCTCCATATTCATTGTACAAAATTTCAGAGCATTTGAATTTTGTTGTTTGTGCCATTGAGAATGTTTCTTTGTTATCTATTTAAAACTGCTGGTTTTCTTTTCAACTAATTTTTTTAGGTTTTTCCCTGAGGGTTTAAAAATACATTTTACATTTTTGTTGGGTTTTTTTTTTTTTATTCTAGAAGATTGAAATTAAAAAACTAGTATCGGGGTGTACTAACTCTATCCATTGATCAATTTCAACAATTAAGGTTTATGGGACAATATTTTATTTCTCTCCATACATTATTTCAATTTCTATTATTGAAGTTATTTATTGTTTAAAAAATTTCATGTGCTAGGAAAAATTAATTTCTCAGTGTTAATTTCAAGTTTGCAAGTTTCTTATAGTTTTTATTTTTATTTAAAGTTAAATATAAGATAATAAATTCAACTTGAGTAGACTTATTCTAAAGTGAGAATTTCTCAGAGTGATTTACCCCTGAAAAAGATCTGATTGTTTTATAAAAATGTCTACCCTGTTGTTGAAATTTACTTACATCAGAGGGATTATGGGGCTGTTAGCTGTCTGACTCCAAGCGCCCCACAATTATTTCCTGTTGAAAACCGTTTCACTGTGAGTCAGTACGGCAGAGAAGGCAATGCTCCTGGTAGCTTATAGATGACATTAAAGTGATCAATAAAATCAGTTGAATGGTGTATGTAATAACATTTATCTCCCTAAACAAATCCTTCTGCACTGCTTCATTCAAGTTCATAAGGATAGAAATAAAAGAGATTTGTATCTCAGTACAAAAAGCATGTGAAAAATGTTCAATTTGTTTCTGTGTCATTGCTTCTGTGTTCAACCCAACAAACTGAAGCACTCATTGAGATTGTCAGAGTATTGCCCCTTAGTATGCTGCATGCTTCCCTTTATTTCGCACACATAAATAATCAGAAGAACTATTGTACTCAACTAATCAGACATCCAAGCTCTCAAGTTTGTTTGATAAGTTTTCAAGGTTTTAAGGTTTTTTTATTTTTTTATAGAATGCTTGTACCTTGACTATTTCTTATACAGCAAAATTATCATTTCAGAAATCATTAATGAAATAAATTGGTTTATTTTTGGAGTTGTATTTGTTTTTGGGAAATATTAAATTTTTAGTATAAAAATAAAATAATCTTTGTTAATAAAAAAATTTAAAACCCTGTAAAAAATTCAACTGCAAGTGTATGCTATTTGTTTTCAATTGACTTCATCAGTAACTTTTACCTAGCATGCTCTATTATTTCTTCAATGATAGTTTTTACATAATTTATCATAAACAGATTTGTATTGTACAATAAGGGAGTATGATCCTATTTCAGTTACTATTTGTTTTCTAGTATAATATTGCTTTGCTTTTATTGTTTGTAAATAATATGTAATTGTGCATCACTGGAAACAGCTTTTTAAAAATAAACTATTTTTCTAATTTAAAAAGTAAAATTAAAAGTTTACTAAATATTTCTGTTTAAAAAGAAGCCTAAAATCAATAGATGCTATTTTATTTATTTACTTAGTGTTTTTCTTTTCAAGATAAAATTTGATATGGAGAATATAAAATATAAATTTCATTATTTTAAATTAAGATGCAAGAGAAAAGGCTACTGTATTTTACAATTTACTGATGGATTTTATTAATTTTTAAAAATTTTAATTCACAGAGATCAAAAGTATATGCAACAGATTTACCACTCTATGATCAACACTCATCACGCAATGTGGATCAAGCAAATATTTATGATCTCCCAGGATATCAAGGAAAAAATGGATATGAAAACTATGGTTACAATGGTCCTTCAAGCAACAGGGGACACCATCAGTATGACAGGATATCAGGGCCTAGAAATTATTAACAAAATATTAAAATAAAGCTAAAATGTCAAACTGAGATGTAGCTAATGTATACAAGATTATATTTTTTAACAATAATAAATGATGTTTTTAATTTTTGCAATACTAAATTTGACATTCCTATTCAACTGTACCTTAATTAGATAAAAATGTATTTTTGATAACTATAAAATTTGCTAAACATTTATTTTAAAGTGCCATTAATATTAATTTTTCATAACTGTATTAAAAACATATTTTCACATTAAAAAAGAAAAAAACTATTTCCATATTAAGAAATATTTTTTGGAAGCTTAAATTAATAATTGGGTCATTTTCCTAAGTTAAAAGATTTCATGATAATCAAATCATAACCTACTCATAAGGTAATCAAATAACGTTAAAACTTGGTAAAATTTTGAAATGTTCTACAAACCTGTAAGTAATTTTTATTTTTATGCTGTGCAATGGTTATCCACTGAAGTATAACTAAATGATTTGAAAATGTGCTTTTTATATTATTATAATAAGCAATTTTCTACTACGTGATCTTTCAATACTGCATTTTGTATAACAAATAAATATTCATGAATGTAAATATATTTTTGGTCATAATATAACTGCTGAAGGAAAACAAAATTTAATTTTTGACTTGTGTTCACTTTTTAATTTAGACGAATCAATTTTATAAATCAATTTAATTTTTTCTTCATTTTTTAATTAAATGAACCAGTATTTTAAATGTAAATAGTATACTTCAGTAAATAAAAAGTAACTATACTTGATTTGTTGTGATTAAAGGGAATAAAATACATTTATCAAGTGAAATACCAGATTTAAAAATATTTATGCAGATTCCTTCCATTATGTTTTAGCTTTGGTTGTACATTACCATTTTTAACATTTTCCTAATAAGATCCATAAACTTGCCAGAAAGAATTAGATCTAGTCTTGTTTTACTACATCACAAGATAAATTATTAATCTAAACTTTGGAATACTACAAACCTCTTTGGTGACACTGCTTTTAGGTTTTTATTTATTGTAGGTTAGAACCTAGGTTGTGGCCCAAGATATCACTTAGTACATGAACAAACTGATCTCAAAACAATCTGAAGCATACTTGTACTCAACCAAACTATTCTATTTGATGAAACATTTTAGTGTCATGAAAAAACTAATGAAACATATTGCTGATTGATCAAAGTTGTTCCGCACTTATAGCATTGTGTGAGCTTCACTATACATTCCATAATAATTCTTGCTATTTGTTCCGTGTTGTATATTGTAATTTCCCTTTAAAGTTAAAAATATTGGAGGAGAAAAAGCCATTGTTTTGGCATAATATAATCTATTTCTATGCATAGCCTTTTGTTATGTCCTTACAATTATTATTTTTTGCGGGAGGAGCAGTTTTATCACAATTATGGTAGTCAAAATGGTATTACTTTAACATGGAAAAAGCTGTGAATTTTTCAATTTTATTTACTAAATGGTCTACATGCAATTCGCCTAATGAGACCATCAATCTATTAATGCTCATAAAATTTGGACTCTATTCTATAACAAATTATTTTGAAAATTAACATTTTAATACGTTCACAGTAGTCTACTTAAATAAGGTCATTAAAAAGCTACTTAATGTGTTGTTAAAATGTAATGATTAGCTTTCAGTTTTTTGGACAATCAGCATGTAGGCTACTACTGGCAACTTTTTTTTTTTAATTTTGAATGTGTATGTTCTTACTCTTTCTTTTGACTTTGCCATAATAATGTTTGGGATGTAAATAAAATGTATTGTTATGAATGAATCCATGTAATTTTTTTTTCTTGATGCTGCATTAGTTTAATAACCAGTGTGTTACATGGACATTGAAAAATCATGTTTAGAGTAATACAGAAATATGCCTGCTAAAGATCTGCTATGCCTTACATGAGTTTTTGTTTTTTTAAATAGTTTCCTGATATTTCTGTCTTAAAAGGTACATAAATAATTACGGCAATTTCAAAACAGTATGAATGTAGCAAAGTTTTGATAACTTGCTGTAAGATTTTGCATGGGGCGTTTCTCACAAATTAAAATGTAAAAATATAAATGGTGTTTGTTTATCAACTGAACAAATAACAAAATGTACCATCCCTGAAACTTTAATGGTTTTCATAAAAGTAAATAACACCAGCAAATATGTTAAAATAAATGCAGAATTATTTTAATAAACAAGTTTTATGTACACTCTTTTTCACAATGTATTAATGAAAATTTCAAAGGACAATTTTATCATATTTGTCTATTTAAATACTATTTTTAAAAAAAAAACAGAAGACTGAAATTCACAATTATAAAATAAAAACATCAATCATTGTCTCCCTCCTTAAGTTGTTTCATCTGTTCAAATTACTGAATATACACATCCTAAACCCATCTATAATTAAAATTACATTTTAAAACCAAACAAAAATGGTGGTCAGCAATATTAATATTGGGCAAATGCATACATTATATGAAACATTTGCTCAAGCATATTAAATAATGGACAGTTTGATTTACCATGCCCACAAAGAAAACAGAATAAAATGAGGATTAAAAAATAAAAAAAAAACTAATCCTAGGACCATCACTAATTTTTTTTTAATGAACAAACTTGTGCAGTCAAGTACCACATGTAAACTCCACAAAGGCTATACACAAATAAGTACTTCATCATATCTTTGTACAAACTCACTGGACAATAAATTATGTTGCAATGTAAATTTTGTTTGTCAATGTACCATTTAGACAGCTCTCCTTTCATCTTTGCAGAGTTGCTGATATCATGACTCAACTTTAACTAATGAGTTTGTGTTGGATGACCCTGAGGAGATAACGTCAACACAGTCAATGTCTGGGGCCACACATTTCCATAGACCATATGTTGTTCCAACTGTAGTTTGCCAGAGTCGAAGAGTTCCATCTTCACTACCACTTGCATACAATTCACCATCAGGAGAAAATCTCACACAATGTACAGGGCCAAAGTGGCCTTTGAATGATTCTGTGAATAACATAAGGGAATGCTAATTGATCTAAATTTTAAATGTGCAGCTTTTATCATAAAATTATCATAAAACCAAATTATGTAATCATAAAATTATCATAAAACCAAATTATGTAATAACTTACCGATCTCAGCTCCAGTAAAATAATCAAATTTGTACATTTTAAAGTCCTCCCCACCACATACAAAGAAATTTTTTGAGGGATGCAATGAAGCTGTGTTAACAGGTGCTGGAGCTTTGATTTCTTTGATTTTTTCAAAACTGAAATCAAATCAATACAATGTAAGGCTAGAACTATTGGTACTATATAAAGCAAATAACCATTGCTCAAACCTAAAATAGTTTAAAAATCATGAATTTCTAATGCTAATAATTTGTACTATTGTCTAAACATAAAAATGAAATAGTATATGAAAAGTTTGGAAATTACTTTTCAGCATTATAGAAAGCAGTGTAGTGTCCATATGTAACTGTGAAGATGGAGCCATCTGATGTTAATTCTAGACTTCCAGGTGGTGAAGAAACTTCAATTTTATGAATCTCTTGACATGTGTTAACATCCCAAACTCTAAATGAAAAAAAAAATGTGTTCTGTGTAAAACCCAAATTGTTTTTGACGAATAAAAACACGAACCCAAGTAGTTTTTGAAGAATACAAACCTTAGTGTCTTATCATCACTAGCACTTAGAACTCTATTACATTCTCGATTAAAATGAACAGCTTTGATGTTTGATGTATGCCCAGCAAACTGCTTTGGTTCTGTGAAAAGAAAGAACAGTGTTTACTTTTAATTTTCTAACTATACTATATCAAATGAAATTTTATGATTAGAAAATTGCACCAAAGTATGTCAAATAATAAACCCAATACCTGCTTCTGGTTTCTCCAAATCATAAATTCTAAGAAGCTTCTCATTGCTACCAGTGAGAAGATAATGGCTGTCGGTTGAAAAGTCTACACTCTTAACAATATGTTTGTGGGAAAAACTTTGAAGCTCTTCGCCTTTCTCAGCATCCCAAACTTTACTAGAAGTTTTTTTATAAAGTTGTATGGTTAAAAATTAATTGAAATGTAAAATATAAGCAAAGCAACAAGTACTAGTCTAACTACAGTATGGAGTTATCTTAATAGTTTGTTACTTGCCATACAAAAAGATACCAATACTACAATGATTTACTGGATTATTTTCTTATTTCTAATGCATTCAAACTGTAAAATTTTACACTTACATAATTTTTAGCAAAAGAATTATCCTTTTCTAATGTAAATAAACATGCTACACCTCTCATTCACAAAGGAATCTATTTTCCAATAAAATTAAGACATACGCAGTGAAATCTGCAGCACCAGTGGCAGCTCTAGTTGCATCTTTGTTCAGAGTTGCACCCCAAACTGCACCCTTGTGACCTTCAAATGTCCCAACCCAGTCTCCAGTATCTCCTTGCCGTAGCATTGGCTTTCCATCTACAAACATTTATAAATATATATATATATATATATATATATATATATATATATATATATATATATATAAATTATGAGTGCTATGGCATTTTGGGTCTTATTTTTTATGCTTATTTAAATTTAACTCATAAAGGATATATTTTACAACAGGATAGTTGACATTGGTGTTGTGAACACACAGACACGCCTATACTGGTGATACAGTGCACATCACAACATAAAATACGAACAACCAGAAACAGGTTAGAAAAACACCAGGATTAGAGCTAGATATCTACTTATTTTTTTATGAATGTGAGTTTTAATTAGAAAGGTAAAAAAAAAAACATAAAATAGCATTAGGACAGTTCCAATTAAATACAAAATAAATAGCGTGTGATCGTCATCGGGAGAAAAATCCCTACACGGTCGAGGGTTCACCGTGAGTTCACAGTGACTTAAATTATCAGCATACGCTAGTTTTGGGGTTATTGTGAGTTTATTAAAGTTTATTTATAGTACAGGGGCGGAACTACAGTGCCGCCAGACCCCGCAACGCGGGGGGGGCCCAGACCGATTGGGGGCCCAAAAATCCTGGCTAAATTATTTTAAAAAAAAAATTTCAAAAAAATGTAAAAAAAAAATTTAAAAAAAAAATTAAATTAAAAAAAAAATTTAAAAAAATTAGGTGGAGGTCGAGTTATCTTTCTTCTACAGTTACAAACAAACATGATAGTCGGCAAACGTCTTTGAGAAAAAATGCACAGACTATAGCTCGAGAGACCGCCAGACATATAGACAACTTCCAAGACGTAGCCTACCGTTCTTTTTAGTGGCGTCGATTAGGAGAACAAAAAAGCATTGTTATACTGTTTACATTATTAAAATACATATCTATGATTACGTGTTTAAACTACTGGCCTGAATTCTAAAAAAAAATATAATTATTTATTTCGATCTCATACATTTATAATTGCGTTCATTTTCAATTTAACAACTGTATCAATAAATTTGTAAAAGTTTAAGTTATCTCCCTTTAGCGAAGCGTCTGAAGTTTGTCTGTGCCGGCACGCTTTGAAATCGGGCTGGGGAAATGTTGCGGCGACTATCCTGGTCTTCTAGACGACCGGAAAAGTCGGCACTATTGATGTAGATATTTATCGGCACTTTCTTGTCCCCTTCGCTTGAACCTTCCCAACTCTCTCCCCTCCCCCTCATCCCCCCCCCCCCTCACCCCTACTCCTCACCTCTACCCCTCACCACACCCTTACTCTTACAATAAGATGTAATGCATAGATTAACGAACCATTTATGAACAACTGAATTGTAAACTGTCCACTTCTGCACATTTTGTTAAAGACACTAGATCTAGTCACTAGTCAGTAGTTGTTCATTTACCTGATGAAGTATTTTGTTTGACGAATCTAATTCAAACAAGGAAGGTAAGACTCGTCTTTATATTATTAATCGTTTTATAATTAGTACACGTATTAATTGAACATTAGTTATATTAACACTAAATATATTAAAGTTAATCAAATTTAGGATACAATGATCCAGGGGCGGAACTACAGCCGCCCATAATCATTTTTTTTATAGTTAAAATTAATTTTCTTGCATTTTTGACCTGATAGATCTAGTTGTTTTGAAAAAAAGAATACTGTAGCTGAGGTTGGAGTATCTTTATTCTATAGACACCATCCCACGTTCTTGTATATTCTTTTTCCTACAATCAAACACACGCTGTTGTCAGCAAAATTATTTTGAAAAAACATCAAAATGCGCGAGAGGCCGCTAGATATTAAGACGGCTTTTTGAGACCATCCCAAATTTGGTACTGATGGATAAAAGCACATCGGCGCTTTGTTGTCCCTTTTAAGTTCCTTTCTCAGACCTCCCCTCCCGCTCTTAGCCTTACAAGAAGCGAATAGATAGCGCCTCAACAACTAAGCTGGCTCGAATCGGTGGTAGTGTTGACAAAATAGCGCTCCAACAACTAATATCCAAGCAATAAAGTGCCGATATTTTTTACATTTAATAACCACTGTTCTAGAAAACAAGGCAAACGTCTCAAAAAAATACACGAATGATAGTGTTATATATATATATATATATATATATATATATATATATATATATATATATATATATATATATATATATATATATATTAGTTTCGTCACTGGCACCTTGATAGTGGTTTTGTAAATAACAAACAGATCTAATACATTAGTGATGTTATATAGTAGCTAAGACATGCTGTTGCATAAAATTTTTTTTTTAAATATACACATAAGCTGTAGTGTGAAAGATAGGCAAACGTTCAAACCACTTCAATAAATTATTTCCCTTTTTCAGATAGTCAAATAGGGCTGCTCATAAGCTCCTTTTAATAGATTTGTAATAATTAAATTAAATAACAATTACTTATCTTAATTATTATTTTTAAAAAAGTACTAAAGAATGGTATAGTTTAAAAATGAAGTGCAGTTAAAATTAATAATATAAATACAAAAAAACATAAAAATAAACATAACACGAGACACCATTACTTATACAAAGCTTCATGATTTATATACTTTTGACCGACTTAATGATTAGCAGTATTAAGGCAAACATAAATGAAAACAGATTTTCAAAACAGACCAATGCACTCATACAGATGACATGTTGTTGTGATAAGATTTAATTGAATTTTTTTTTTCTGAACCCGGTCAGGCTAGAAATGAGTATCCTATGTTCGTATTGTGTGTTTGTATATATATATATATATATATATATATATATATATATATATATATATATATATATATATATATATATATATATATGGGGGGGCCCAAAATTTTTTTTGCGGGGTGGCCCATTTTTTCTAGTTCCGCCACTGTTATAGTATCATGTGTGGGAGATACTTGTAACAATACTAGATCTACAATACAAACTTAACCGCCTTGCAATTGTGAGTTACGTACTTCACCCATTGCCATGAAAATCTATCTTAACTGACACATGAACATAGCAGCACATTCTATATTTTATTCCAAATTTGGATTTTTCTCAAGTTTTGACAAAAGTAAATTATCAAAAACGAAAACAAAAATTCATAAAGAAATAAGCCCAATTTTTGGTAAAATCACGATATAGCGTCATAAATTATCAGGTGATTTTTGTTGAGTTTCGTAAACATTCGTTACCGTAAACCACAGTTTATTTGACCGTTGAAATAAAAATTAAGTCATGTGCATTAAATTAATGTTTTAACTTTATTTAAAGTTTAATTGACAGACAATTAGTAACAACTAGAATACCCGTCATCCGTTGGATAACTGTGGGTTTCGGTGGTCATCCATCAAAAAACATCACGTCTGTCACTCAGAGGCATAGCGACCCTTCCCGGCGCCCGGGGACAAACTTTTCGATTTTAACCCCCCCCCCCCCTCCCCCCAAGATTTCGATTTTCAACCCCCCCCCCCCCTCAAACTTTTGATGTGCACCCCCCCCCCCCCACTCAAACTTTCGATTTGAACCCCCCTCAACCTTTCAATTTATTTTTCCAAACCATTTTTGCGCCCCAACATATGTGTCGTCCCCCCCCCCGCCTCCCCTCCTCGCTACGCTACTGCAGTGTCACTTATCGTCAAAAAAACAGACCCCACATTCAAAAATATGTTTCTTATCTTTTAAAAACACCGAAAACACTGATTTCGGACTATCCCTTCATATACTGACGTCACATGTGACCTACTCAACTCTACTTCACCTGCCCAGTGTCCCGCCAAGTCTCAGACAACATGTTTTTATCGTTTAAAAAACGATTCCAGCCGAGCATGTCTCTGACCACACTATCCTTTCATATGCTTAGGACAAGGAAAACAGATGAACTCTACTTCACCTGCCCTGTATCCTGCCAAGTTCAGATAGGCAACTTTATCATTCACATCTAGAAAAAAAAAATTGAAAAAAAAATATTATTGACATATTGGTCTAGAACCTGTGCCACCCGCATGAGAGCGGACTACGCTACCAACTTAGCTATTTACTCGTGACGTCACAAGTGAATTTTTATACTATATTCTAAGTCTCCTTTTGCAACTTGATTTACGCGCATAGATCTAGATCTAAGTCTAGTAGTAGATAGAATTATCTAGATCTAGATTAGATTCTACGACTCGTTTGCTTAAGTCTTAAGTTTAGTTTTTCTTGCTAGATCTAGAATCTAGATCTAGATCTAATCATTAGGCCCGGAGCGAGCATTTCAAAATTACCATATTCCAAACAAAGATTTATATAAAATAATAAAGGTCTAAAATAGTTTAGTATATAGAAAATCATTATTATCTAAATCTAGATAGAATTATCTATATTCTAGATCTACGACTGGTTTGCTTAAGTCTCGTTTTTTTTTATTGTATTTATAACTAATAAATCTTTGATTTGACCTAGATTGTCCTAGATTCTAGATCTAGATCTATAAATAACTTTCTTGGACAGATTTTAGATCTAGAGAAATTTATCGTAAAACTAAATGAAAAAGACAGTTGAAAATTGATATAAGTGTTGGAACGTAATAAATACAGCAAACGAACGTATTGTTAAAGTTATGACCGACAGAAAATTAGATTTAGAACGCGTTAAACTTTTGAATGGGAACACAATTTTCTTCGATAGACGCCGCCATTTTATTGTACTAAAGAGTAAACAAAAACCTGTGACGTCACTATTCCCACAAAGTTTAGTCAATGTTTTAACATTTAAAAAAAAATGGGTTACTCTACGTATGAATAAATCAATAAATTAATTAACGTCTTTAAATAAATTTGTGATTAACAGTCTGTCTGCATTAAAAAATTATTCTCTACCTACATACTATTTTACAGCTCTCCAGATAGAGTCGAACATATCACAATACTCGATCGGACAAACAAACAAACAAACAAAAAAACAAATAAATATTCAAACATGTAAACAAACTTGACTTTTAGTAGTATATAGATTAGTAAATCTAAATATTATTAATAAAGTCGAGTGTAGTAATTAATGTTTTTTTTTTTAAGAAACAGAACAAAAAACTTACAGAAGATTTGCGACAACTAGATCTAGTAAAATAAGACAATTAGATTTACTAAAGTTAAAAGTAGTAAGAAGAAATAGAACAATGTTTAGTAGCAGCAAAAATTAGCACATACACTTAAAATAATTAGAAATACAAAATAATTAGCAAAACAGTAGGTTATTTAAAATGCAACTAAAATCAATCCATGCACATTTTTAAACATAATGTATTAAAAATAATAGGCCTATGGCGGCAAATAGGATTAAAGTAACTAGCCTAAATGAAATGATGGTTTACAGTATTTGGTAATCTATCGTTTTAGGTATGTAAATCGCCCGCGACTTGTAATGTGAAAAATAGGTGACTCCTTAAATTTTAATAATTATTTCACATTTTGAGGAGGATTTATGTTTTTTAAAATACAAAAATGTTTTTTTGTTTCATTTATGTACCTGTTTTTAATCAATTGAATTGAGATTCAGGGGGAAGCCACTCTATTTTACAAATGGCTGCTGTTTGGGGTTATTGTGAGTTCATTTATATTATAGCCGCGGGCGATTTTATGTACCCAAAACGATAGATTACCCAATAGGTATTTAGGTAATCTATCGTTTTGGGTACGTAAAATCGCCCGCGGCTATTAATGTACGAAAAAGTTACCTCATTGTCAAGGCTTTAATAGAAGTATATTGTGATATATTTGTGTCAAATATTATAGATAAATGAATAATAAACCTAAATCAATGGCTAAATATATCAATATAGGTCACAAATTAACTTTAAACAGCAGTGTCTGCAAGCAAGATTTGCTATATAAACAACAGCCATTTGTAAAATAGAGTGACTTCCGCCTGAATCGCGCTATAAGTCTATAAAAATAAAACTTTAACAAGATGGCTGCTATAGTAAATGAGCATGGTTGCATCTGTTGAAAACATCGCTAGTCTTCATTTATTACTGAAAAGTTTTAATTCAATTGTTTAAAAACAGGTACATACATAATGAAAGAAGGAAACATTTTTGTATTTTTCAAAACATAAATCCTCCTCAAAATGTGAAATAATTATTGAAGTTTAAGGAGTCACCTGTTTTTCACATTACTACTCGCGGCGATTTTACGTGCCCAAAACTATAGATTACCGGTATTTAATATAGTAGGCATTCCGACTTCCGCTGTTTCGATTCGGTATTCAACATCCGGACTTTTCGATGCAGTCTTTATAAAAACTCGCCCTTTTCCGAAGAATGCCGAATCTCACTGTTGGAATCGAGTTTTTAGAAATATTCGAAATAGATATTCTAGTGTAGTCGTATTATATGTTTCAATTAGAAAATTACCGCCATTATGACAATCTTTAAGCCGAAATCGATCGCACGATTCTAATGAGTTTATCTCGCGAACATGTCCCGTACGGTGCTGTCACATTTTAAATAAGTTTACGTATTAAACCCTTTATAAGTGTCTTGCCATTAGTTGTAAGTGTCCATTAAATAAACAAATATTATTATAATAACGGTTTTATGGCACTTACTACTTCTGCTTACGAGTTATCATACATGTCAAATCCCCGAGCTAGCGCTTCGGCCTTGACAACGCCATGGCGTCGGTTTAGCACCGCATTACCTATTATCGATAAAATACGCGCACTAATGCCAATGACGTAGTTTTCGAAGTTGGAAAGAATTTAAATTGTGGGTGGCACTGTTAAAACTAGATAAAATACGTTGATCAAGTTATCTATTAAAACCGACAGGCAAGAAGCTTAGGCTTACATTAAATAGTGTTAAGCATTTCACACATACCTACTTACTTAGATTTAAGGCTAATTTAGCAATACTAATAGCCTTTAATATATTATTATACTTTATACTATAAATAAGTTATAGGCCTATTTCTTAGTATAACTAATGCTATATACTATATGTATCGATTGATAAAGTAAGTCTGGGCCTATTATTGGTTATGATAAGTAAAGAAGCTTGGTGATAAACTTATTTAATTATTTGTTATAATTATGCTTATGACATTCATTAGTAAATAATTAACAAAAGGTGCAGCAATTGACATGGGGGGGGGGGGGGTACTAATTAATAAGGCAGTGAATTTAGAATGACATGAAAAAGGCATGATAATTATTATTCATAATAATTTAGGATACAATTTTTACATTTAATAATAAAAAGTAACAAAAAACAAATAACAACAAACAATACGGATTTAAATCACTGCATGTTGCCAATATATATATTCATATAAGCAGATAGACAGGGAAGCTGTAACTTCTGATTTGGTACAAATTAACACTTAGCTTAATAAACTTTTACAAGAATTTAAGGTTTTTCTATTGATTAGTAATTTAGTTGTACCAAAATATCAATAGGGTCTTATAAAGGCCCTAGTATTACTAGTATATTAAAGTAGTTTCCCTTTTGGACCTTTCAATCCATCATCCATAAAGCAGCTGAAGTAGAGTTTATCTGTTTCTTGACCCATGCACATGAAGTGATGGTGTGGTTAGCTCTCTGCCAAGCTATCTTTACTTTCCCTTAGGTCAGTTACTCATCTGAGCTTGGTGGATGCTGCACGCTGCACAGACAGACTCGCCTGAGATCTGAGCTTAAGACTTGCATGTTAGTAGTTGAGTGCTTTAACACACCATCCCTAGTTTTATTTTTCAGCATTCTTCTTATTACATGCTTCAGTATCAATAACCAAAATGTATCCTATCTATTATAGTAACATTCTGGACATACGTCCGTTGCAGTCACAATAATTACTATAAAAGGGTTCAACACCCTTTCATAGGACTTTTTAATTATATGCAGTCATACTTAATATAATTTTTTTCTATATTTCTATTGCCCCCACCCTCTAGCAAAGTTTCAATTTTAATATTAAAAAAACAAACATAGACTTTCAGTCTGCATATTGACCTATATAGAACAGCACCCCTCACTTTGATTTGACTTGATTAGTTCTAATTATCCTTCATCAAATTTTGATTTTACTTTCATATTTCTATTGCCCACACTCTCTAGCACTAATGTGCAAAGTTTTATAATTATATCTCGAATAGCAGCAGTGGTATGCAAGCCTAAAGCCAATCACACAATTAAATCCGATGTTACAGTGATATATAACAGGTTTAATACATAACTTTAAAAATTCATATAAAAAAAACTATTAGGCCTAGAATGATAAATTTGGTATTTTTATCAATGGGGTATATTATAGGATTAATCTGTGTACATTTTATCATTCTATGGTAATTGGGAAAAATATCCCAACATTCCTAAATATATTATTAGAACGGCTCGGCAGACTACGCCATGGTTTTACTGCTGTACAATTCCAGAATAATAAAGGACGCTATATCGTGATTTTACCCAACTTTTTCCTAACGTTTTGGTGTGTTTCGGTTGTGTTATGAACTCATGAACTCAGAACTGTTATGTCAGTTATGATAAAGAATAGGGAGGCTCACTAACTTAAAAGCGTCCTTGGTTGCTAACCAGAACATGGCGTAAGGATCGGACCATGACTTCCGGCGAGTTTTTCGACTTAGTTCCAGAGACCTTCTTAGAATTACTTTTAAAAATGTTTATCACGAGTAAAATGGCGGGTTTTCACGTTATAAAAACATGCTATAGGTGGCAAGGTTAAATATGCCAGAAAAGCATTTTCAGAAATTGCTTTGGGGAATGTAGGCTAAATTTAAAGTCGGTGTCATTCAAAATAATTTAACTTTTTAAATATAGATCTCCCTCTCACAAAATTGATTTCCATAGTAAAGCATTATTAGTTTTATCATTCTATGAAAAAATAAATCAAATATCTTCAACCGTTTTTTTATAAGATCGACCGAGAAATGACAACCACATTTTTTTTATTTTTTTTGACCACGTGACCGCTATTTGAATGGATACGTTTACCTGGCATGGTTTTTTATTTTGCTCTTTTGTACAATAAAAAATGTCATAAAATTAAAGAAATAAAAGAATTCAAACATCACTTCTGCCTTTTCTTTTTTTAAATTCTTTTCTGATGACATTCTCTTAAATTTTTTTCCTCTAAAAATATTACCCGACGATAGACGGGCCAATTCTACTTTGAGGAACTCTCTTGTGAAAAAAAATTAGATCTATTTCACGGTCACTTAAAAAGTTAAACCTTTCAACTTTTAACCAGGTTGTCATGGATGATCCGTCATATCATAGCTGTGAGTGACAAATAAATTTAAAATTCAATAATTTAGTCTAAACTCGCTACAACCCCCAAATTTAGTGCCTAGAGGATAAAGTATGGACGTTTTTTATTCAGTTGTCATGTTTAAATTGAGAATTAAGTAGATTTCACAAATAGTAAGAAAAACTAATAAAGAAAGAATAAAATAAAATTTTAATAAAAATACGTTCAACTGGAGGTGAACGTGAAGCGGGAAATAAAATACGCTAAAAAGGAGTTTTACCAATTATTCCAATTTACCTTTACAAGCACTAATTAAAAAGTATCCAAATGGTGTTATGTCACTAAAAGACAAATCAACCACTGGGCGAGTATGACCACTACAGGTTAATGGTGTTTGCCTTGGGCCAGCCATGTTTTCTGTTTGCTGAGTGACGCGATTTCCGTCAACCGATGGTGGCGGTAATACTAAATGTCGCTTGAAAACAAAAAGAGACAACAAACTTAGATCTACTAAATTAGTATAAAATGGTTTTAAAAGTTGAAATCAGAAACAAATATTAATTGATATTTGACAAGGTATTTCATAGAATTCACATGGATCCAAAAAAAAGAGAAAGACTAAAAAACACATAGTGTAGAGTGTAGAGAAACCAAAAAACATAGGAATATTATTGGATAGAGTTTGAAAGAAATTGTAAAAAGAACGCATGAATGATCTTTATGATGGAAATAGCATAATGCTTCACTAGGATTTTAAACAGGCGAAGAAGAGGCACCCGGAAATTGATTCACGAAGGTTTGATGTAAGTAAGCTTAAGTCACAAGATAACAGGACAAATTTTCAGGTCACCCTAAAGAATCGGGTTGAAGCTCTACAGACACAAGAAAAAGATTTTGATTTAAGCAAGCCACTATCGAAGCTTGCGAAGAGGCTCTAGAAAGAAAAGCCCTGAATCACAGATGATACATGGCAGAATGTGGAAGAAAGAAAGATCCTAAAGAGCGAACTAAATCAAGCAGAAACAAACAGCAGCCTCTCCATACTAAACGGCCCATCACCACAAGATCCATCTGACCTGTTTTTAATTTCGCATGGGCGGCGCCCCGGGTTATCCCGTGAGCACGATGGTGCCTATGTTCGTTTTAAACAATGAGATAAACTATGAATAAGATGGAGCGTTTAGTCGTTCACTAAATTGAATCAGACGCGTTCGCCAGCGCCTTACGTGGTGCAATTTGGCACCCAGGCTATCCCGGTAGCGCTACGGCACATACGTTCGTTCTAAAGAGTGTGATAGAATAGTGATAAGAAGTAGTGTTATAATCGTTCACTAAACATAGTCAGGCGTGTCCGACCTAGCGATTTGCCCTGGGCTATTTTGGGACTTTATTAAACCCCGCGGCAACGCGCGGGGACGGGCACCTAGTATAATATAACTTATGAATGCTTAATTCCTTATCAACAGCTTCCGAGTGTGAAAGTGTGTGTTGGGGGGTGGGGGGGGGGGGACTAGGAGAAGGACGTGCCATCAGTAAAACAAGAATTATAAATTGGATTGTTCAAGTTGGCTTCAGAAATTTCGACTTTTATCGTATAAACAATTATGTCTGCCAATATGTATGTTTAGATAGTAAACGAATCTGGGGCTATAATGGTAATGTGTTGGGCATCAGATTTATGGTTTAACATTATGATTAATATAAAAATATCAATTTTAGAATCTGCTAAAGTACGCCACCTATCAAGAAGGTTGAGTTTGGAACCTATAACTAGATCTAGTATTAGAATTAGAACTACGTTTTTTTTTAAAATAGTAAAATGACAGTAATAATAGAATTTCTAACGCAATACTATATATCTTTATTAGGGCCAGAGGTTAAAGGTTAGTCTAAGAAAATAGTATTAACGAGCCGACCCGCGGCGTATCATACGTCGCTATTTAGTTGTTTTATTTTCAGTAATTTATAATTTGTGAATTCGACAGTACCACTGCTGTCACTGAAAATATTAACTTTAAAACACCATTAGTAAGTCGTTAAGGACGATGTTACGTAACAGACGATAACCCCCCCTCCTTTCCCCCAACCCCCCCCCCCCCCCCCATGAAAGCAGCCTCCTTAATAACCGTCACTAAACCCGGCTCTACGATTGTAAACATTTAGCGTGAACCACAGCTCACCAGACTTTCTAGAGAGGAAGAGAATTACATATATAGATGCAGTGACGTAGCGAGGTCGGGTGTCACCCGGTGCGACACTTAATGGTGTCACCCCTCCCCCCCCCCCCCCCAGAGACGTAGCGACCCTTCCCGGGGACAAACTTTCAAATTTTCGATTTGCACCCCCCTCAAATTTTCGATTTGCACCCCCTCAAGATTTTCTCTATATATTTTGCCTTGATGTCACCCCCCTAAATGGTGTCACCCGGTGCGATCCGCACCCCTCCCCCTCCCGTAGCTACGCCTCTGTATAGATGGTTTTAGAATATTAAGATTTTTTGGTTACTGATTATTGAAATAAATGTTTTCTAACATCTACGTGTTATATAGTCATTTTACCTTAGTCATTTTGTTTGTTTGACAAAGGCAATAAACCTCGCGCTTATTTCCTCTCAACGCATTGCGTTTTTCCACGGCGTCGACCGCAACAAGCACTACCTTTGACTTTGACATTTGTAAGACAATTTATAATAAGATTCTAAAATTAATGCAGTATGATTATTGAAAAAAATAAAACTTTGCAGTACATAACAATTTATAATAAATAAAAAATTAATATTTAAATTATGTTTAAAACTAAGCTATTATTTTCATATTTATGCGATTAAAATAGAAAACAGCCGATTTTGTGTTTAAAAATAATTTGGTGATAGATAAAGTGCGAAAAAAATCTTTTAAAGCTGGTATATTGAGCGCGAATGAGCCTAGTGACCATATTGGAAAACTATCAGTTAAATTTTATTCTGGACAATATTGTACCAATCAATAAAATTATTGTTTTTAAATGCTTCAAATATCGTTATCTTGTGTGTGCGTACAATTGTGGGCTGATATATTTCTATCATTTTTTTTCACACAAAACAGCCTATACTCCACTGGACATTGAAAAAGGCGAAACAGAAGAAACTATATTATATAGTTATATATATGTGGGTGGTGTTTTGTCGTCATGTAGTTGTCCATAATTAACGCCATTGTCCCGAAGAGGGAATGATTTTAGACTTGGGGTCGATTTGATAAACACTATAATAAATTTATTCTACATGGAGGGGTAGGGAGGGGTTAAAAAAAAACCACCTGTTAATTAGAGCATGGAAATACTTATATATTCTTTAATACACATAAAACTTCTAATCTGCATCCTAGATGTAGATCTATATATTTAAAAACAGCGTTTTACAAAAAAAAAAAATCAAGTTTAACAGGTAATTAAACCCCAGTATCCATATAAAGTGCGCACTGGGGTGAGTGAGTGTTGAATGAAAACAGAAATAGAAGTCATAGGGTCGACGTGGCCTTAACTTATTATAATTCTACATACGATTGTAGAAAATACATTTTTCCTTTAACAAAAGGAAATATTTTAGATGACATATCGTTAAAATCAATTCAAGCGGTCACCACATATTTATAATTTTAAAACGTTTACTTATTTTTCTCACCATGTTCTAGATTATGCTTCTATTATTTAATAGACATTTCCGAAAAAAAATCTGTAAAGTAAATGTTTAACATTGCTAAGTATGGACTCTATATAGCCTACAAAGTAGACGATATTTTTTTGAAGTAATATTTTAGAGTAATTGTTTATTTTTATGAGCCCATGTGGACAGGGGAAGGCAGAGTTTCTTCCCAGGCATCTCTTCGGGGGGGGGGGGGCGAAGTCCCCTCCGAAATTTTTTACCCCCCCCCCCCGAACGAAATGAAATTTATATAATTTATATAGAAAATATATACTTTTAACAGTGTCCGCCCCCCCCCCGAAGAAAGTCTACCGCCCCCCGCCCCCCAAAAAAAATATTCAAGTGCCCCCCCCCCCCGGAGAAAAAAGTCTGGAAGAAACACTTGGGGAAGGTGGTCCGAAATAATTCAAAATTCTCGAATTCTTATGAATGTCATAAATGGATAGGCCTACTTTGGACGAGTATGAGCAGCTAAGTCGAAAAAGCCTCAAAATAAGCTACTTTCACATTTTGATTTTTTGTGTGCATGTTTTGATCTGGCAACCACAGCAAAAACACATACACGAACTCTAACGACTATACTGAAAAATCAAAACAATAAATGACAAGTCAACTAGATCTATAGATCTATCTACAATGAATGAGATTGTGCTTTATATCTGATCTTCCAACTGGCCCTTTTTCTTGATAATAGATTTCTACTTCAAACAAACCAGAAAGTGAGATAATTCAACTAGAATAGGCCCTACGCAATATTGACCAAGAAGAAAACAAGAAGCCAAGAAGTACTGAAGTAGGCTACTCAGTACTCTTATCTTATTACTTATTACTTAAATAATAAATATTAAATAATCTACTTAAAAACTTTAGTAACTGGTACTTTTTTATCAATTTAATATCAATATTACGGTAAAACTCCATTTTAGCGTATTTTATTTCTCCGCTGCTTGTTTACCTCCGGTTGAGCGTATTTTATTATAACAACCGAAACACACCAAAACATTAGGAAAACACGATTCATTTATTTGTATTGTATTTTTGTTTTAACAAATTAATAAAAATGAATTAAAAAAAACAAAGAGACTGACTGTGTTTTAGATTTTGATAATTTAGTTTTGTTAAAGTTAAAACTTGAGAAAAATCCAAATTTAGAATATTGAATGTGCAATGTTCGTGTGTCAGAATTTTCATGGCAATGGGTGAAGTACGTAAACGTAACTCACAATTGCAAGGCGGTTAAGTTTGTATTGTTACAAGTATCTCCCAGGCATGATACTATAAATAAACATTAATGAACTTACAATGACCCCAAAACTGAGGCCAACACAATTTCAAATAGCAATTGCCCGAGCTATGACGTATGCTGATAATTCAATGTCAATGTGAACTCACGGTGAACCCGCGACCGTGTAAGGATTTTTCTCCCGCTGACGATTACACGAGATTCGATATTTAATTGGAACAGTTCTAATGCTTTTTATGTTTTTTTTTTACCTTTTCTAATTAAAAATCACATTCATTAAAAAAAATAAGTAGATCTAGTGTTTTCCTGACGTTTTTGTGTGTTTCGGTTGTGTTTATAATAAAATACGCTCAACTGGAGGTGAACGTGAAGCGGGGAATAAAATACGCTAAAATGGAGGTTTACCCAATATTACTAACGAGCTGACCTGCGCCATATATTTATGCCGCTATCTATTCTGTTGTGTTATTTTCTACTTTTCAGTAATTCATAATTTGTGAATTTGATACTACCTCCCCCCCCCCCCCCCCCCCAGTGAAAGCAGCCCTCCGTGAGTTTACAGACGACAATGTGACAATGAAAAGATCAAGAACTTCTTACCTCCCCTTAGTTTCAAATCTTATAAAAGCTTAATTATCTGCCCCAATAAATGTCACTAATTTCAAGTAGTAATTTGACCTGGCTCTACGATTGTAAACATTTGGGATGAACAACAGCTCACCAGACAGGTGGTGGTGGAAGTGAAATTGTCTGTTGCGCATGCCTGGAGAGCGAGAGAGGGGGTGGGAGGAGGGTTAGATAGTCGGCTTGTATCATCTTACCTATGAATAGAATTGTATATTATATAGATAACCTATCTCTAGAGAATACTAGAGATGAAATCTACATCTAGAAATCTAGTCTAGTTATTAGCTAGTCTATTGAGTCTAGGTCTAGTAACTCTATTTAGCCAAGTTTGGACTAACTGCTACCTCCTAGAGAACTAGACTAGTACTAGATCTCTGCCATCAAAACGGCCATAAAAAACCCCCCAAAAAAACCATTTTAAGCCTGAAAATAATTAAGAAATTAAATATTTTTAGAATCAATGTAATAAAAGTTGCAAATCCAGAGAATTTGAGTTGAAGTTAAAGGCTACATTTCTATTTATTTTCATCAAACCTAACTTATAACCTGAAGTTTCACTTTCGAAAGACAAGCATTGATTTGCTCTACACTCTACAGAAACTTGAGATCAATATTCTAAACACCCCACTTCATAGAGACTACCTCTAATTTGTTTTCAGAATTTTGCCTATAGCCTATAGTATAGAAATTAATTGTTTTTAAAACCAAACGACATAGTTCTGCCATTTTTGCTTACATTTTGTGTGATAAAAATGTAAATAAAGTAATACTTTTTGGCTGTTTAGGTCTAAAACCTTTTGTTTAGTTACCAAAAAATACATCCAAGCTTTAGTAAAGTCCTACAAAAATCAAACAGATTTTTATATCCATATTTATATTAATAACATCATGTATGCTTTTTAAAAAATTGAATGGGCCTTTCCAATTGATTTTGAGACTTTTCTCTGTTTGTTCCTTAAATTAATTTTATTCTTTAATGAATAAAGACCTATTATAAATTATTAGCTAATTATTTATTATTAATGATTAAATATTAATAAATAAATTATTTTTTTGCTTCTAGATCTAGTATCTAGATATGTGGTTAAATTTTAAAAGTTTTAAAATTAATTTAATTGTTAGATCTACTCTATAGTTTATTCTGAGCACATTATTATTGTTGATTGTTGAAACATATTTAAAGTAAAATTAAAAAACATTAAGATCTAAATCTTAAGAAAACAAATCTGTTTTACATGTCAGTGTGATTGTTTAAGAACATTTCTTAGATTTACTAACTTAACCATTTCACTTCACAAATTTAATAAACATCTCAGCAACAAAAACTGTTTTGTCAGTCTGTAACAAAACTTCTTCACAAAAATATTTAAGAGAAGGGGAATTTAACCAGTTTCCTCATGTATTTAAAAACAAGATGATTTCTCACTTATTTATCTATTGTCAGCATCTGAATGAATGATCTCCTTTTTGACTTCAATGAATGCATTTGAAGTATTTTGAAAAATGAAAATACCACATAGATCTAGATTTGTTTTTAATCACTCAAGCACAGAACATTCACCAAAAGAAAACCTGATAGAAATAGCCACAATTTTGAATTCAAAGTTGATCATGGTTATGGATTTTAAAACAAATTTTAAAATACATTTCTTTTATGATATTTAGTAAAACACAGATTTAGTGCAGTCTAAACGTTTTTTTTTAGACACAATGATATTTCAAATAGCTAACAGTAATGATTTTTAGTGTATCTCCTGCTGAAAAAAGACTTAACAGCAACATAACATTTTAATCACTAAATCCTTTTTACTGGGATGTTATTATGATATTCAAATATCTATTTTTAAAAAAAGTTTGGTAATCCTCCTTACTGGTATGTTTTATGATATTCAAGTGTTTATTCTTAATTAAGTTGCTATTTTTCTTTCTGAGTATAATTTGTATTATAGTATTGATGCTATTCAATGTCTGAACTAAATGTTTCAGTGTGCACACAATATTCTGAGCTAAATTTACTCTGCAGGATGGCCAACAGTGAAATGGATGACCTCTATACAGATGTCTTTCAAATTCCTGAATATGGTACATCTCCAGTAAAGAAAAAAGCAAAGTATAATGCTTCATACCTCAGAAGCTCACAACCAAGAAGTGCCAGAGATGGATTTGTGTCACAGAATGATGAATCTAGTGTAGATTTGTATGGGGATCTTTCCATGGATAGTATTCATTTTAATGATCAGCAGTTTAATTCTCCCAAGAAGAGAGGAACCCCAAATTTAGTCAAGGTATTATATTAGTTGGGATAATCTAGAAATGTTAATATATAAAAGTTTTATTTTCAAACTTGAATAGTGTTTTTGTTTACAATTTTTAAATCTTAGGATCAAGGTCAAGTAGAAAATAAAACTCCTGAATATGTGAACAATTTAGATATGTATTCTGATTTACTAACTTCTGAACTTACAGAAAAAGAACAGGTAGATCAATACAATTTTACTTTAGTTTGCCATTTTGTAATTACAGTTTTGTGGTGGATATTATAGATCTACATATTTTTTCCCCATTTTGTGTGAACATTATTTTTTAAATTTAAAAAAAAAAATTCTGACATAGTTGAAAGCCTCTGTAACTGTTTTCTGAATATTGTTGGAAAAAGTAAATGTTTCTGAAATCAGAAATTTCATTTTTCTAGCTCAAACAGCAACTTTTTGAAATAAAGTCTCTAAATGAGAAATTACTACAAGAAAATCAAGAACTTAAAAAGACTAAAGAGCAGTTGAGTAAAAATATATCATCTCTCTTTCTGACTGCCAAAAAAGAACTTCAGAAAAAAGATGAAGAAATCACATCTCTAAAGTTAGTAATATTTACTACATCTTATAACTGTTTAAAGTTACTAGTTTTATATGTACCTTAAAAATGTATTCAGTCTGTTTTATGGGTACTTTTAATATTGCTGACAACTCTTTATGTTATGCTATGTGTGTGTGGATACACAAATGTATGATTCCTTGTGAGTCACCTAGACTCTGGAATAGGACGCATTTAAAATATGCTTTACACAGCACTGATCTTTTTTTTTTTAGTAAAAAGAATGTGAATAAACAGCCTACAATATTGTTTGTTCAATATAATAAATACAAGATTTTTTTTCACTGAACAGGAGATCTCTGGATGAACAAAAGTCTTTACTGGCTCAAAAAAACAGTGAGAAACAAGCAGAATGTAAACAATGTACATTTTATGAAGCTGAAAGACAGAAAAATAAAGAACACTTTTCTTCCTCTCTTGAAACAAGGAGAAGAATAAGCTTAGTAAGTCAAGATGACAATCCAAATGTAACGAAAAATTCTTCAGGGCGGTATTTTGATATTAACAATTCCAGTCCAAAATCCTTGGGTGATATAGACAAACTGAAGCAGAAGAACACTGATAAAGATCTTAAGGCAAACAGTGTTGATAAAAATACACTAGAGGCACAACTCAACAAACCTACAACTCCATCAAATGACAATGTTTCATTTGACTTGAGAAGTAAACTGAAACAAAAGTTAACAGACAAGTTAGGCCCTGCTGAATTAAAGTCAAAATTGTCAGAAAAGAAAGGCCTTTCTGAAATAAATTCAAAATTGGGTGATAGACTTTCTTGTTTCAGACCAACTTCTGAGGGAAAAGAAATAATGACTGGAAGAGAAAGCCACAAATCATTAGCTAGTACACCAAAAGTTGTAGAACATTTCAATAAAAAGCTTAGCAATAAAGTTGCACATACCACTGAAGGAAGAAGCAGTGGTAATGTAGAGAAAAGATATCACAGTGAAATTAGAGATAGGCTTCAGCAGGAAATCAACCAGTCTTATTCTTTAGCTGCTTGTAAAGGTGTAGCTACCCGCAGAATGACCAAAGAATCGCAAGCTGGCAAAAACAATCTGCCATCTGAGACAGTTTCTGATAAACCATTATCAAATATTTCACCCTTAAGCAGAAATGAGAAGAAAGTTAACGTGACTGATTCAAAATCTAGTAATAAACCAGCTAATATACCTCATACTGTAAATAGGGAGAAAGTCAACACAATATCATCTCCGATGTCTGATCAAGATTCTACTGCTCCAGCTCACACTGTGTCCATACCATTTAACAATTTCAAAGACTCTATATCTGACCCTGCTTTAACAAACGAGACCTGTCCATTTGAAGTCAACCATGACTCTGTCTCAAAGGAGAGGTCAGATTCAGTAGACCTTTCCAGCGTTGCAGTTCCTGGTCATGATAAAAATAAACGAGCATTTCCTATTTCAGATTTGAAATCTATGTCATCTGATATATGCCCAAATGTTTACTTACCTTCATTTGAAACCACAGGTCCTTATAAAGAACCTGAAATTAATCACTGCACTGAAGTTGTAAAAATTCTGAGCACAAACAATGGTGTTGATCCAACGTTCAGTTTGTATGAAAGCAGATCATCTGATTCAAAGAAAGGATCCTCTGTTGACACCAGGGTGGCATCTAATGAATCTCCAACATCTAATGGTTCAACAAGCAGCTCAAAAGACTCAAGCACACAAAATTCTTGTTCTCATAGTTCAGACAGTGCAGCCAGTACTTTAAAGTCTAACCAAAGCTCCAGTGATTCTGATAAAAACAGCAACTGTAGCAGTATCCAGCCTTCTGAGAAACGAGCATCCTTAAATGAAGAGTTTTCTGGCACAAAGTATCACCCAGTTTCCAATGGTGAATCTTGTATCACTTGCACCTCCAACCTCATTTTACTTGGAGATGAAGAAACAACTTGCACTACGTTTAGCCCCTGCAAGCCCAACCTTTTACCATCTGAATTTTATCCACCAGGGGTTAGAGCTTGTGTACAAGACAAAGGTTCTCATGCAAGGCACATCCGTGGGCAACCAGAAGTGATACACACAATGTCAGATTTGAATACATCTCAGTTCATCACAGGCAGTAATGAGAATGCTCAGACAAATGCTAACAATCCTGCACAAGATGCAGTCAAGCTTAATGCAGATTTGTTCTTAAAGCCAACAGATATATTTAGGATAGACAATGAGGCAGACCTACCTGGGGAGTCAAGAGATATTAAATACATATCAGCAGTGCAAACAATATTTGACCAAGTGTTTAGACAGCAGCTTTCTACATTTAAAGAACAAACTGATGCTAACCCAAATATGCTTTATCAGCCTCAGCTTATACTATATTTCAATAGTTTTGGTAAAAAAATTGTTCAGCCAAAAATAAGCTTGGTGAATAATAATAATAACTTATCTAATGATAGCAACAATTTGAAGACTGAAACTACACCAAAGATAACAGTTTCTTGTGAAGGAAAGGGCTCTCTCTCTACAGGGGAATCTTCATCAAATCCTAGCATAATTCTGCAGACAAATTCTAGTAACCAAAATGAATTGACAGATAAAGCCTCCAGACTTGGCACCAGGCTGGTCACACACCCACAAGTCTCTCCAGAAAGTTGCATTGTTAGCTCTTGTGATTCTCAGTTATCTGGACAGTTGTTACAGCCAAAAAATCTCCATCAATTTGAGTCAGACATTACTGGTGAAGCGGAAAGACAAGACCATTGTCATGTGCTAGACCCTGCTAATAGTTTACACCCATCAAATGTGACAGTAAAGAAAACACAAGCTTCTGCCATGCTTAAAGAACCTACCCATTTAAAAGCTGCTTTTGAAATTAGCCCAACCGAATCAACTATATCTTTAAGTGAGCAGCTTTATCTAAGTGATGACGAAGCAACCAATGAAAACATGCCAGCTGGCTCAAAAATAGATGCTAATAACAAATTAGCAAAACAAAAAAGACATTCGAGGTTGCCCAGCCCTGCTATACAATGTGAGAATAGCAACTTTTCCTTAGATAGAAGTACAACCAAGCAGTCCACTTCTAACTTTGAATTAGTCTCAAATACATATAAAGACCAAGAGCTACCTCATGATGAAATCAGTTTAATGGAAGCTAGTTTGTCTGAGTTTGATTCAGATGTTTCCGGTGTTAACAAGTGGCCTACAGCTTCTCCTTTATCTTTTAAACATCACCTTAGCAAACACAACATACGCAGTCAATACATGTCAGATATTGAAAAACCATCAGGCAGGTTAGAACCCACACAAACTTATCTGGATGATCACTCAGATAATTTGCTCAGCAGGCACAGAACTTTTCAAGAGCTGAAGGAGAAACAAATTGTGAAATCTACATTTGTTTATGTGCCAAACAGTACAGATTCAGAGGATTCTGGTGATGATAGGGGCATGCAGTCTTCCAAGGGTAATACTCTATCACAAGAAGATATTGATTTAATTCAAAAAATGAGAAAAGTGAAAAAGAAATTAAATCTAGATTATGAATCTCCAGTGCAAGAACATTTTCAGGATTCCCTACCTTTTCAGAGCCCATTGATTCAAGTTTCTGAGTCTGTACTGAGTACTCCTGTGCACATATCAAGTGATTACAACCATGAAAGTTGTCAGAGGAATTCTTTCAGTGAAAGTAATAGTATAGGGACAATCAAAGAAAACATTTGTATCCCCTCTAAACCAAATGATGCATTGCCTGCTGTAGATCATGTTCCCTTGTTAGAGAATCAGTCTACAAATATGCTTTGTGCATTGCCAGTGGTTCCAGTGCCTGATATTGAAGAAGGAGAAATCTTAGAGGGATCTACAATCGATAATGTTATGAAGGACAAACCTGCTGACGTAAAATTAATAAGGGAAAGATATAATACAAAGGAGAAAAAAGTGGAATCAGAACAAGATTATACTTGGAAAAAGACAGGTCTTAATTTAGAAAAGAGTAGGAAGAGAGAACGGTCATCTTCATCAGATCGGCACGCAAAATATACTAAGGCAATGTCTGGTAGGAGATGCTCAGGCATGTCTTTGGTGGAGGATGGAAGAAGAGGGGACAGATACAAGGATATAAATAAGGCAGACTGGCAGTTTGGTGATCGAGAAGAGAGGCACAGGATTAGTAGAGAGCTGAATGATCATAGAACTACTCATAGCAGGAATAGTTCAAATGGCCACACTTCACGGGACAACAGGAGCAGTTCAAAGGAAGAGGTTCACAGGAAGCAAACAACAGGAATTGACCAAATGAGTGTACCAAAAACATTTAAAAGGAGAGTAAGAAGTAGTGATAGAAACGTGACTTCACCTTCAAGATGCAGGAATGGAAGCAGACACAGGCGTGAAATAAAATCTCCCAACTTAGATAAAGATACTAGGTACAGATCATCTTTGTTATCACCAAAGAGGCGTAAAAATCACAGGGACCCAAGCCAATCTCTTAGTTCAGAGTTGATCAACAGAAACCCTAATAAATCTCATAGTTCTGAATTCACATCTTGGAAAGAAATGTGCAGACACATAGATCAATCAAGTATACAGAATTAAATGTAGCATGTTGCACATTGTATCTAGTGGAAGACAATACTCATGATTTTTCTTTAGTATTTCTTCATATTACTAAAAAAAATATCTTTAGATGAGTAAGTTGTAATGCCAAGACCAGTGGTTCCCAACAATGAAAGAAATTATATTCGGATGTTGCTCTCTTGTTAGATCAATTACATTTATTTTTTTATAAAAGATGTTTTAGGCATAGTGAGTTCTTTATGCGGTCAAAGATACTGCATAGTCCTTAAATAGTTGGTAACCATTGGCTAAACATCTTAACCAGATATTGGAAGTATAAAATTCATTTTTTTTGTGTTTTACAAAATTAAGCAAAAGTTTTAAATGATTTTTAAAGGTTTATTTACACTAAAAATATAATTCTTTTGGATAAGTTACCTTTGTTTTAAGTATTCACTTTTTCTTTTTCTATACAAAAAAACAATGAAGTGTATAATGTATGTAATTAACTTTGGCATACTTTTACACCTGTTCTCAACAACTACACAAAATAACCATGCGGTATTTATTTTGTGAGAAATGTGTTTGCGCATCTTGGGCATTAGTATACATAATATTGTTTATGAATAAGTATTTATTAAATTTCATACCATTTATTTTTATAGTGTGTTTGTTTAATTCTATTTTTACTCTTATTTAAGCTGTAGGGATTGATTTACAGAAGTATTGTATATTCTTGTTTTGAAATATTTCATGAATGAAAGTGTCCTCCCCACCCCCTCAACAAACTTTTAAGATTTAAAAATCTGAAAAATTAATCTCCCTGTGTTAAGATCAATAAATCATCATGTTATTCAAATGATTCAGGTTTTCCATAATCTATTAGGAAAAAAAATATTAAGTCTCAATACACCCCCTCCCACCATATTTGGTAAAAAATGTCTAAAAATGGTCTAGGAACAAGGAGGTACAGCAATTTAAAAACTACAGCTAGCATTTTAATGGGATGGTGTGGTCGAATGGTAGAGCTTTTTGGCTGCTAGCCCGAAGGTCTCGAGTTCAGATCTCAAATAGAACTTGTGACTGTAAGATGTCCCAGAATCCATCCAGCTCTGATGGTTACCTGACTTGGAGAAAGTAAATTCAGTTGGGCATAGTGGTGACCACACCATCATATGCTGAGGTTAAGAAACATGAACTCTGCTTTTTCTGCCCAATGGATTGCTAGGTCTAAAGATAAATCTTAACTTTTTAAAAATCTTTAGCATTTCAATATTCAAAAGAGAGTATCAGAGGTTTCCTTTGTAAGCAATGGATCTTCTTCAGTTATATTCATTTTATTAACAGAAAATGTTATATATTAATTCTCATTGGTGATCATTCTTTGAAACATACCTACAAAAGCAGCATGAAATGGAATTGAGATTCAACTGTTTTCATTTTATTATTTATATATAAACAAAACCAAAACACTTTCATATATCTAATAAGAAATAAACATTTCTCAAATTGATATAATTAGTCATATATCTGTTTTGACACCAATGTCCGGTCATACAATGTAAAGGATTTTTATTCAATTTACAATCATGACTGTAGGCTAATTGCCTAAAGATGAAATTAAATAACTCATGAAATTTAGTTTCCTATAGTACAATTATAATTTTATTAATATAAAAAAAAAAGCACGCACATGCATAGAAGATAAGCTTGTTCATTTTTGTAAACTCTTTAAGTAGTACCTACGGTAACACAAGCTCAATCATAATTTTAAAAAAATATGCTCCACTTCTTGCCTACATTTGGCACTTGTAATACTTTGAAGATAAAATATATGGTGTAGTATTATGATATTACAAATTTAATCACAACTATTTTTATGGCAACTTGGACATTTTTCTAATAAGCAGAAAAATAAAACAATAACACCACATCTCAAGTTTGTAAATAAATCAACACTAAGTTACCACTATAATTTTTCATTTAATAAATAAAGAAAAAAGGAAAACTGAACATTAACAATAAAGGAACAACCGTGTTTAAAATGCAGCATGAATTCATGAATGGTGTATATTTAAATAATTGTTTTTGTTATGTATAGTCACACCTTAGAATCAATAAAAGCTCCATAATACTACCTGAGACAGTTAGAAATTCAGTGTTAATGGAGATGTGTAGATATTCCCTATAATATAATTGGTATAATAACCAGTATATTTGTATATATACAATAACAATGTAATCACAGAGTAAGAACAATGATGATATGAATTACTAAAGCTGATATATAATATAAAATAAAAAATATAATGATATGTTTACTGAGTTATAAACAAAATGGTAGACAAAGTCATGTACTAAAGTACATATAAACCAAGTAAAATATATTATCTTGTTTGCTTTGGAGGGGTGACATTTTCCCTATTCTGGCCTTGTTGAGTTTGGGGTTGGCCAGATTTCTGCTTTTCTGCTTCCATACGTTTTCTTACCTACAGATAAGAATATACTTAACACTTTCTACCCCTAAAATTTAATTTAGTATTAAATAAAGAAATTAATATTTATACAATTTAAAAAATAAAAATAGGGAAACAAAAATGTACCCCCCTCCCTCCCCCACTCATAAATTAAATAATTTTGAAATTACCTCAGCTATTTTGTTGCGAACAATTTTGAGATGATCTTGTATATACTGGGCAGTTGGATCCAGCTCTTGTGTTTGTATAAGACATTTTTCAGCTCGAAGCAAGTCACCACGTTCAACATAAACAACACATAAATTGTGCATAGCTTGGCTATTTTTTGGATTTCTACTCAAAATACTCTTGAAATTCTAACAAAATAAAATTAGTTTTCAAAACCATTAAAACATATTTTACATATTTTAAAATGAAATCTCTAAATTATTAGCTTGTCCACATTGCAAGCAAAAAATTTCAAGAATTTTAGTATTATTTTTAACACTATAACTATAATTAAAACAAAAACTTACATTCTCTGCAGCATCAAGATTTTTTAACGTGTTTACATTAATGTCTCCCATTAAAATTAATCCTTTGTCATGGTCAGGGTAATGCTTGATAAAAATAAAATACAAATATTGAAATATCTATTACACATCACATTCTAGTTTACATTAAGACTAAAAAGCTAAATTGATAGAAGTATTCAGCAAATAATTAAAATTGGGAAACAACATACCTCAAGTAGCTGATTTAATATAGATACAGCATCTAAAGGGCGTTTCAGATTATTCACTAGCATCAATGCCAGGTTAAAGAGTGCACTTCGAAATTTTGGATCAAGCTTTAAAAAGACATGTAAGATGAAAAACTATGTAAACTTTAAAAACCTATTAAGCTGTTTGATTTAAAGTAATAATATGAATGGATGCTTCACCAAGGTATATTAAACAAGTTAAGATGAATATGTGAAGGAAATCAAGGACCATGATATTTGTATTCAGTATACCTCAATTGCTTTCCTGAAGTTTGTTTCAGCCAACTCAAATTTGTGGTCATCCATTGCCAACATGGCATAATTAAAGTAGACTTTTGGGTCTTCTCCCTTCTGTAATTTTAGTCGCTCAAGTCTGTAATTTAAGAAAATATAAATAACTAAGACGATATAAAAGCAGTTAACATTAAAGACTTAAGTGAATATTTATTTTCTTTAAAAAAAATATCTATTGTAAATAGATTGATTTGTAAAAGAATTTTTTATCAAATTGCCTTTTCAAAGCTAGATCTCGGTCTCTTGGATCACCAGCCTCTTGCATCAGGATGGCAGAGTTGTAAAGAGATTGCTAAAAGTATAATAGGGAGAAAAAGCAAAATCTGTACATTTTATTTTTGTAACCATTGTAGTAATTCTAAGCATATTATGTGGAAAAAAAAAATTAATTTACAGTAACTATGAGAAACACTCACCCAATGATCAGGATTATGCTGTAGTGCTAATTCAAAATTTTTCCTAGCCAGTTGTGTTTGATTTTGTTCAAGCAACACTACACCTAGCTACAAATGAAAACAAAGTATACAAATAGGATAATTACTTTGATCATGAAAATAACACACATTTTTTAAGCTTACTTAGACTTTCAATAAAAATCTTTACATTTATTTAAAAACATTTATCTAGCATCATTTTAGAAAGCTATGAAGTTTTTGAACAAAAAAGGCCTACATTATAAAATAGATCAGCATTTGATGGGTCTTGTCTTAAAGCAGCTTCATAAGTTTGTTTGGCCTCCTCAATTCTGAGAAAATCCATAGATTATATAATGATAAATGAAGCAGAACAAAAAACATAGCTAATCCACAAAAATAAATATATTAAGCTAAAAAAATCCACTTAAAAGCCATTTCCTCATGAGCATAACAGAAACAGTAATATTGAGCTAAATTTGGTTGTAACAAATGGTATTTATTTCACAGCCATGCCAGTGGTACAGTTTTAATAGCTATAGGGGACTACACATTAAAAAATATTAATTAGTATAATTTACTTGGCTTAAGCAGAATGATAGTGAGAAAGAACTGAATGTCTAAATATTGTAAGATATATAACAAGTTTTTAAACAACATCTTGCTAAATAGATCTAAAACCACAGAACACATTGACCCACAAAACAAGATATACAAACTAAAAGCTGAGAGAAAAAAATGTTTACACACCTTCCTTGTTTGACTTGAATGTCTCCTAAGTTGATGTAAGCTTCCACAAAGTCAGCTCTCATTGTAATAGCTTGTCTTAGCAACTAATACAAGGGGAAAAATATGTGTTCTTTATTATATTAATCAAATGATGCAAATGAAATAGTTCAGCATCTAATGATCTTCTTCTTCTTTCGTAACTGTAATGTTGGATGGTATTTCCTCCAACCCAATTTAGTATTACGTGTCAACCTATCATGTGCCATACAGGCTATTTGCTCTACTTTTCTTTTTGGATTTGCTTCCATAGCCTTTGTCCATCCTAGGCAGCAGTTGTTTGATTTTGGAGATTTCTCTCTTTGGTGGGTTGTTGTCCCCAGCTATCAAGCTTCATCTGCCAGGAGGTTCGAACTGGGAACTTTTCAGTTTAGTAGCCATAAGCTTTACCGACCCAACCACATTGATCCCAGCATCTTATCAACATTGATGCTTTACAAGCCAGCATAACACTAAAGTCTTGATATGAGCAATGTTCAACATTAGAATAAACATGGATCTGGTATAAAAGTTCTTGATACTTGTGTGATCATTTTCTTATAGAGTCAACCCCAAACTCCTTTTGCTTAAACTAACATCATGGTCAAAATGGATAAAAGAAACAAAGAATGCACAAACTGCTTGTGCAGGTTAAGGGTTAAAATAAAATGAAAAATGATCCAGCAAAACATCTGTCCATATAAACTACCTGATCTGCTTCAGCATATCTATTAGGATCCTTAGATACAAGATTTGCCAAGTTCAGGTATGCATTCAAATGGTTTGGTGCTACCCTGGCTTGGTATGACTTTCCTGAAAGTAAAAGTATTTAAAAATTAATTTGAAATTTACTATACACACTGTCGAAAATTACATAGGCATTGAATAAACTCTAGAGTACCTTTAATTATTGGAGGGAAAAGACTGATAGCTCTGAGATAGGCTTTCTCTGCAGGATGGCTCTGGTTAAGATTTACATAGGTGCGACCGACATTGATATGTGCACCAATATCATCTGGTTGAACACTGTTAAACAGAAAGTCAAATTCTTAACACTACAGGTAAAAAAACAGCTGTAATTTGTTTGCCAATTTTTAGTTAAAATCTATTTTAAATACCATTTCTTGCGGTTATTACCTACCTGGCTGCTTTTTCAAAATAATCAAGGGCTTCAGAAAACTTGTGCACCTTCTCAAGCGCATGACCAACATTATTGAATAGTTTTGCATTTCCTTGGTTGACCTTAAGACCAGCACGAAATATGGAATATTCTGATTCCCTGTAATTTATGTGATTTGTTAAAAGAAAAAGTACACTTAAAATACAACCGAAGATGTTTAGGATTATTCATATTTATAAATTATATTCTTCCAGCTTTAATCAAGAACATCAATGTAGACATACATATTTTATAAACCATTCTTGATGTTTCCAAATAAGCAATGGCTTAGTTCAAAACTAACTTTTTTTGGAAAACATCACAGAAATATTTATTTGAATTTAAATAAACCTACAAGTGATAAAGCTATTTAGGTTACTATATCAGTACCCCGGTACCTTTCTCTGAACACTAGATAACATAAAGCAGTGGGGTTTTTTTCTTACCAGTCAAAATTGCGGAAATATGTTTTGGCTCCATGTGACACCAATAATAATGCGAGCAAACCTTCAATCAAAAATTTTCCAGATCTGTCAAGAGAAAATGTGTTCAATTGTTAGGTAAAAGTCATTTTAAAGTTACAAATACATAGTTAATATTTCACTTACAAATAATGCCATAATCGGGGTAGTCAGAAAAGCTTAACAAGTAACCTAGAAATGCTCTGAGCTCATAATAAATTGGGAGTGATCTCGCTTTAACTCAAAGATGATAATAAAGATTCACATGGCACATCTAGGGCTATAGAGATAAAGAAGTTTGAGTGACAAAACTGCTTGTTTTTCATGCTTTATGAGTATATGATGTAAAATTATCAAAGTTTGAAGGTTTTTGAGAAATCTGAAATAGAGCAAAATACCCCTCTCTAAAGCACTAGTTTTCTGCTATTATAAACACTTAAAATAGAATAGAATTGCACATCAAAAGCGATATAAAATTCTCCAAGTCTTGTGATGTTTCAGGTAATTGAAAATATCATAAAGTCCTAATTCTCGTCACTGGAACTCATTCAAATTATCTTAATGATTCTCAAACTAGAGGCTTTTGAGAAACTGGAAGTGGAGTAAGTACCTGTTCTGGTTACCTTAAATCAACTAAAAGGTGAAATAAAACTAAAAATTTGATTCTTATATATGATGGGACGGTGTGATCTAAGCAGTAGTCTAAAAGTGTTGAGTTTGAATCCAGGTTCAAATAAGTAGAATGTCCCTGAGTTCACGTAGATCTGATGGGTACCTAACTCATGTTAGGGAAAGTAAAGGCGGCTGGGCAAAGGGCTGACAACACCTTTCCTTCACATGCTTAGGTCAAGAAACATATGAACTCTATTTCATCTGCCCAATGGATCGCTTGGTCTAAAGAGGATCCTTTACTTATATATGAAATAATCTCAACCTAACTAAAAGGGTAATCAATTTATTGTGTTTACATCTAAACACAAGCAGACAGGATTGCAAAACTTTGGGACTCCTGAAGGTTGTAAAACGTCAATATTTGTTAAAATCTCCTTTTAGATTTTTTTGCACAATCGTAATACATCCTTTATATTTTGTATATGTTAAAGTAGGGAGGTGTAAAACAGTGAAAACTTTCATTTAATTTTTTCACAATTACAATATTATACACGAAAAAGTTAAAGTTTCTATGTTTAAGATTTAATTTAATTACTGAGTTCTGTTTGTAGTGAAAATACACAAAAGCAACACCCTATTTGTTTTAAAAACTATATCTACTGTTACAGTTGCCAACTTTTGACCTATCTTTGTTTTTGCATTTGAAGCATTAATAAAACGTATAATTACTAAAGCAGATGATCATTTTATCATTTAACAAATACCATTAGCACAATGCAGCTATAAAACATACAAAAATTGAAACTGTTTCTCTTACTGTGCTTTTTCTTTTAAAATTTGAAATCCAAGGGCCACCAACATGCAGAAGCCAAAACTAGGGGTATATAGGATTCTCTCAGCAACAACAAAACCAACAGGAAAAAACAAATTGGATGCAGGAATGAATGGAAGTATCATAACAGCTAAGCTCTGAAATACAAACATTATTCTATTGAGTTTTGTTTATAAATTATATTTAAATTATACTTAAAATAAAATTATTACCATTAACAAACAATATTTTCTTGCACCAATAATTATGTAATTTATAATTAGAAAAGGCATTTTTATAATGTAATTTTTAGACATTAAACAAGGATAGAAATACTCTTTTCAATTTTACATTCTACTCTCTATAAAATTTTAATTTTTAAACGCAGGACCGGTACCTAAGTTGTATGTTCATAGTTGGAAAAAAACTGCAAATAAAATTAGATTGATAAAAAATGAATATGCTGTTACCATAACAACAGTTCTGGACCTCTGTGTCTGCTGGAATATAGCATATGTTCCTAATGCTGCCATAACAGCATAGAACACAACAGTGCACAGATTGCGGAGATCAAAAATAGATGTAATAACTTTGATGGTACCCATGGTCCAATCACAGCAAAGACCTGATGGGTTCAGCAACAGCCAGGCATTGACTGGAAGTAGGTAGTTGAAGGTAAGCTGGCGAGCAGGTGTTGGTGAGGTAGAAGCTGGATTGTCAAAACTATAAGAGATAAATAAAAACATACACAATTCAGAAAATATATCTAAATAATTACATTGACAGTATCAAATTTCTCAAGAATAAAGTTACAATATCAAATAATAAATTACAATTTTATTGATGATGTTTTCTAGCAGTTAAGTAATAGAGAAAGTTTGTAGTACTATATAGATTGCTATAAAAACTAACTTTGTAAATACTGGTAACTGAGCTCCCATAACCTTGATTCTTGCAAATAGAAGGAATGTAGTAGAAAACACCAGGAATCCACCACGAAATAATGATGTTTTTAGCCAACTAGGTATGCCAGACTTTCCTCTCAAAATTCCTTGAAATATTGACCACAAATCCTGCACTGTGCACTGTTAAGAAAGCATTTAAAATGATTAACTCACTATTTTCAACCTATCAGCAATGAAGTGAAATGTTACTTTTGTTATTTAGAATCTTACCCTTTGAACAATAAAGATCTCATAGACACAACATACACCAATCACAGTTATTCCCTGTTCTTTACACAGCATAGCAACTGTTACCAGCAAGACAGTTAACAGCAGGTGATTCCATTCTAAAAAAACAATTTTCATGAAAATTCATTGTTTGATTACCAAAAATAATTGATGACAATATCTTTAAAGCTATAAACAGTTTTAAAAAAAAAGAGACTCATAATAAAGTACTTTTTTTTTGCATGATTGTGCTATTTGATATAATGGCTTTAATGCTGTTGTTCAGTAATGCATTGTTGCAACTTAAATTATGTTAAATAAGATATTTTAACATAGTCATGAATCCAATACTTTTTAAAACTTTAAATTTGTTTTTTTTAAAGTAATTATTAAGGCTGATGTTTTAAGCAAGAGAAGAATAGTGATATTTTCCTTTTAAAGGAAATATTTTAATAAACTTAAATGATTTACCTGTAGGTTTTCTGTATCCTGTTGACTTTGAATAAGATATAAAGGCTCCTAAGAAAAAAATGGATGACAATGTTTCAGCTCTGCCTACCACTCCTGTTACCTGTTTAGAGAATAGAAGATGTTAAACTAAATACTTTATAGTACTCAGCAAAACTAAGTCAACATTTTTAGAAAATTATGCAAACATAGTGATAAACTAAGACAACAACTTCAGAGTAAGCATCAAATCAAAACTTACTGCTTCAGTGTGAATTGGATGAACTGCAAACAGTAATGCAGCCAAAAAACTTGTCCCTCCAGTCATAAACATTGTGCAAACACTTGAACAAAAATTATATATTTTGAAAAAAAGAAAACACTTCAAAAAACTAAAAACTTGATATAATATGGCTGTTGTTTAAAAGGTGAAATTATCAAAATTAAATTTTTACCTCATAAACATAACACAGACAATAGCATGTAGAACAACATTCATAAGATGATAGCCAAGAGGATCTAGTTCACCAATAGCGTAATTCAATCGAAATGTAGCAACACATAGTGGTCGATAGGATTTATGGCTTTTTTCCTAATATTCAAAAAAGGTAAATGTTTATAATTTTCAATCATAAGCTAAATGTTATATATGTTTGTGTATTTAAATTTTTTATCAGCACAAGACAAACATTGATAGAAAACATACAAATACACATTCTACCTTATGCATTGGTGTGCCCCAAAAATCATTAAGAAACAAGTCAAAAAATGGAGTGTTTGGCCGGAGATCTTTGTTGTCTACTATTGCTGACATATCATCAAAAACAAATCCACACCAGATGGCATTGTGATAGACCAATGCAACAACAGCACATAACAAAAGTGATAGGAAAACAAACTGTTCCATCTGAAAACAAATTATGTTTGTCATATAACAAAACAAGTGTACCCATAACACAACACAATATGATTAATGGTTACCATTAGGGTAGCAATTCGAAAAAAATTATATCTTTGGTTTTCACATTAATATTATAAATCAGACATTCAAGATCTGGATCTAGTTTAATACCGCATTTACACTTGCGACATGTATACTATACATTTCTAGGAAAAAAACTTCGCTATAGGGCCTAAGATAATAGGGGAGCCTACTCACTTATTGCGAAGGTTTTTTTTCTAGACGTGTATAGTATACATGTTGCAAGTGTAAACACGGTATAAGCATGGAAAATTCTTGAACTCTAAAATTAGATTCATCTATGACCTACTAACAATACATTTTAGGAGGAATGTTAAGGGCCACTTAAAACAGTTAGGAGGAACTGATTTTTCACTAACATTGGCAATGCGAATATTGCCAATATTAAAAAAATTATATAATATAGGCCTAATATTAATAATTTAGACAAAATTAAAATTTAGCCCCTAATGATTTTTAGTTCAGTCAAATTTAAAAATGTTAGGCCTATTAGTTCTAGTCTAGATCTATGTGAATATGTATTAGTATTATAATATATAGGCTAATAAGTAAGTATTTAACTTGATAAATGTCTGAGGCTAATCTTATGTTAAATTACTAAAAACAACTAAAGCTAAAAAAAAAATTAATTTACTACAGTGGTAAGTTACAATACTAGATCTAGATTCTACTTACTAGATCTAGACTAGATCTCTAGAATCTAGATCTAAGACTAACAGTAACATGATACTAATATAATTATTAATTAAATATAAGCTGTTGCTGTAGGCCTATAGAATAAAGGGTAATCTATCGTTTTATGTGCGTAAAATCGGCCGAGGCTAGTAATGTGAAAAAAAGTTGCCTCATTTTTATGGCTTTAATACAAGTATATTGTGATATATTTGTGTCTAATATAATAGATAACTGAATGATAAACCATAAGCAATCACTAAATATATAGGCCAGAAATTAACTTTAAACAGAAGTTTACTATACTATATAAACAGCAGCCATCTGTAAATTAGAATGGTTTCCTCTGAATCTCTAACTATAATTTTACCAAAAAAAAAAACTTAAACAAGATGGCTGCTAAAGTAAATGAGTTTGGTTGCATCTGATGAAAATATCTCTAGTCGTTATTAATACAATTGTCTAAAAACAGGTACATGAGTGATACTTATTTTGAAACATTTTTGTAACTTTCAAAACATAGATTTAGATCTAAATCCTTCTAAAAATGTGAAATAACTACTAAAATTTCGTGAGTCACCTTTTTTTCACATTACAAGCCTAGGCTGATTTTATGTACCTAAAATGACAGATTACAGATAAAGTATAGTTTAGGATAGGCCTAACGTTTATATTTTTATAAAGATTTCTCAGGTCTAAGTCAGTGAATCACTCATCAGTAATGAGAAGGCCTAATGAAATTAGATAATTTCTTCTTTGGCCTAGATCTAGAATCTAGATGATATGAATATTAATAAAATAATGATATTATGATATGAATGATTGATGAATGAATGTAGATATTCTAAATGACACTAAACGTTGATGTGGTGATAAATGACTCAGAATCAGATTATGAGACTATAATGAGAGTGAGACTTAGAATGTCATTTAATTAATAATTTGGATGATTATAGATACCGGTGTCCGATAATGGAATCTTCTTTAAAAAAGGGGTGTCAGGTTGTTAGTAGTTTGTAATCTCGACAAATTTTATTAATGGTTAGAAATTAGGGTTATGCGTATGGTAGGACCAGGGTTCGGGTTAGCATTGACATTAGCAAGTCATGTGTGCATTTAGTTAACTACCAGTAACCTATCTCCCCTTTTTTAAAGAAGATTCCATGATGATTATCGGACTCCGGTGTAAACATTCTCCCAATATTTTTAAAATTTAGGCCTAGGCCTAACATTTTTTGGTAATCTATCGTTTTAGGGCGTAAAATCTACGAAGGCTAGTAATGTGTGAGAAAGGTGGCTCATTAATATGGCTTTAATACAAGTATATTATTATATTTTTGTGTCAAATATAACAGATGAGCCGACCCGCTGCGTATCATATGCCGCTATTTAGTTGTTTTTTGTCTACTTTTCAGTAATTTATAATTTGCTGCCACTGAAATTTTTTTCTTAAAAACACTAAACCCCCTCTTCCCCCCCCCCCCACGTGAAAGCAGCCTCCTCTTAGTTACCTCCTCTTAAGTTTAAAATCGTTTCAAACTAAATTATCTGCCCCTAATAGCCGTCACCAAACCTGTCTCTATGATTGTAAAATGTAAACAGCGTGAACCACAGCTCACCAGGCCATGTGAGGGGGTAGCGATAGAGAGGAAGAGAGGGGACTGTAAGGCGCGCTTGCAGCTTGTTTTCTAAAGGCTCCCAGAAGAGAATTATATATATAGATAATTGAATAATAAACCAAAAGCAATTCTAAATATATCTATAAAGCCCAGAAATTGACTTTAAACAGCCTAGTTTCTTGTTTGTGAGCAAGGTTTGCTATATAAACAGCTGCCATCTGTAAATTAGAGTGGTTTCCCCTGAATCTCTAGCTAAAACGTTACTAAAAAACTTAAACAAGATGGCTTCTAAATTCTAAAGTAAATGAACTTGGTTGCATCTGATGAAAACATCGCTAATCTTTAGTTATTACTGAAAATTTTTAATACAATTGTTTAAAAATAGGTACATGAATGAAGGGTTGAAACATTTCTGTAACTTTTACAAAATAAATCTTTCTAAAAATTTGAAATAATTACAAAAAGTTGATGAGTCACCTTTTGGTAAAATCTTAGTTTAGCGTCGTAAATTCCAACGTAGCTAGTAATGTGCGATGAAGGTAACTAATGAATATTTCTTTCATTTGGCCATATTTATGTCATATTTTACATAATATAACAGATAATTGAATAACAAATCACAATCTAAGACCAAACCAGTCATAAATATCCTGGAATAAACTTTAAACTACCCCGTTCGAGACAACAATGAGTAAACACAAGCAGCGGCCATGTTTCAAAAACAATAATAGACTAGTTTCCCTTGAAAAATTGTCTATTCGCATGTCTTTTGTGTTGATTTTGTGGTTTAATATGCTTGTTTTGTATTGTTTTAATATATGCCTGGGGGTCGTCCATAAATGACGTCACACTCGTAGGGGGAAGGGGGGTCGGTAATTTTGTGACGGTGTGTGGTGAGGGGGAGGGGTTCAGATGGTGCGACGTCACACTTTTGCATTATAAAAAAGCAATGTTAGAAAACGAATTTTAGACGTTATTTTGCGTTTTAGAAAACTGTTTTAATACATTGTACTAACAATTGATTAAAATACTCTATTTTGACAGAGTTCAGACAAGATTTTGGAAAAATATAGCTGTTTTAAAAAAAATTCAACTGCAATTTTGAGGGAGGTTGTAGGCTGAGGTGTGACGTCATTTTAGGGGGGGGGGTCTGGCTTTTGGTGACGACGTGTGACGGAGGGGAGGGGGGGGGGGGGGGGGAAAGGTAAAAATCGTCAAAAAAGCGTGACGTAATTTATGGATGACCCCCTGTATAGTAATTTTACTTTTTTTTTCAATATAGTTGACATGAATGACTAATAGACCTTTTCAGACTTAATAGTGTGCATCCAAGACCACAACAATTGTTGGGAGGTCGAACTTTTGAACACTTTATTTGCAGTAATCAAATCAATATTAGATCGCTCATAAATGACGTCGCTCTTAAGATAGTAATGACAGCGTGCATGATTACAGAACAAACATATGAACATATTGTTTCAGATAGAAATTGTGATTTGTGGTGGGGAGAGGTTGAGTAGAACTCAGCGGTGTGATTTTGGAGACGGGTCAGGTTTTTTCTCTCGTGAAAACAGGGGATGATTGTGGGAGAAAGACCAGCTGTAGAAGTATGACGCGTCATTCATTGGTGATCCATTTTCTCAGTGGGGACGATAGAACTATTAAGAAGGGTCAAGAAATGTAAAAAGCTTGCTGAGTCGCATTTCTTGAACCCCACCTTTTTCATTCCCCCACTTAGTACATCGTCACCGAGTTAGCGCTCGCACGTGACGTCATGTACCGGTACCGCCGACCGTTAGGCTAATTTTATATTTAAAAAAAAAACAACAAGCACTGCCTTTTTGACGCTTATGCGACGTTTAATTTGATTACATAAGTTGGTGTTCATTAAACAGCCCCTAACACACCTATCACTCGTCCATTTAAACGTACGTAGTTATTCCTGCAAGCTTGCTGCCTATTAAGCTCTCACCGTATAGAACTAGACTACCCATATTAAGCTCCAAAAGAAGCTTGGTGAAAACAGGATGGCCGTCCGATTTTGAAGCTGCTCTGCGCTTTATAAAAAGCACAATAAACGATAAGATGACACTTATATTAAAGTAAATTATAGTTCTGAATCTTGATACATTAAAAGTGATATTCGGAAATTAAGAGCCAGACAGTCAACATGATATTTCAATTTAAGTCCAAGAAAATAAATTTCCTCAAACGATGGAACATTACTAAATTTTCGCGCAGTTTAGCGAAATTGAATTTAAGTATTTACGTCATCTTACAAAGCGCGATAGCCTACTGGTGCTCTAACGCGGCCCATGCTAATGGCCGTATTCCTAACGCCCCGCATTAGACGCGGCTTATTCGTCGGCAGGCATTTGGTGGCAAGCCTTTTTGACGGGGATAATGTGTTAAGTTAAGGCCGTTTTGCCAAATGTTTTGCCAAAACAGCAGGCTTGCAACATTTGTGATGATTCGTTTTAAGCAAGGTATACGTATACTAATGCTTATTTATCATTATTTTGATTGAACAAAGCATTATAGAGGTTCTCCATCAACCACCTAGGTATTTTTCCCCGTTCACCTCCTTTCGTGAGACCGACACATCATAAATTGCGGAGCGGAGCCGCCTGAGTTGACGTCACAAATCTTCACTCACTCCCGTAGCAAATCATATGTGATATCATTTATGGACAACCCCATACCACTCACTTGGGTACTTGATGTTGACATTTTGACAACAAAGGATAACCAAAATGTGTCTGGCGGGTGGAGACTTGCGATCGACCATAATGACAACACGCACTTAAGGGGTCATCCATAAATGACGTCACACTCGTAGGGGGGAGGGGGGTCCGTAATTTTGTGACGATGTGTGATGAGGGGGAGGGGGGGGGGATCAGATGTTGCGACGTCACACTTTTGCATTTAAAAAACCAATGTTAGAAAACGAATTTAAGACTTATTTCGCGTTTTAGATAACTGTTTTAATAAATTGTAATAGTTTAGACAAGATTTTGGAAAAATATCGATGTTTTAAAAAAAATTCAACTGCAATTTTGAGGGGGGTTGTAGGTTGAGGTGTGACGTCATTTTAGGGGGGGGGGTCTGGCTTTTTGTGACGATGTGTGACGGAGGGGAGGGGGGGAGGTAAAAATCGTCCAAAAAAGCGTGACGTCATTTATGGATGACCCCTAAGGGGTGGAGTGGCTGATTATTTTAGGTGATGTTTTACGAGGGAAGCGGGTGGATAATATATTTTGTCTCTCTGTATATATAAATGATGACAAACATTTATTGTTGTCAAAATTAAGGCTAGAGATCTTAGATAAGGCAGAGCGAAGCGTAATTTTTTACATTGGGGTCATCCATAAATGACGTCACGCTTTTTTTGACGATTTTTTACCTTCCCCCCCCCCCCCCATTTCTCCGTCACACGTCGTCACAAAAAGCCAGCTCCCCCCCCCCCCCTAAAATGACGTCACACCTCAACCTACAACCCCCCCCCCCTCAAAATTGCAGTTGAATTTTTTTAAAACATCGATATTTTTCCAAAATCTTGTCTAAACTATTACAATTTATAAACAGTTATCTAAAACGCGAAATAACGTCTAAAATTCGTTTTCTAACATTGCTTTTTTATAATGCAAAAATGTGACGTCGCAACATCTGAACCACCCCCCCCCCCCTCCCCCTCATCACACATAGTCACAAAATTACGGACCCCCCCCCCTCCCCCTACGAGTGTGACGTCATTTATGGATGACCCCTTATGACTTGTTGTGACATTGACAACAAAAATATGACGGAGGTTGGGGTTTAATTAAGGTAAAGAGAAGTAAAAAGAATGTCATAAGTTACGATAGAATCACTAATTGATGAAAAGAAAAACCTGAAATGAAAATAGTGAACATTCAAACAATAAGAAAAAACTCAAACTATATAGTAATAGTAAGATCAAATAAACATTAGTAAAAAAAAAACGTGATTTAAAACATGGATACAAGTTGCATCTCACAATGCTTCTAGAATTAATAAAATTGTTTGTTAGGAGATTCAGTTTTTAAAGAGCAGAATTAAAAAAAAAATGCTTTGTTATACGGACTATACAACAAGACAATCATATTTAAATACATTTTCATACGAATAGAAATGAAAGGGAAGCTACTCTAAATAACATTTTCTTAAGATGGCTGCTGTTTTTAATAGCAAATTTACTATCTCGAACAGGGTTGATAAAAATTAATTTCAGGATATTTAAATTGATTTAACCATAAATGGTGATCTATTATTCAATTATTTATAATATTTTATCAAAATATACGAAAATATACTCATATTTAATGACATATTCATTATTGCACTCTCTCCTACATTACTAGTTTTGGCCGAATTTACGACGCTAAACTAAGATTTTACCCACCTTTTTTCACATTACTAGCCTTGGCCGATTTTACGTACCAAAAACGATAGATTATCCATTTGTTTATTTATTATTTATCACTATAACAGTTAATATCATAGTTAATAAATGATATCAAATAAATTAATATGACATGAGTTATCACCACATTTTTTAATTTAATGAATCATGTTTAAATGTTTTTTTTCAGTTTCTGACTCAGTTTAGACTAGAATTCCCTAGAATCTATTTTTTTTTAAACCATCTTCAAATTTAGAGCTGAAAAAATACAATGATAATACCCTCTTAATGTTGCCTTAGGCAGTTTAATGCATCATACATGTTAACAACAGTGTGTGCTGTTTAAATAAAAATATTATTGTCTGTAAAAAATAAATTCTATGGATGCTACCATCTTGTTGCCATACGGCATCTCCAACGTTCAAAGGTAAATAATGGTAATACTAGATTCTACAAATTGGAAACCGGCGAAACAGGTTTTCCCCTAACTGTACGACTTCTACTTTCGATTTCTCAAAACGTAGCTCTAGATCTTCTACAGTTTAACTATGACTAGAATTCTAGATCTAGATCTAGATCTATTGCCTATTTTTCTTTTGAGTGAGGTGTTTTGGGACCACGACTATTGGTACCAAAAGGTAGCAGCTCAAGGCGAGGGGGGGATGCGCTCTGCACCGTGTGACACATTCAGAGGGTATGACACCAAAAAATACAAATACAATGTGTATTTAACTATTTTAAAATGAAAAAGCATTGGAGAGGAGCAGAGTTTCTTCCAGGCACCTATTCGCCTCCCGAACGAAATGGAATGTATATAGAAAATATATACATTTAACAGCGTCTACCCCCTCCCCCCGAAAGAAACACTGGAAAGGAGCGACCTCCCCCCCCCAATAAAAACCCTTCGTGACACCACAGATGGATAACTCACACTCTATGGAAATCTCACCGAACGCTACTGATAGTGATTAGCATACATCTTCTGTCATATAATATTTTTTTGTGTGCATTTAGATCTAATTGATATTTAAAGCAATTTTTCTGTGACATTTTTTTCCCTTTTTTTTTTCACGAGCCCTCCCCCCCCCCCCCCCCCCTTGTGATAGAGAATCTGTAGGGATATTTCATACAAGCGTCGCATAGATAATATGCATAGTTCTTTAGGTGAATAAAGCTTTGTTTTACGATCCTCCACCTTACTCCATCGTCACACATCACAAACATATCTTTAACAAATGCAAAATAAATGTTAAAATCATGTCTAAAAAAATATGTACTAGACTAGTGTTTAAGTTAAAATTATGGTAGCTGAAGCCGGGAAGTGAAGAAAATATTTTGTATATTTTGATCTAGATAAAATAAAGTAATTATATTGCATGCAATTGTTTTAAATTTATTTTATCAGTTATTTTAATTTCTTTAAATCATCCAAATATTTTTGAGCATTTGCCTAATTTAATATTAATAAAGTGATAGAAGTGATAGAGTAGGATACTGGAGTTAGAACCAATTATTTTCTTCGGCTATAAATAGATCCGGTACCACAACCGGAAGTTTACAAGAAGCACGTTTCACTTTCTGTTCCAAATCGTAAAACATGCACGATGAGTGACTTGGTGTAGATCTAGAATCTAGATCTAAGTTGGACTATTATTTCAGTTTAAAAAGTAGACATGGGAAAGTCTTCGAAACACAAAACTCAAAATATTCATCACGTATGTTAATTAGTAAATTTAGGCTTGCTTTAGACGAGTCTTAATTTATAATTTTTATTTAAAAAAAATTCTTTCTCAACTTTCTCAGAACCACTCGACACTGCCTAACCGCTAACCTAACGAGTCTAACGACTAACGAGAGAGTTATTCTAGAATTTAGAGTGTCTGTTCTAGATTTAGATCTAGATCTAGCTCTAAATGTATTGTAGACACTAGCAGGGGCGTAGCGAGGGGGGGGTGGTGCGGACCGCACCGGGTGAACCATTTAGAGGGGGGTGACACCAAGGCAAAAAATAGCAAAATATAAATATAATTAAATATATAGTAGTTTTTCTCACTAAATCTAGAATTTACGCAATTATCAATTTAAACATGACCACTGAATAATAGACATCCATATTTAATCCATTAGGCACTAACTTTGGAGTTTTTAGTTCGTTTTAAACTAAATTACTTAATTTAATATTTATTGTCAATCACTGCCATGTCCAACACATCTCTCCATGACAACTCTTCTTAAGCTTGAAGCTAAAGAAAACCACACATCAAGTTAGAATTTTTAAGTGGCCATGCACAAGAGTTCCTCACTAGTGATCACCAAATAGTGGTCACGTGGTTTTTTTTTCAAAAAAATTTGGTTGTCATTTTTTCGGCTGGTCTCATAAAAAAACGGTTGACGATATTTGATTTATTTTTTCATAGACTGATAAAACTAATAATGCTTTAGTATGGAAATCAATTTTGTAATATGGAAATCGATATTTAAAAAGTTCTAGTATTTTTGATGAAACCAACTTTTAAATTTAGCCTTCATTCTCCAACGCAAATTTTAAAATGCTTTTCTGGCATATATAGCCCTGTCACCTATAGCTTGTTGTTATAACGTGAAAGTCCCGCCATTTTGCGCGTGGTAAACATTTTAAAAACTAATTAGTAGAAGGTCTCTGGAATTTGGCCGAAAAATCGTCGGAAATCAAACGTCCGGTCCGGGCGCCATATTGTTGTTAGCAACCAGCCACGCCTCCGGGTTAGCGAGAAATACTAATATATAGAGAAAAACTTGAGGGGGGGGGGGTGCAAATCAAAAGTTTGAGGGGGGTGCAGATTGAAAATTTGAAAGTTTGTCCCTGGGAAGGGTCGCTACGCCTCTGTGGGGGTGACACCATTAAGTGCCGCACCAGGTGACACCCGACCTCGCTATGCCACTGGACACTAGATCTAGTTCTAGACTTCTAGACGCACACCAATACATTACCAACTGATACAAATACACATACACTCAAACTCAAATTGTGAAATTAGAGTCTAAGGCCCTCAGACTCAGTGGAGTCAGTACCCTGGTCACTCACTGGTCACTGGGACTATAATAACTTAATAAGTAGATCTAGTCTATAGTTAATTAATTAGGCCGTCTAGATTCTATGTAATATATATTATTATTATATTGAAGTGACTACTCGGAAAAAGATGTTTGGGTAGAAAATATGAAACTCAATAGTTCTGCGCATGAACAGTCACTGACCTCAATAGACCATTAGGGTTCTGTGGTTTGTTTGTAAACACACAAATGCGCAGTACAATCGAAATTGAAAAAAATCACTGCGAATAAAGGCGGTAGTTTCTCTCCAACTCAATGCAACAAGCCCGCCAGTTGGTTGAGGCCACGACGGGGGGACATTCTTACCGGGATTCAAAGGGACGAAATATTATCCGAGTTCACATTGCTGCTTTGAAAAAAAAATATTTCTAATTGATTCAGAATTATAGAAAAAATGGCTTGGATGGATATTATTATTGGATAGGCCTAGTAGCCTAAGCTGTTTTGTGAGCATATGCATCTTCTTCCAGCTAGAATCAGCCTTTTAATTAATGTACTGAATGAATGAGCCATAGGGCAGATAGAGTTCATATGTTTCTTGACTTTGGCAAATGAAGGGATGGTGTGGGCAACACTAGATCATGTATGCCCAGCCACCTTTACTTTCTCTAAATGGCTAATGGGAATTAGGTACCTGCCAGAGCTGGGTGGACGCAGGGACATCCTGCAGACTCAAAAAAATCTGGACTGAGATCTCAACTTGAGACTTTCGGGTTTGCAGTCAAACACACTACCATCAGGGACTTAGCTGTCTTATTTACTTCAATAAGTATAAAACTAATACAAAAAATTCATCATCTTCACCTAGGAGCATAGGACTAAGATGACTTATGACTGATAAACACAGTTGGTGGCTACTTTTAAAAAATCAAGTCATTAAATTCCAGCTACTCTCTTCTCATGTTGACTGTCATTTAGAGGGTGTGTTTTATTCGCACCCACTTCATTTCCTATACTGTATTCTACTAATACTTGCCTGCACATCTCCCATATTTAGCCAGTGTACCTTAAAGAAGTAATAGAGATTTGTTTATAAAGTAAGGGAGCTTGTTTGTTGATTTCTCTCCATATCTCTGAGCCATTCAGCAAAATGACTTCTCATTCATTCTCTCATTCTGAAAATAAAAATAATGTTAAACAGCTTTAATGTCTGTGCAATTTTATGAGTAATCTTGGCCCTAGCACAATTTATATTTGTAATTTGCAGTTAGGGTAGTTCATATATCCCTCCTGTTGGGTGTAGTATCTAAATTAGGTAGAGGATATTGTGAATTTCCATTTGGAAGCACAGTATGTTACAGTTACATAAATGGCTAAAGAATAGTTTTATTGTTTTTGCAATTGATACTATTACTAGAACTATTGATTCTTGTTATTAAATCTTTCAATACATTCAGGAAGCATGAGATAATACTACCGCAGCCAGATGTTAACCAATCATGCACTCAGTATCTATTTTAAGCAGAGGAAATTCAAACACTTTAAATATCGCAGTAAAAAAAAACCTTACAAAAAACAGTAATTTTTAGTATAGTTCATCTTCTGCTTATGAAGATATTGTGTCAAGCAAGCCCCCTCCACATTCCCTGAGTAGGGGTGGATTTTGAAACATTCAGTATCTGCAGCAATTTTATGCATATTATTTACAAATTTCCATTATGATTAAAAGTTTTAAGTGGTGGAGGTTTTGAAATATAACTTATTTTGCATTTATGAGACAGATTTTTATCACTGTTTAAGGATAACTATCATCCAATTGTTTTCAGTTTGTACCCTTTTCTGAACGAATATCATCAGTTAATGTTGATGTAATTCATAGAATTCGTAGAATCGACGATGAGGTGAGATGTTTAAAAATATTAACTTCTTTGTAAATAATCATTTTATAGCTAATACAAAACTTGTCTTTAGTTGGCAAAAGACATTACTTTCTCACTAAACATATCATTGTTCTTAAAAATATTTAAAGCATTCAGTAGTTTGTCAGGTCTTGTGTTGTGCCTAACATGACATTTGTTATTGTTTTACTATAGACAGAAGGGACTCTATTTGGTGAATGTCTTACAAAATGGACAGAGCTTGATCTTACTGATAATTTTTGTAAGTGTTAAAATATATAAACTATTTAAATATATTTATCCAGCTCATAGTTTCATAAAAATTTAATTTGTTTAATGTTTTGTAAAATGTATAAATGTATATACATTGTTTAATATTTCTCCCTGTTTTACCAGCATGTTTTAGACGAGAGATAGTTGGTCAAGTGCAAACATATGAGCAGCTTGTTCATCATAAAGTAATGTTTATATTATTTATTTTACTTAGTCTATATAATACTATATGATGAGTAATATATCAGTAAGTACTTAATAAGTACCAAAAACCCATAGTTATTCATTTTATATAGAATAAATACTGAACTTGTAATAGCTTTTGTTTGTATGGTTTAGTCATATACATCAAGTTTTTTTAAACATTCTCTTGCAAAAAAAATATTTAGCGCCTAGATTTTCTAAAAAAAAGAATTAATATTGAAAATTTGGTCATTGTATATTTGTGTAACCAGTTCAAATATATTTCAGGAAGAGATTATAAATTCAATAAAGAAACACTTAGAAGTTCCAAATTCTCTTGCTTTGAATGCCTTGCTTGAGTAAGTTGTTTAGTTTATTATAGTATTGTGTATTAGCACAGTAATTTATATACCTTGAATTATTGTCAACCCATCACCTGTTATAATACTACATCATTTGACATCAAATTTGTTGTCCAATTTGCTTCATCAGGTATTGTGTCCAATATGCCTTAGGCAGAGATAATTTAAACCAGAGTTTCTTAAGGGCATGGGCGGGTGATGAGTACCAACTTCTTTATTTCCAAGTCTAAAGATGAAATACTTGGCTAATAGTTATAACTCATCAAAGAGTTAAGCATAAAAATATTTTTTAAATTTTTTTAAATCCTCCGTTGCCATGGTGACGGCGGCCATGTTGGATTTTATTGACAATTTTTAAATGGAAATAACTCAAAAATGGTTTGTACAAATTTCATGAAAACTTAATATAATCTGCAGACACATGTGTTTAAGACTTCTTATTGATTACATTTTAAAAAAAGAAGATAGTTTTTTTTATTACTTTTTTTTTCGATACATCACTGTAAAAATGTCATTATTTCGTCCAATTTTTTATAACTATTTAAACAAAAAAAAAATCTTTACAAAAATTCCAAAAGTGTTCAATAAGTTTTATTTGAACATATATACAGAGTAACTGGAGCAAATTTAGTTCAGTTCTGATAATTATTAACAAAGTTATTTCAACAATTGTACAAAAAAACATCAAACTGAGAAAAACGCAAAAAAACCAACAAAAAGTTGCAAAAAATGAAAATTTACAGCTGTATGTCACTAAAATCGACCACATTCATAGCCTGAAGTATGGTGCTGCTGAATATATTCCTTCTGAGCTTGTTCAGCTGTTAGTTTTCTTTTTTTCTGGCGCTCTTTGTTTTACCTAGAGCTGTAGAAAAGCTGTTGTCAACGTGTCTTTTTTGGCGTCCTTCATTGAGTATTCGACTATGGTTTCCTTCTCTTGACAGCAATGCCATAGCATGCCTGGGCCCAAAATTGAATTATGCTTTCGCAGAAACAGCAGTATATTTTGCATGGTCTCATGTCTAAAGCCCAGTGGCGTAGCCAGGATCGTCTCAAGGGGGGGGGGGTTCCAATTTTTACCAGGGGACAAACTTTCCATTTGCACCCCCCCCTCAAACTTTCGATTTGCACCCCCCTCAAACTTTCGTTTATATATACCCCCCCTAACCCCCCCCCCCCTGCATACGCCACTGCTAAAGCCAATTATGATAAGACGAGATGTCTTTGTTTATTGTGAATGGCCTTGTTCTGGATTCTTTTGCAGTTGCATACTTACGGTTTACAACATTTTTTATTACTGCCACACCATGCTTGAAGCAAACCCTTTACACTGTTTTCATCAATAGTAGCCACTACATCACAGTGGGCAAGGAAATGTATTGATAACATCATGAAGCAAATCACATTCGACAATAATTCTGCATGGCTGTGGTTTACAATTAGCACTACCAGTACTAGATGTAACAGTGCTTTCTTCTGTCTGTAAAAACTGTGTCTTACATTGTCGCAGTTTCTTAGTAAATGTGCATATTACATCTGCACCAGTGCTTGTCTGAATAGTGCTAGATTGAGTAGAGGTAGCTGCAATCAGTTGCATTCGGACGTGCCCTTGCTTTAGTAAATTAGTTAGATGTTTGTGTGTATCTATTTTTAGTGAGTGTTTTGTTCTACCCATTATCGAAAGAGAAACAAATTAAATCGTCTCACTGCTTATGATGATTCACACAAACTAATCTAAACTGTTAATAGTATATTTAATTGAAATAATTATATGTTAAAATAATGTAAGTATTTCACAGAAGCTTAGAGAAACAAAACTAGATCAAACTTAGCAACGCGCTGAAACTAAGGGAATGTTTACTTCCGAAGCGAAACGACCAATCGCTAACTAGCTTCCGCCGTTGAACGCCAATGACAAAATTGAGGTCAAAAATTTGCATACCGGAAAAACCCGACTAAGTAAAATAAACAACTTTATGACGTAGAAAAATAATCACATTAAAATAAGTATTTTGATTGGTCCTTTAATTTTAGAACAAATAAAGAAAGGAGGTCACGGCCTTTCCATTGATATGAAACACATTAGGTTTCCGTGAAGCCTAATAGTACTTTTCTAGGTCGAAAAATGGCTATTTTTACCAAAAAATTAACAAATGACCCTGTACACACTACTTTGAACCCGGTTTTTTATAAATAAATACTGTTTTTAGGGTCATAACAATGTCATTTTTCGATTCAACGATGGTTATTCTGTATAGATCAAGTAAAAGTGGGAAATCGATGATTTAGTGGATTTATGATGAAAAGTACATCCGCCCATGTCCTTAACATTTCAGGATTAATAAATAGCATTGTGACAACACAAAATAATTGTTAGAAGAAGAATTCTTTGCAAAGATGAACTTCTGTTCACTTCTTCTGGTATTAAAGAGAAAACTGGAAAATTAAATAATTTTTCCGGTGACTGGTTTTCTAGAATCTAGTGACATAACCCTTTTTATTTTACTTACAAGAGGTTTTTTTGTACCTTCAGTAAAGAGTGTATTTCCATCCACAGTTTACTGGTTCAGTTGGCAAGAGATCTTCAGCAAGATTTTGTACCCCATTTCTATGAGTTTTTCACAATTCTTGTTCGGTTGTTATCTTCACGGTCCCAAGATGTTGAATCTTTGGAGCAAATATTTCAAGCCTTGGCATTTTTATTTAGGGTTTTATGGAGGTTTCTCATTAAAGATTTTAAAGATGTTTACAGGTAAGTTTATTGGGATAATTTTTAAACTATTACTGATAATATAAGTAAAAGCATTTTAAGCTGGTGATTAGCATACAAAGAATTTCAGTTTTGTACACTATTTAATTTTTACTTCTTACTCTTAAAAAATTCAGACATTTTTCTCGTTTGTTGATGAATTCTCAAAAAGACTACATTAAGGTTTTTGCATCTGAGAGTTGTGCATACCTACTCAGAAAGGTAATACATTGTTTTTCTTTAACCTTTTCTTTTAAAGTCAATTCTTTAAAATGTGACTGTAGTCAATTAAATGACAGTCTAATTTAGATTTACTCATTTAAAAAATATGTATATAAAAAATTTCATTATACCAGGTAAAAAAGCAAGATGAGCTGTTAAATTTTTTGTTTGGATCATTGAATGAGTCACCAGAAGTGAGTTACATAATTTATTTAAGACTTAGTAGCTTAGTGTTGATTTTCATAAAATTCATTATTTTTGGCGTTTCTGAAAATACCATAGTACTAACAATAAATTTGACCTTCAATTACACACAATAATGAATTTATTACACGCAAATAAACAAACTCCCAATATAATTATATATTATCCTAGCTGTTTTTTATTCTGAAATTTTAATTTGAAAAAATTTAAGATACAAATGGCACTATAGTTCTGTTACTATATCTTTCAGCTTGTTGATGGCATTGGATTGCTTCTCTTTGAGATGGTAAAAGGTGTCAAGCATCATTTTCATACTATCAGCAAAAGTGTAAGTTAAACATTTTTTTTTCGAGTAATAAAATTTGTCTCTTGTTCGCTGTTATTAAACTGTTTTATTTTTACACTGTAGGTGTTTCCACTAATTCTTCAAAAACTGGGTACCTGGAGTCCCACAGCACAGAAAAAATTAAAATTACCCAGAGATTTGGTGGAGCAGTCAGTAACAATTTTCATGCAAGGATGTGCTGACCATACTACTAGAGAAAACTGCAAGGAACTTTGGGAAATGTTACTGGTAATTTAATTTAAAAAATCAGGTTATGTGATGCATTTTTTAAAATAAATAGTTTCATTAAGCAGAATTTCTTTTCTCTGTGATACCAGCTTAGAATGTTTCTGTTCATAAAAAAATACTAAATTTTTGTTTTGGAGACCATTGTCCACAGCGTTTGACTTGTTGTCTGTCTCGTCCGATATTAATAAGATTAAGAACGATGAAGAAGAAGAGCTATTTTGGAAGATATTTCCTTTAACACAATCAAGTATAATGTGTCAACATGTTATGCACCCTATAGGCTGTTGACACTGATTTCTGCCTGGTTTTCTTTCTGGATTTTGTTCCATAGCCTTTTTCCATCCAAGAAAAAAATACAAGTCACCCGTTGTTTGTTTTTGCAGTTTTCTCTCCAAGATGGGTTGTTGTCATTTGTTTTTTACTGTATGTCAAAATAAGTTACTCTCAATGATTTTATTGTAGTTGGAAAAATTTCTATTACATTTTTAAAGGATTGTATTCAGCAAGTACATGCAGCCTGTTTAGCAAAGGAAACAGCAGTAACAGCTGCTGACAGTAAGGAACTGTCTGGATTAGTCAACCATTTGTGCAGATTGTTGCGCCTCTTATCAGTATGGTTAACCCATAACTCTGGGAGCATTGTTAATGATGCTGAACTAGTAGCTAAAGTAAGTAGAAATCTTTTGCTAATGTATTGGGTATTGCTTGTTTCTATTTTGTATTACTAAATTTTGGTCAAATTTTGGTTTCACAGACAGTGTGCCAGGTCTTGAAGTCTCCATGCAAATTAGAAGACTGTGGCTCAGATTTACTGAAAACTGTTGCAGACTTAGTAACATCTTGCCAGGAAAGACTACCTGTGGAGATAATTTTTAGAATTATCAGTAATGTTTTCAAGGCACCATTTATTTTCTCTGATATAAAAATATTTGTTAAGACACTTCGTGATGTCTCATTCTTTGAAAAGGTAAAATCTTTCTGGTTTAGACTTATTGTTTAAAGCTGATAATGATAAAGATGCTTCAGTTTAAAAAATCTATCATAAAGTGACTCAATAATTTTGTTATGTTGAAGGATGTACTCCCAGGATTCATGTTGAAGATTCATTCAGAGATGCAGGCGCATCAGAGTGAGAAGAAAGATGAGATTCTAGCTTGTGTGACTGAGTTATTAATGTACAAAACACAGGCTCCAATCACAGGGGATGACTTACACATGCTAACAGTATATCCTCTTGATCAGCAATGGTCAAGGTAGTTTGTTATTATTAGTATCCTGAGCTATGATGTTTATAATTTTTGTTCTATCTTTAAAAAAAAAGATGTAAATGCTAGCTAATTTCAGTTAATCAATTTTTTAAATTTTCTATTTATGTTTGCTTTGTGATTCAAACAATATTTTTTACATTTTTATTACAAGTTGTAAAAATAAATTGACTCGTCATAAATTGATTTTTAAGTTAATTAGCACACTACATTTTTCTATAATTACTTTATCAGTCCATAAAAATAATATATAACTATTTGAGAAGAGGGAAATATAAGTGTTAGCACTAAATTCAACACACTTTTTCTAGGTCAGAAAATGAACACGCTTTAATAAAATACATTGATGGTATTTTACATGAGTGCGTCAATCAAATGATTCCTTCTGATTTGCCTAGAACATGGTCTGCTATTCTTTGTCTGCCTCACATAAAGTAAGATTTATTTTCGATTAATTGCGTTATCATATAATTTCTTAATCTGAGATTTCTTCTTTGCTAACTTAAAAAATATTAGTCATTGATAAAATTATATTTTGTTTGTAATTTATTTAAAAATGAAAGTTTAAAATGAATTAGGGTTTTAATAATTTAAAAAATTTCAGATGTCCTGGCTTAATAGAAAAAGCTATTTTATTGTGGAGCAAAGTGACTGCTCAAATTAGTTCTGAAAACAGTCCTGATGAAGGTAAGATACATTTTACGGAGATTTTTTTTAGTGATACATATTTAGAATTGCCTTAATTGTTCAATTTTTATGGTGCCAAAAATACAATTTATTTAGCTTTACTGTTAAAAATTATTTTCTTAGTGAACTCAAACTTGATTGTTTTGAACCAACTGGTACGGAGTTTTATCACAAGCATCCAGGGTAAAAGAATGGAAGAATTCCCTGTCTCTAAGGAGGATATTTTTTATGTGTTCAGGTACCCATTAAACATTAATTTTTTCCTTAACTAATTTGATGTATTCTATCTATATAAATCTTCAATTTACAAAAACTAGCATTAGTGATTTCCCATTTTCTTCAAGAGTTTACTTGTTTCTCAATGTAATAAAGTGTGTGTATTTGTTAAACAAGTTCTTGATTTTTACCTATCAATTTATTCCTCAGATTACACCCTACTAGTCCATGTGTTGTTCAGATTCTTGATTTTTACCTGACCTGGTCAGCAGACAGATTGCAGTTGGATCAGGAAATGTTAACGGAGATATACAAGCTTATTGAGCCCAGCTTAGTTTCACCTTCTCACAATGTGAGTTAGCTTTTTCTTATAGTTCATAATCTCCATTAGTGTTCAGATTTTAGTAACCTTTAGTGATTTTTTACTGCTATTACCTAGATGATTATCATGATTGAATGTTTTTTTTTAATTGGTATATTTTAGGTTCGTCTGATGGCATGTCATATATTGTCACTGTTTCAAGTCACCCTTCCAGAATTTGATGATGTAAGATTTTTTAAAAATTAGATTTAAAAAAAAATTTTAGGCCTATATAGTTATAGTATAAAAATATATTTCAAAATGTTGAATATTGTAATTTTTTATTTAAACAAACAATTTTTACTGTTGCCCTAATGGTTAATACAAAGTTAAAAATCACACGTAAAATTCAGAATTTGTATTGTTTTCAATTGGAATGTTTCTATTTTTTTTTCTCTAGGATATCAAGAGAGATAATGCTTTCCATACTATGTATGTGGCAGAAAGACTTCCATTGCCAACAGTCCATAATTACAGAGAAAAGTTGATTTACCTGAGAAAATTAGAATATGAAATGGCTATTAAATGCTTGCCAAATGAGCATTTCTACAGGGTGAGTGGGTTTAATGTGAATCAGAGACAGTTAAAAAACACTATTTAAAAATAGTTTTTTAACATTGTTTATTTTCAATTTGCATTATGTAGACAAATATTTAAACTGATAAACTAATTTTGCTGCAATATTTCAGGCACCATTACTGTTTTTGTTAGGTAATGAGTTCTGGAATTTTAAACTACTTTGGGCACCTCTGTCTGACCTTATAGCATCTTATGCTGTGGGTCTTGACACAAATGAATTCTGGGAAGTCATGCTGCAACAACTCAGGAGAGCAGCTTTTGAAGCAGGTGAATAATACTGTTTTCGCTTTACATTTTCTTCTTTTTTTATAGACCATTCTGCATTTAAATATGACAAGGGAAATATATTGAAAAAAGGTTTAAAAAGAAATTTAATATTTTATTAAGATGTGAAGTGATAAAAAATTAAAGTGTAGTTTTTGTTTGAAATGTAGAGAAAGAGCTTCGGTTTGACGAGCAGCTCACAGTCAGTGAAAACAGACCACATGTGGAGGCACTGTTTGGCACCTACTGTTCTGGTTTCCTTGCTGACAGCAGGAAGCCAGACTTCACAAATTATCGTGTTCAGCTGTGGAAAACCATGAAGCTGTTCCCTGAAAAATGTGTCCTCAAATCAGATGAGCTCTGTGAGCTCTACCTCAAGTTTTTAAAGTAAGATTTTTACTGCCTTTGTCAGGGATGTGACTTTTCCGAATTTTAGCGGAAATCCGATTTTTCCGTTTCAGCTGCAATTTTCCTCCGCTGATTTGATTTTCGCCGAATTTTTCCGCCGATTTTCGATTTTTTGCCGATTTTATCCGAAGATTTAAAAATTAGGAAAAAAAAACGGATTTTACATCTGCGGAAACGGCTGACATGCGCATTCCACATATTCGTATCTAAATCGAGAATTACAGTACTTAGGTCAAACGGACAATCGAATATGCGGATTTATTTTTAGTTGGACAATTGCGCTAGGTCTGACGGTGCTAGATTAAGAAAAGTAGATTTACGTCAAGATTCAGAATTTCGGCGGATTTACGAATTTTCAATTTGGTCCAAATTTTTTCGCTGATATTATCAGTTAAATATTTAAGAAAAAATACGTTAAAAAGTAATCTGAAATAATGATGTTCTTCAAGCCTGGTAATCTAGCTATCGATATAGCCTAATTTATATGTCGGTATCTTAACCCGCCCAAATCTGCAGTTCCTCTCTGATTCTTTTTATTTTCGCAATCTCAAATTATTATTGAATTCCTTGCAAAAGGTGACTATGAGGACTAGGCTAACCCGCCCCTCCTTGTAGCAACGGTGGCTCTTGTGACCTCACCATGACCCCAAGTACGTGTGGTACTGACGGGGGGGGGGGGATAAAAATGACGTCACAGTCAATTTAAAATAGCTGTTCCTGCAATACGTATGCTATAGGCTATTACAATAGGCCTACAAATTAAAAAAAAACTCAACTCAACGTGACTCCGTCCGTGTCTTGTTTGTGGAAGAAAAACAATTCTATACAGACTGTTTTTAATAAGAGGTCTTCCATAAACAACATCACACTCGTAGAAGGGGGGGGGGGAACCCGTAATTGTGTGATGAAGGGGAGGGAGTCAGATAGTGTTATGGCATATTTTTTATTTTAAAAAAGAAATGTTAGAAACTGAATTTTAGCCGATATACACGCATTTTAGATTGTAATACAAATTGATTAAAATAACTTATGTTGGTCGAGCTCAGTCAATATTTTAGAAAAATATCGATGTTTATTTGCTGAGGTGGGAGGGGGGAATTTGGTTAATTTTGGTTCACATATCAGACCCTTTCTAATCTCAACTATTCGGGTCGATTTCATTTTCCGTCACATGAACCTAAAACTTTCAAATAACAATTAATCTAAATCTAGGCACTTTGCAATTGAAGAATAGAAGACTAACATTTTTACCATGCCAATCTTTTAAAGAATATAAGGCATAATTTAAAATTGAAAACGAGCACAACTAGACTAGATTAGTACAGTTGAAAGTAGTTTAATGTTAAAATAAAACTTAATTGCCACTTTTGTTACGTTGTAAACATTTTTTTATGGGTTGTTTATAAGGTAAACATTAAATTGCAATTAGACAAGACTTTCAATCTTATTTTAGAGTAACATAAACTCCTTTTATTTAATATATTAGCTATATTAAACAATTACATAGTATAGTAACAGTCTGAGACTACTTTAACTGCGATAAAAATATAGATAAAACATATTGAGGTCTTGTCTGAAGAAAATTTCCTAATATTTTTTCCTGGTCTGGTCACATCCCTGCTTTGTTTCTGCAGAAAACATTTGTTTACATAAGAAACATGACTGTGGGTGAATTGCTGTGGTGAAAAATTTCATACACATTTGTTATTACAGGAATGAATTTAGCTATGCTGATGAGGATGCCAGGTCATATCAAAACATTTTAGCCAGAGATTGTGTTGAATTGCAAGTAGATACTGCTGTGGTAAATGATACTGATGACATTGAGATTAAAGAAGTTGAGGATGATGAAAAGATTGAGGAAGAAGATGAAGATGATGAAGGAAATGATGTATCTATTTCAGTAGATTCCAGCCATGCTGGCAATAAACAGTTTGTTGTAAAAAGACGAAAGGCTGCAGTTTTGTAAGTTTATGTCTTGTTAAAATAATAGTAGATTTTTATTTTAAAATGTTATAGTTAAAAATGCTATAATATTAACATGACAGTAATAAAGACGCACATCAATTTTTAAAAAGATAATTTTAATTGCAGAAGTCTATTGGTTCATCTCGATGTGTTTGCTTTATTTAAAAAGCAACGTTCAATGTTTAATCAACCTGAGGTACAAGAAACATTTTTAGAAGTAAGTCCCACCTCATTGATTGTCTAGTCTGATAAGCATACCTTATTTTTCTATTTTTATTTAGTTTTTACCTCAATTAAAAAACTTATTTATTTTTTCTATGTTAAAATGTAACAGTTACAATTTGGGCAGGGATATTATAACACAAATTTTGATGCATTTAAAAAATGAGTTGTGCAATGAAAGCGGAGTTATTTAATTATCACAATCAAAAAGAATATTCTATGATAATTTTTACCTTTTTTTCTGCTTAGCTTTTAAAACACAGGTTTCCAAACATTCAGAAAGCTGCATTTGAATGTGTAATGACTTATAAGTCTCCACATGTAATCCCTTACAGGTACATACTTTTGTTTTTTCATGTTGAATTCTCTCAAATAAGTTAGCCCTTTTACAGTACATTTTATCAAGAAAAGTAATGTATCTTAAGCCAGATATGTTTTTATACAGCTTTATCCAGTTTTAAGTCTATATAACAATTTTTGCAGAAAAGGACCAGAAAAGTAATTTTATTTTTATTCTTAGTCTATGAATGTGGTTTTAAATTTTTTCTTACCAGGGAAAATTTCAATCGCCTTCTTGATGACAAAACTTTCAAGAGTGAAATAACATTGTTTAGAGTAGATGAAGAAAGCAGTGAAGTTAAAGATACAGATAGAGAGGGGCTTTTACCTGTTCTCATGAGGTTATCTTTTTATTACAAATTTGTTTACATAATCCTTTTTTATTTTATATATTTATATGAAGTTCTGCATTGTTAAGTAATAATTTTTTTAATGCATTAAATTTGAAGTAATGTAAAGGTAACATTGTTTTATTATCTACATTTTCTGTCTAGAATTTTATATGGAAAAATGCATGGCAAAGCTGGCAATGATACAGCTGGCAAGTCAAAAAGTAACCTTAGAAGATCAATTGTATTTGGGTTTCTAATTGGGTGTAAGCCTGCCGAGCTCAAGTATTTCCTGGAGTTATTGTTTCAACCCTGCATGCATTTTGTGACAGGTGACTGATAATTTGTTTCATTTTTCAATTCTTTTGTAAGTTAAGATAGACCTGAGTTTCTGTTTCTATAATAAAATGTTAGGACAACCTTTAAGAGGGCTATTCCAATAATTGATTGCTGTTTGTGTCATCAGACAACCCTGTGCTCATGGTAAAAACAGCAGCCAGTAATATTGATCTCAAAAAGATGTTACCTTTAAAGAAAATAAAAGGGTAAGCAATTCAAAGACTAGTATTTTTTTCTCACTGCCTATTATTTTGAGGTAAGTTCCATTATATTGATACTATTTTAATACCTTTAATGATTGAGGGAACCACATACCAAACAAAATGCTTGCATAATATAATTGAAGTGAGAACAAAAATAGTAATTGGTATTTTTGTGTATTTTGATTTTTTTTGAGGGATTAGTTTTTCATTTAAATGTTCATCTAAATAACATCTTTTTCAGTATACTGAATACAGTTAGTGCTGTTTCCCAGAAAATGGGTCATCGTATGGAGAGTTTTTCCCATTCCTTGTTCCATGTACTACTTGGTCTTGTTGCCACATTGAGCGCAGCACTAGACCAGAGAAGTTCTGTAGTCAGTGGAGCAGTTAATCTTCTGAAATCTTTGCGTCATACAGTAATGAATAGAATAATCCAGGTAATTAATTGCTTATTTAGTTAAAAGAGGTTGACTAATTCAAATTGTTTTCATGTATCAGTATGTCTCTGCACACTTAAGATTCTGTAACGATTAAATATTTTAAATTTATTGTAGTTTTTTGAAAATTTTGAAGACCTTGATTTCACAACACAAGAGATTGAAGCTGTTTTCCATGCAGTTGTATGGCCTCAGGTAAAGTATTTTATTCAAGTTAAAGTTAAAAAACTCAGTGTGTGTTTATACTTTATCAGGTGCCAAAGTTTACTCTAGTGTCTTGACATTTTATTGTGTTATCTAACAGTGTCAGAAGCTTGCCCTAGAAGGTGTGCATCACCCAACTCCTCTTTTAAAACTGTTTACTTTTTGGAGTCAATCTAGCAGGTGAGGAATATATGTATACAGAAAAAGTTAAAATAATTTGTTTTCATCCACATGAGTATGTTATACATGTTTTTAACAACCATTTATGTTATAATTGTTATTTTTGATATCCAGATTTCAGCCTCTGCTTGCGTTTGCCAAACACGACACGCCTTCCACTACAACTGCCCTACATTCTGTGTTTGCACTGCTTAACGCACCAGCCATTCACACCTCAGTATCAACATCTATTTTAGAGCTGGTTGGCCATTTGCTTCAAGATGAGGAGGAGAAACAGCAGCTGTTGCCCTCACTGCCAGAACCATTCATGTGTCTTGAAGGTATTTGTACAGACAAGTTTTATCATTCAGTTTTATACTCCGCTCTCATAACCTCACTTTAGGAGAAACTTTAAAAAAAATATGCTTAAGTATTTTGTAGATGAACTTTTTCTATTGTGTCAAATTTCAGTAACCGAAGATCAGAAATTAGGTGAAATTCTTTTACTACCCCATGTTCCAAGCTTGCTGTCTTATTTAAAACATGCATTGCGAAAAATGTCCTTGGGGCAGTCTGTCAAAAAGCCAACATGTTTATTGGAGTTAAAAATATTAGCCAGGTAATATTTGGATTTATTAAATATAGTATTCTGGAATACCCTTTGCTTTAATGAGTATGATATGTGTAAAAGGTTATTGTAGTTTGAATAGTTGCCTAAAAATATATTTTTTCTTTTAACAGAGTCAGTACTTTTGTGACTTCACCAGAGGAGTGCTCAATTCTTTGTGATCTACTTGTTCCATTCTTTAGTAAAGGATCTCACATAGCACAGGCAAGTCTTTGACTAGCAATAAACTGAAAGTTAATTTCATAATTAACACAGGCAATTCTTTGACTAACATTAAACTGAAAGTTAATTTCACATTTGGGTATATTGGTCCTTTAAAAATTCTTTTTTCTGCTGTAGGACATTGAAGAAAACATCCTGGTGTCTCTAACAAACCTGATGCAGTATATCAACAAACCAGAGTCATTTTATAGGTAAGTTAAATAAAACAGTCTTAATGTTTTAGGTTGGGGGAGAAAAAAATCACATGGGGTTTGGACCTTGTAAAAACACAGGGTTAAACTATGGTCTCACATTGAACCTTAATTTTTTGTGACTTGAATATTTTCACTCACTTCAGTTACTCTAAAGATAATCTATTTTACAACCCTTGTTGGTCCATTGTTGAACTTTTTGGAACCTGAGTGGGTCTTCTAGATTCAACACACTGCTTATCTAGGTTTTTATTCCTCCTGGATCAGTCTGTTTACTAAATTTATTTTTCTAAATTTGTTTCAACAGGACAATATCACAGCTATTCTCAACTGTAGAACGCAGAGAATCTCGTGTGCTGTTGTGCAAACTTTTTAAAGTTATTTGTGAAAACAATGATACCTTTAAAGCCACAGCAAACCTTATAGAAAAGGTAAGTCTTTATGTTTGTTTACACCATATTTTGTCATTAGATTAAGAAATTATATATATTTTTAAAAATTTGTTGACAACAAATCTAAATGTTTCCACAGTTAAATTCATGGGATAAACGGAAGGCTGAAGAACCAGATTATTTAGCCAGGCTTGAAGCGTTTAGCCAGTTCAATTCATTGGTTTCTGGACAAACTGAGCCAAATGTGGATGCTTTGCTGCCAGTTGTACATAACTGTTGCCATTTTATACATGCTGTGAGTTGTATAAATTATTAATTAATTTTAAAGGAAATTGTTCTTAGATGTGAAAACTAAAATTTGATAATTAATTTTCATACAACATTAAAACAGTTTTGATTGTTTTGTTTTCTGCTCATGCTATTTACTTTTGGATTTACGTATAGATTGATGACCTGTCAATTAGAGATAATTCTACACATTGTCTTGTGTCCATTATTGCCAAACTGGCAACATCAGCCACTACAGAAAGCAATAAGGCGTTTAACATTGTTGTTGAAAAAACATTACTTCCCCAAGTCAAACTTGGCATCAGAAGTAAATCAGAGGTTAGTCTATGATGCCAGTCATTTCTTTTAAGTAACTAAATCTGCAGATTGCAGTGTGGAGACTTTTTTTTTAGATGTTAGTAAATTAGACTTACTTAGTAATTGAACATCTGTAGATAGAAATTAAGACTAAGTTTTGTGAATTTCAAATGTATAACTGACTGCATTCCACAGGCTGTTCGTCATGAGTTTTTAGCAGTATTTCAAAGCCTAGTTGTTAACTGTCCTGACCATGTCATGTTTACTGGGCTCAAAGACCTCTGTGATAAGGACCCTGAGGCGGATTTCTTTGAAAACATCAGACACATTCAGGTGAGAAGTTAGCACTTCACATGTGCTCATTTTGTAGTTGTTAGATGCATAAAAGATCTCTTGACAAGATTGTTACAATGTCTGTTATGTTTGTCTAGATGCATAAAAGATCTCGAGCACTCCGCCGCTTGTTCAAGCATTTAAAAGACCATCAGTTCCGCCCTGAGATTCACATGTCCTACTTTATACCTTTGGTACATGCTTTTGTTCTGGACAACTCCTACTCTAAGTATGCCAATGTACAAGATGCAGCCATTGATCTGCTGGGTGCCATTTGCAAGCAGCTACCTTGGCCATATTATCTTCAGCTTCTGAGGTTCTTTCTAAAGTTGTTGCCCAAAAAGGTGGAACTACAGCGCCAAATAGTTAGGTCAGTTACAATTTTGTGTCCTCTCTTGTAGCTTTTGTAATAAATGTCTTCAAATTATTGCTCAATGAGTTTCAAAATAAGCTTATTTTTTCTTAAGTTAGAGATGTTTATGTTCAGATGTAAAAAAAATGTTTTTTTAGGATCCTTGTGGCTCTGCTTGATGCCTTTCACTTTGATTTGAGTAACTCAACATTCCGGGTAGTGATGGTACCAAAGGTAGTGGAAAACAGTTACAAAGAAGAAACTGAAGGTAACCTACTTGTTCACTACCCATTTTGATTTCATAATTATAATTGCTTTTGGTACTAGTCACTGGATTGCCTCTAATGATAACTGTGTTTAGTAACAAGTGGTTGTTTACATAAAATGCATTTGAAACTCATGTAAGAGTGTGATAGGGAAGCTACTTTTGGATGTAGGTTTGGTGGTTTAGCTTATGTGTAAACAGTTTTGTGATTTTTTTTTGCGGGGTAAAATAGTTCTGCCAGTTTGCTTAAGGATGAGAGTACTATAGGCTGCTAACTGCTTATGGGAAAAAGGTTTAATTCTATTCCACACATAAACAAATCAATTAGCAAGTTTTCCATACATTTTTAGTTACCCAATGATTGTGGATCTTGTTGTTAAAAATAATTGCTAACATTGAGTTTTTAAAAAATTATCTAGAGCCAAGTGTCCCTGATGAGATTCAACCTGTCTCTGAGACTGAGCCTATGGAGATAGAAAACAAAGAGGAAGAGAAAGATGAAGAACTTGCTATCCCAATGGAGATAGATGTGAGAGATGAAGAAGGGAAAGATGAGGAGGCTGGTAAAATTGGTGATACCGTGCTATGTTCTGTGTCTGCAGCCACAAGGATTCACAAGACCATTGTCGTATCCCTTCTGCCTCAGCTTCACAAAATTGTAACTCAGAAAGTAAGTTTTACACATTCTTTTTTCTAGTGTTGTCAAGGTCTATCCCACCTCTCATACACAATGTAATGGGGATCAATTTACCAACACAAAGGGGATGCAATTTATATTGCCTGGCTCCTATTAATGAAAGAAATTTTACTTCTTTTATGACACAGATTTTAAAAGAATCTTTAACAGAATGAGGAGTCCTAACATAAGAAATAAAATAATTTTCTCATTGACTTTTCCATCTCCACTCATTGATTATGAATTTGATTATGAATGTAAGGTTAATCCACCCTCCTAAAACTCCAGGTGCTCCTGGAAACCTCATAATAATTTTTTAAAAGCCTGAAATCTCTTGGCACTCCTAAAATCACTCAATATGTCTAAAACTTCTGAAACATGTCCTAAAATTTAAACAATCTTGAATTTTATTTTGTAATAGTTGGGGAAAACTTTCTCTCTGTAATTTTGCAATCATAGACTTGAGTACAGCAGTGTATTATCTTGCTTTTTTTCTTTGAGTCCTTAATTAAACATCAGGATTAGTTTAAGGTGACCCACGTGATTTCATTTGCTAAAATTAAAGAGGCTCAAAACCTACATTTTTGTTATCTTGAGTTAAGTAAAAGTGATCCAATAGTTCATCAGGCCAGTCTATACTTCTAACAAAGATATATTATTTTTTATCAATATAAATTGTTTCTCTACTTTTGAAACTTTTTTTTTGAGGTCATTGGATTTCAGGATATGAAATATAAAATAATTTATTTGAGTCAAATAAACTATTCATTAATCTGGAATTTATTCTTTAGGCAAAAAGTGAAGATGAGCACAAGACTGTTAAGTCAAAATACCCTGAAGATGAAGAAATATTACGTGTGCCCATAGCATTGGCAATGATTAAGTTACTGCAGAATCTTCCCAAGGGAACCTTAGAGAATCGGTTGCCAGGGTTAGTTTTTTAGTAACTTTTTGTGAATCTACTTTTTAAGGTAAATTGATGGTTTATTAATTTTAAAAATAACAAGTAAAAAACACATAGTTGACATCTTATTAAATTTTTTGAACAGGATTTTGTTGAAAATCTGCAATTTCTTGCGATGTCGGTCAAGAGATGTCCGCACAACAGCTAGAGAAACACTTGAGAAAGCTGCCTTATCTCTTGGTGCAAGGTTTTTTCCATTTATTGTCAAAGAAATGAAAGCCATTCTTACAAGAGGATACCAGGTTAGAATTAAATAATTACATTCTTGATATTCCAGGCACCTTTTTCTTTATTACTAAAAAGCTATGTTACTTGCTGTAATAAAGTTTTCAGAAATTACCGTTTTAAATTGGTAAATGTTTTATTTCCACAGTTGCATATTCTCAGTTACACTACTCACTACTTACTCAAAAGTCTTGTTCAAACTGTCAACCCTGGTGACCTTGACCCAGCTCTTTCACATGTTCAAGATGTCTTCTTCGCAGAGCTCTTTGGCCATGTGGCTGAAGAGAAAGAGGTGGCAGCTATTAGGGCCAAATACTTTGAGGCCAAATTTATTAAAGGTTACGATGCTTATGAGCTTCTGGCCAAGTGTATTTCAGCAGGTTATCTCAACCAGTTGATCCAGCCAATAAAAGGGGTAGGTCTGACGTTTGTATTAGGTGTAAGCAATTTTTCTTTTAATCATTTAATAGATATTGCTGCAGACTAGCATAAAATATGATTGTTTTTAAACATGTGGCTATTGTCCAATAGAATAAATTATACTAAAATATGGTCCTGCAAAAAAACTTTTGACTTCATTTATTTTTTAAATGATGTTTTTGATTATTTAGTATGAATTTCCCATACACCTTCATAAGCTTTGACTTCTTGGTAGATGAAGTTATATCTCTTTTTTTTGGTCAAAACATTATACATTGTCACACCTCAACAGGTGTTGGAGACAACACACAGCCAGCACACAGCCAACAAAGCAGAGACTGTCCTGCGGAAGATAGCCGATGGTCTAATGGCCAACTCTAGGATCCCTCTGCAGAACATGATGGTGTTCATTAATAACATGACGGCTAAACTTATGCCTGAACTAGTTGAGATGACCAAGTAAGTTGGAGATATCCATTTTAATAGCTTGCTCATTAGGTCAAATTAGTAAATTAATAAAGTGCAAATTATTAATTCTTTCAAACTATTCTATTTATAGACCTAAAGTGGAACAGAGTAAAGAAACTTCTAGAATACCTGAGAGCTGTCTCCTGCTTCCTGCTGCTATGCCAAGGGGTGGGGTCAAGCCAAAAGCCAGTAAAAAGACCAATATCCACATCTTAGTTGAGTTTGGATTGCAGGTAAAGTCCAAAATAGTTTTAAAAATTAAAAAAAAATCCCCTATGGTCAACCTTTTAAAAAAAAAATTTCCTATATTTGTGACACTAAATTTATTTCAGTTACTGAACATGTGCCTGAAGAAATCATTACTGTTGCCAACTGAGCTGCTTCATCTACAAATGCTGGATCCATTAGTTGTAGCTTTGAGAGATTGTCTGAGCAATTCTCATGTCAAGGTAAGCTTTTGAACTCTTGGACATTATGACGCTCACTTTATTCCTTTTTTATGTAAACTTTACAGTTTTATTTCAATTTTTTTTCCTAGACTAGTGCCCATGCAATGAGGTGTTTGTCTTGGATTCTCAAGTTCCCACTGCCATCCTTGAAAGAAAACATTCATAAAATAGCCCAGGGCATGTTTATTGTGCTACAAAACTACACAGGGGCAGCAACTTCAAAGGGAGGGAACCAGGAGTTGATCACCATGTGTTTCAAGGTTTTCTTTTCTATAATAAACAATTTTACTTATGTCATTCATCAAATCAATATTTTTATTAAAAATGTTCAATATATATTTTTAGTACTATATTACATATATAAACTTAAACCAATGACTTTAACTAGCAATAATTCTGTTCTCCTTTAGGCTGTAACTGTGTTGGTGAGAGATGTTGAATACTACCAGCTAACAACTGACCAGCTACAGGTACTGCTGACTTACTGTGAAGAGGATCTCTACAATTATTTACGACAAAGCTCTGCATTTAACCTTGTTCGGGTAAATGTTGAATATTTTAATATTCTTTTCCAAAAAAAATTTTTAATTAAAAATTTTAAAAATAAAATTTAGAGAAATTAAAATGTCTTTTGTACTTTATTTCAGGCAATTTTGTTGCGTAAGTTAGATATCCCTCAGCTCCATCAGGTCATGGAAAAGTTGTTTGAGATGTCCATCACAGCCAGTGCAGCGAATGTCAGGCTCCAGTGCAGGCAGGTAATGTCTGGCATATTTAAAAAACTATAACAGTTTTAACAGCTCCTCTTTTGAGGTGTGAACTTTCTCCATAAATCAACTTGAATTTCCACGGTCAAAATTTTTCATTAAGTCAGGATGAAAGAGGATCCCCCAGAACCAAATCTAGATACCAGAGTTTAGTATTTTAAAAGTGATGTTCGCATATCTTTTTTGACAAAAAAAGTTACAATGCAGTTTTATGCTATACGATAATGTATTCAAACAGATGGCAGATTTTTTAAAAACCTAAAGTTAACTACTTTTTAAAGCATAAAACTTCTCTTATCAGGTGATCCTTCATTACTTGATGAACTACCCTCTTGGGAAAAAGATGAGGCAGCACCTGTATTTCTTCATTAACCATCTGGAGTATGAAATGGAGGATGGAAGAGAGTCAGCTCTTGAGATGATGATCTCAATGTTTACCACATTTCCTAAGGTCAGTTGGAATACGTAGATAATTTGTCGAAAGCAGGAAAATAATTTAATTAAGTTTAGATTGATTGCCCTCATTTAAACAATGCTTTATTTTTATTTTAAAATCAAGTATTTGATACGGCAACTTGTAAAAGTATTGTAATTCAGTATTCAGTTTAAGGGTGGGGTAGAGAATAAAGGACAAAATATTGCAAACTCAGTTTAATTCAGATGAATATTCTCTGTAGTAAAATTAAGGAAATCAGTATTTTAAATTTAAAAAGGAAAAAAATTACTATGTATACTGTTTTGTTCCAGAAAATTTTACACAATCACAGCTCCAAGTTTTTTGCTGCTCTAGCTATGGCGTCTTACAACGATAACTCACCCAAGTGTAGAAAACTGGTTTCTCTTGCCATCAGAACCTTGATTGGGAAGGTAGTTCATTACAAAGTTCATACCTCAAATTTACAGTATCATTTACCAATCATCTTATTCCTCGAGTGATTTGTATCACCACATTTAATTTTTTCGTTGCTGTTTAATTCTGTAGGTTGACCTGAAGTGCAGAAAAATAATGTTTGCTGAAGTGATCAACTGGATTAAAAATGAAAATGTAAGCAATTTTTCAATTCGTTTTTTAGATGTAACCATTAACCTGAAAATATAGAAGCAAGATTTTTTTATCTTAGTATATATATTAATGTAACCAATATTTTTTTAAAAACATTTGTGGCTTTTAATATTAATGTTAGCAAGTTTTTATCAAATTTTGTGAGCTCTTGTTATGATGCAATTATAGTCCTGAGGTTGATAACGATAAAAGTACATGTTTGCTCTACAGCCGAGTGTTCAAGCCATGGGTTTCCAGGTGTGTGGGATGTTTGTGGAAGTAGAGGGGGGGAAGTTTGAATACAGTCTGGGGCAAGTAATCCCACTGCTGCAGGAATACATGGACCCCACCAAATACAGTGTAAGTAATGAAAACATGCATCAACATTGCTATAATTTGATATCAAATTCACAGTAAGTGAAACAATGCTAAATTTTGATATCAAATCAAATGATCAGATCAGCATCATCTAATTCATACTTAAAGTATGAAAATATGTATTTTCAATACAAAAAAGCAGTATTAATGTTTTTTTTAGCCAGTTAACAATTTTTTTCTTGAATATCTTTAAAAAAGTGTTTTACTGTAAAGAAATGTATTTTGAAAACATTTGTTATAGGAAGATGAAATGGAGGATCCCAAGGTTACTGAAAAAAAAGATGTTTGTCTTTTGGCTGTTCTCAATACTAGTCTTAAGATTGCAAGGGAGCTAAGCATTGTCAGACAAGAGAAGTTTATTGTTCATCTCAACCAAATTTGGAGTGAGTCAATATTCTTTTACCTTAAGTAAACAATGTCTTGTAAACTTGGTTGAGAAATTTATCTCATGTTAGGTAATTTATCTGATTCTAATTAGTCTGTTGTTTTTGTCATACTTATTGCTGGCTAAGGTAGTTGCAACATTTAAATTTGTATTTAATGTCACAATAAAATATTATTTTCTCTGGTTCAGGCCATGTCCTGTCTCACCTTTTACACCCACACATCCAAGTGCGATTAGCCAGCAGCCAACTCCTGGGCTTTATGTTCAGTGCCTGGGAACCTAGCGAGATAGTAGAACAACAGAGCCACATAGCCGGAGACAAAGAGGTTCCCTTTTTGCTGAAAGAAACAGCAGTTGTGGTGAGGAAATTATTCCTACAAATTTCATATCAAGAAAATGGTCTAGTTATTCAAGTTTAGACAATTGAGATTAACATTTGTGTAAGAATTTGAGGTGTTAAATATTACAAAACTATTAGAAATATGAGAAAATATGAGTCTTATACCCTTTTTTTATTTTAAACATTTCTTATTTCATTTTGTAGGTCCGGAAATTTTCAGTAGCTTTGTGTAACCAACTAAAAACCCCAAAACTGGATGAAAACATAGCTACTCAAGTGAGTCTTATTTAATACCTTCATTTAATTTGAGATGGCTTCATTGAGTGGAGCACAACAGGGCATTGGCTAACCTGAAAGTCCCTAGAACTTTCTCAAGTCCAGCCTGTTCTGATGGGTAAATGACTCAACTGGTAAAGTAAATGTGGCTCTATATAGTGCTGACCACACAATCCCTTCATACACCAAGGTCAAAGAAACAGATGAACTCTGTTTGCCCTATATACCACCGTTTGCATTTTAATTTGAAAAGAAGCACCAGTGACACTGCACTTTAGCACTAGTGTCAAAGCACTTAAGCATCAGTGACATAGTACTTGAGCACCAGTGATAAAGTACTTGAGCACCAGTGACATAGCACTTATGCACCAGTGACATAGCACTTGAGCACCAGTGACAAAGCACTTAAGCACTAATGAAAAAGTACTTTAGTACAGTCATAAAGTAATAATTAAGTATCAATGACAAAATACTTCAGTATCATTGACTAAGTACTTTAGCACTAGTGACAAAATGATAAAGCACTTTATTAAAAAATGTATCAGTATAATATTTATATTTTGACAGGCCATAAAAAATTTGTTGTATTTGGCACGAGTAATGGAAGCTTTAAACCGACCAGATGAAATAGTGTGGCTTGCTAAGAAAATCATGAGGGAAGCTAACATGGAAGTTATCAACCATGTCAAAATCACCACAAAGGTTTGTGTCATGTTTTGTAGTTTAGGTTAAATGTTTCACAAATACACAAGTAGGACCTTTTAACCCTTTGAGCCCGACAGGCCGGTAAACTGGCTTCAACATTAGGCATATATGTCCGAAAAGCCGGTTTTCTGGCCCGATGAGCTAGCGTCATAGTCCAAGCGACTGGTATACTGTCTTATCAAATATAATTAGTGGCATACTGAATAAAACAGCGCATATGTCTTTTTAGTGTGGGATTATGATTCTAAAAATAGATTTTAAGAAAGTTATAAGTGAAATACATTGTCAACAAAAAAAATCGGTTATTTTATATTATTTTATTATTCTGTTATAATTATTATTATAATAACAATAAATAGATAAGTTACTCTAGTTTTGTCATTATGTTAAGTATTATGCCCCCCCCCCCCCCCCCAAAGAGATGCCTGAAAGAAAATCTGTGTGTTCGTTTTATATACATTGTTATGTTCATACATTGAGAAAAAAAAAGAATTTCAGAATCTTGCTGAATTGTTGTTTGATACTGAGCCTGGATACCAAATTTGGCTTGATTATCTCAAACGTTTCAAAAGTTATAGGCAAAGTTAGAAGCAGATATAAGTGAAAATCAGTTTGGGTCTGGGAGCTCAGGAAATGGGAGAAATTAGGCCAAGGAGGCCAGGGCTCAAAGGGTTAAGAACAGTGATATCCTTTACTGTCGTAATATTAGATGCTTTTTTTACAGTACCATAAAGATGTGTTAGTAATAAAAAAAAAATATTTCTAGGATCTAGAGATTTATTCCTTAAATAGTTTTAATAGTGTTATTCCTATCCATCTTGATTAAATTTTAAATATTTTCTTGAAATATTTAAGGAATACTATTTTGTTTATAAAAAGCACAATTTATTTTGTACAGAGGAACCATTCTTTAAAAAAAACAATTTATTTTGTACAGAGGAACCATACTTTAAAAAAACAATTTATTTTGTACAGAGGAACCATACTTTAAAAAAACAATTTATTTTGTACAGAGGAACCATACTTTTAAAACACAATTTATTTTGTACAGAGGAACCATACTTTTAAAACACAATTTATTTTGTACAGAGGAACTATTCTTTAAAAAAAACAATTTATTTTGTACAGAGGAACCATACTTTAAAAAAACAATTTATTTTGTACAGAGGAACCATACTTTTAAAACACAATTTATTTTGTACAGAGGAACCATACTTTTAAAACACAATTTATTTTGTACAGAGGAACCATTCTTTAAAAAAAACAATTTATTTTGTACAGAGGAACCATACTTTAAAAAAACAATTTATTTTGTACAGAGGAACCATACTTTTAAAACACAATTTATTTTGTACAGAGGAACCATACTTTTAAAACACAATATATTTTGTACAGAGGAACCATACTTTTAAAGCACAATTTATTTTGTATAGAGGAACCATACTTTTAAAGCACAATTTATTTTGTACAGAGGAACCATACTTTTAAACACCATTTATTTTGTACAGAGGAACCATACTTTTAAAACAATTTATTTTGTACAGAGGAACCATACTTTCAAGTGGGTGGCAGCTGTAGGCATCACTCTCAAGCCTGAAAATGTCACTGCTGTGTTGCCCATTGTTTTGCCAGTTCTACAGAGAGAATTAAGTGAACACTCAAAAGGTAATTATCGATTAAGTTCTGCAGTTGTACAGATAGGATTAAGTGAACACTCCAAAGGTAATTTTAGATCAATTTCTACAGTTATTTGGAGAAACCAATGGTAGTTTTAAATTCTGTATCAAAACACGATTTTAACAAAATTGTTTTAGGGTGATAAAAATGTGATGACTTGTTTTTTGGCAGATGTTGAACTAAAAAATCTGGCTCAAGAGGTTGTAGATATATTGAAAAAACAAGTGGATGTTGAGACCTTTACCAAAGTGTTTGCCAGCTGTCTCAAGTATAGGCTAGAGAAAAAAGATGACAGAAAGAGGAAAATAGCTGCCGAGGTAAATTTTTATCTCTGATTAATTCTATCTTCTTTATTCTGAAAACATTAGCCAGGGTTGTCTGAAAAGTTTCTGACCTCAGTTTATGTAGAGAAATAAAAATTTAGTTGAAGAAAATCAATGTTTCGTTCTTAGGTTGGAAACTTTCCAGACCACCATGTCCTTTTCTTTTCAAGTTTTCTTGACTGGCTTTGATAAAAATATTGCAAAATATTTAATTCTCTCATAATTTTTAAAAGCACACATTTTAAAAACTACCTTAAGGTTAATTAAATTCCGTTTGTTTAATAGATATTTCTGTCACATGCCACTATTGTTAACTCATAACTCTCTTAATTGATAAAGTACCATTAATGTTTCATGTCAAGCATGTTGCACTACTGTTATGTTATTTGTCTACCATGTGCCACTGTCATCTCATCCCAACCACATGCCAATACTGCCATGTCACATTTCATCCATGTGGCTCTACTGTCATGTCAACCATAAACCACTACTGTCATGTCATGTCAACCCTATGTCTCTATGCCATTACTGACATGTCACATGTCATCCATGTACCACTACTGTTAAGTCAACCAAATGCCACTACTGTCATGTTAACCAAGTGCCACTACTGTCATGTCATCCATGTGCCACTACTGTCATGTCATGTCAACCCTATGTCACTATTCCAACAGGCTGTGACAAACCCAGAGATTGCTGCCAGGAAGAAGATCCGACACAACCTGAAGAAGAGAGAGACCAAGAAGAAAAAGATAGCAGAGAAACCAGGGAAGAGAATCAGCAAGTCAAAGCTCTCCATTCTTAACATTAAAGTGGACGATGATTGAAATAGTTGATACACTGAAAAATCATGATTGATGTATATTGGATGCATAAACAGTGATGATGGTAACCACTGCCTTAGGCAATGATGAAATCGTTTTACCTGAGAATGTTTGTAGTGCAGGTGATGAAATATTTCATTGTTTGAATGTCTCAGTCAAGTTTTATAGGTTGTATTATAGATCATTATTTGTACCTAATAAAAAGTGTATAATTGACTGCTAAAAATGTTGGTGTATATATTGCTGCTGTACTTGTTGTATAGTCCAGCAATGAAAAACGTGAATTATTTGTATTTATTTTGGAATGAAGCAAATAAACATTTCTTGTATATACTATATGCTATAATTCTCTCTTTGTTTTTATTGTCTGAAGGCAGTTATTAAAATTTTTTCTTGCATATACATCAGTTACATCTTTATTATTTTTTTATAGATATTCAAGAAACTTTAAAAATGTTTAATTTTTAAAAAAACTTACTTTTAAGTAAAAATGAAAAACAGCTGATCCTTAACAATTCCAAATAGTTCAAAGTAAGTTCTTTTTTGTATCATATTCCTATTTGTCCTAACTGAAAAAAAAAGTTTATTATATTGATTTTACAATGGTTGTTAGACTAGTAAGCAAGAAATGGACTTTCTGGTGTTAATTTAATGCAATGTCTTGAAGTGAGTTGCCGACATTCAACAAAGTGCTGGAGCAGCTCATATACAAACTAAGAGCGTGTCGTTCTAGTGTAGAGTCCTTTACTACACTTACAATACCGCACGACTGACTCCCGGGTACGGCCATTATGCTCAGTTTAAGGATGCAATAAGAACCTGCATTTAAATAATCATTAATGAAAATCTAAGCGACTAGCCGTTTTGTCTCAGTGTATCAGGCTTTGAGCAGCGTTGAAAACATCAATGCTTTCTGTCTCGTCCGCGCCGAGTAATAAAACCTCCAGGACACATTCCACTGTAATTGACAGAAGAATCAGTTCGACGAGAGAACAAAAAGTTGAGTAAAGCTTGGCAATGAAAGCCTGTCACTGTTTTGCAGTAGAGAGAACACATTCTTAAACTAACTTCAACAGAGGCAATTGCTGTTGCTTCGTAAAGAAAGCTAAAAAGGAAAACATAAAGTCGCCCGATAAGGGACTTGAACCCTTGACCCTCAGATTAAAAGTCTGATGCTCTACCGACTGAGCTAACCGGGCGGATTCTCGTAGGCATGCTCGAGGGTTATTGATCGAGATTTCGCCCATAGACGATGTGTGTGCGTGGTGTTTTGTTATGTCTCACTCACGAACACGTGACTGAGAAAGGAATTTTATGCAATGTCGTGATGCGAGTTTCCGACATTCAACAAGGTGCCGGAGCAGCTCGTCGCTAAGTGACTATTTTTGGCCCCTTTTTTGTAATAACAACACATTTACCGAGTGCCCTCTCTTTAGATCAAACGTCGCTAGCTTATAGAGCTGCGTTTCTTTCCGTTTGTAGGGACATTGAGATTCAAAGTGTTAGGTATAATCTTGTCGCTATCTTGATCCATAACACTAAATATCATACGCCGTCAATAACATTAGCCTTTGACTTGGACGACACCTGTGCTTAAAACGCAGAGACCAAAACGATACAGTTATGCATTAGGAAGGCGTACACGGCAATATACCACTAATGAAGGGCTACTTAGGCTCAGTGGTCTCTGTGGCGCAATCGGTTATCGCGTTCGGCTGTTAACCGAAAGGTTGGTGGTTCAAGCCCACCCATGGACGCTCATGTTATTTTTTTTCATTGTTAAAAACAAATCAGAGGTGATAATGCAGGGCGTCAGTGTTTTGCTCATCTTCGAAAAATTCAAGAGAAATGAGTCATTGTTATGTTGATGCTACATGGTTATTCGATAAACGATGATATAAATTCAAATACAAACTAAGAGCGTGTCGTTCTAGTGTAGAGTCCTTTACTACACTTACAATACCGCACGACTGACTCCTGGATGCGGCCATTATGCTCAGTTTAAGGATGCAATAAGAACCTGCATTTAAATAATCATTAATGAAAATCTAAGCGACTAGCCGTTTTGTCTCAGTGTATCAGGCTTTGAGCAGCGTTGAAAACGTCAATGCTTTCTGTCTCGTCCGCGCCGAGTAATGAAACCTCCAGGACACATTCCACTGTAATTGACAGAAGAATCAGTTCGACGAGAGAACAAAAAGTTGAGTAAAGCTTTGCAATAAAAGCCTGTCACTGTTTTGCAGTAGAGAGAACACATTCTCAAACTAACTTCAACAGAGGCAATTGCTGTTGCTTCGTAAAGAAAGCTAAAAAGGAAAACATAAAGTCGCCCGATAAGGGACTTGAACCCTTGACCCTCAGATTAAAAGTCTGATGCTCTACCGACTGAGCTAACCGGGCGGATTCTCGTAGGCATGCTCGAGGGTAATTGATCGAGATTTCGCCCATAGACGATGTGTGTGAGTGGTGTTTTGTTATGTCTCACTCACGAACACGTGACTGAGAAAGGAATTTTATGCAATGTCGTGATGCGAGTTTCCGACATTCAACAAGGTACCGGAGCAGCTCGTCGCTAAGTGACTATTTTTGGCCCCTTTTTGGTAATAACAACACATTTACCGAGTGCCCTCCCATTAGATCAAACGTCGCTAGCTTATAGAGCTGCGATTCGTTCCGTTTGTAGGGACATTGAGATTCAAAGTGTTAGGTATAATCTTGTCGCTATCTTGATCCATAACACTAAATATCATACGCCGTTAATAACATTAGCCTTTGACTTGGACGACACCTGTACTTAAAACGCAGAGACCAACACGATACAGTTATGCATTAGGTAGGCGTACACGGCAATATACCACTAATGAAGGGCTACTTAGGCTCAGTGGTCTCTGTGGCGCAATCGGTTAGCGCGTTCGGCTGTTAACCGAAAGGTTGGTGGTTCAAGCCCACCCAGGGACGCTCATGTTATTTTTTTTCATTGTTAAAAACAAATCAGAGGTGATAATGCAGGGCGTCAGTGTTTTGCTCATCTTCGAAAAATTCAAGAGAAATGAGCCATTGTTATGTTGATGCTACATGGTTATTCGATAAACGATGATATAAATTCAAATACAAACTAAGTGCGTGTCGTTCTAGTGTAGAGTCCTTTACTACACTTACAATACCGCACGACTGACTCCTGGGTACGGCCATTATGCTCAGTTTAAGGATGCAATAAGAACCTGCATTTAAATAATTATTAATGAAAATCTAAGCGACTAGCCGTTTTGTCTCAGTGTATCAGGCTTTGAGCAGCGTTGAAAACATCAATGCTTTCTGTCTCGTCCGCGCCGAGTAATGAAACCTCCAGGACACATTCCACTGTAATTGACAGAAGAATCAGTTCGACGAGAGAACAAAAAGTTGAGTAAAGCTTGGCAATGAAAGCCTGTCACTGTTTTGCGGTAGAGAGAACACATTCTTAAACTAACTTCAACAGAGGCAATAATTATTGTTGTTGCTTCGTAAAGAAAGCTAAAAAGGAAAACATAAAGTCGCCCGATAAGGGACTTGAACCCTTGACCCTCAGATTAAAAGTCTGATGCTCTACCGACTGAGCTAACCGGGCGGATTCTCGTAGGCATGCTCGAGGGTAATTGATCGAGATTTCGCCCATAGACGATGTGTGTGAGTGGTGTTTTGTTATGTCTCACTCACGAACACGTGACTGAGAAAGGAATTTTATGCAATGTCGTGATGCGAGTTTCCGACATTCAACAAGGTACCGGAGCAGCTCGTCGCTAAGTGACTATTTTTGGCCCCTTTTTGGTAATAACAACACATTTACCGAGTGCCCTCCCATTAGATCAAACGTCGCTAGCTGATAGAGCTGCGTTTCGTTCCGTTTGTAGGGACATTGAGATTCAAAGTGTTAGGTATAATCTTGTCGCTATCTTGATCCATAACACTAAATATCATACGCCGTCAATAACATTAGCCTTTGACTTGGACGACACCTGTACTTAAAACGCAGAGACCAACACGATACAGTTATGCATTAGGTAGGCGTACACGGCAATATACCACTAATGAAGGGCTACTTAGGCTCAGTGGTCTCTGTGGCGCAATCGGTTAGCGCGTTCGGCTGTTAACCGAAAGGTTGGTGGTTCAAGCCCACCCAGGGACGCTCATGTTATTTTTTTTCATTGTTAAAAACAAATCAGAGGTGATAATGCAGGGCGTCAGTGTTTTGCTCATCTTCGAAAAATTCAAGAGAAATGAGTCATTGTTATGTTGATGCTACATGGTTATTCGATAAACGATGATATAAATTCAAATACAAACTAAGTGCGTGTCGTTCTAGTGTAGAGTCCTTTACTACACTTACAATACCGCACGACTGACTCCTGGGTACGGCCATTATGCTCAGTTTAAGGATGCAATAAGAACCTGCATTTAAATAATCATTAATGAAAATCTAAGCGACTAGCCGTTTTGTCTCAGTGTATCAGGCTTTGAGCAGCGTTGAAAACATCAATGCTTTCTGTCTCGTCCGCGCCGAGTAATAAAACCTCCAGGACACATTCCACTGTAATTGACAGAAGAATCAGTTCGACGAGAGAACAAAAAGTTGAGTAAAGCTTGGCAATAAAAGCCTGTCACTGTTTTGCAGTAGAGAGAACACATTCTCAAACTAACTTCAACAGAGGCAATTGCTGTTGCTTCGTAAAGAAAGCTAAAAAGGAAAACATAAAGTCGCCCGATAAGGGACTTGAACCCTTGACCCTCAGATTAAAAGTCTGATGCTCTACCGACTGAGCTAACCGGGCGGATTCTCGTAGGCATGCTCGAGTGTAATTGATCGAGATTTCACCCATAGACGATATGTGTGAGTGGTGTTTTGTTATGTCTCACTCACGAACACGTGACTGAGAAAGGAATTTTATGCAATGTCGTGATGCGAGTTTCCGACATTCAACAAGGTACCGGAGCAGCTCGTCGCTAAGTGACTATTTTTGGCCCCTTTTTGGTAATAACAACACATTTACCGAGTGCCCTCCCTTTAGATCAAACGTCGCTAGCTTATAGAGCTGCGTTTCGTTCCGTTTGTAGGGACATTGAGATTCAAAGTGTTAGGTATAATCTTGTCGCTATCTTGATCCATAACACTAAATATCATACGCCGTCAATAACATTAGCCTTTGACTTGGACGGTACCTGTACTTAAAACGCAGAGACCAACACGATACAGTTATGCATTAGGTAGGCGTACACGGCAATATACCACTAATGAAGGGCTACTTAGGCTCAGTGGTCTCTGTGGCGCAATCGGTTAGCGCGTTCGGCTGTTA